TAATAGTTATAATGATACCCTTGAGTCTGAATTGTGTCGTGAGTTAGAAAATGGAAGATTAGTTCGTTTATTATGTAAATTCGGGTTTATTAATGAAAGACCAGAATTTGATCATGATAAATTATGGTCAGAAACAGGTGATAGATATCTTATTAAATTATTAAGGGATTACGTTTTTCATCAGGTTGATGAAAATGGTAATCCTGTAATTGATATGGCACATGTTATTAGTTGTTTAAACAAAGTTTATACTTGATATTGTTGGATTTTTTTAACATTTAATAGCTTGATGCCGGTGTTGACGAAAAGATTATGCTTGTATCAAGGGATGAGCAGAATTGTTTAATAGTAAGTTATAAGGAGGTAATATATAAAATTATATATAATATTATTATTAAAATATTTAGTTGAAAAACTGTATTCAGTCAGCATTCCTTGATTTAACAAAGAATAGTTAATAAATATTTTTTGATATAACTATATTTAATTTGATATTGTAATTAAATGTTATTATAAGCAGATGTTTATGATTAGAATATAAATGTTTTATTATTAAGCATTACTAAATCATGCCCTTACATTTTTATTCATATTACAATTTGTTCTAAAAACGGATTTTTAATTTCTTCGCTTCCATCTACAGGTGAAAAAAGTACTAAAGTAGTACCACGGATAACGACAAGTCCAAGTTGTCGTTTTTGATCTGTAATATTTCCATCTTCGCCTAAAACAAATTGTTATTTAGCATATCTGCGTTTTTAGTTTAAATTAAATTACCTCTTAAATTTTCAATTACTTCATCTAATACTAAATTCATTAGTGGATCATAACCTTTTAAAATCCCCACAACTATATATATTTAATAAAGTATAATTTCTTGGAAATAATCCTACTTTCTCTTCCTCCCATAAACTTTACCCTTACTTTTTGATCCTGATACTTCCCTAAATCTAGAATTGCTTCTTTTTTTGGCTTGTCACTTTTTTATATTATTAAAAATATTATATCTAATAAAATAGGATTACAACACTGTAGACATATATCCTCGATCACGAATATTATAATCGCTATTCTTTCCAAGATCGTAATTCTAGTTATAATTATTAGTTTCCATTTTAAAAGTGACATGATGAAAACTACTCGATTCATAATTTGTGGTAATTTTAAAAATATTTTTTATTTAGACAATAATATTCCTAGACGTTGCAACAAAATCTATATAACAAAATTGTTTGAATTTTTTTAAGTTTAATAGTAACTTTATTTCTTAATTACTTTTTGAGATTTTAACAGTTGAAGCTTTTTAAAAGTATCGGTTAACCGTGTTCTGATTAAAAAAAGATCACTACAATAAAAATTAAAATAATATTGTTATTAAAGTGGTATTCTTCAGAGATTAGAGTAGTTTGTGATATATTGTTATAAAATAAGGATAGTTTTTTCTTTCAACTAAGTCTGGTTAATTGAAATTGAAAAGATTACAAGATTTTGAATTATAGAGTTATATTTGAAAAATTGGCTTATAGTGCCTTTACTATAAAAACCAGGTTAAATTTTAACAAGTATTTACTTTTATTTTTTCTTTTTTTTAGTTTATAATTTTTCAGGAAAAAAAATGAATATCAGTGAACTTCTTGCAAATACTCTTTCTTCCGACGCACGGCTTCGAGCTGATGCAACACAACAGTTGGAAGCCATAAGTCATAATCATTGGGTATTATATGTTTTTAGGTATTTTTTATTACATTGATTTTTTTTAGTCTGTTTATATGCATATACTTTCTCAAGAACTTGTTAACGAGCAATCTCCATCGCATATAAGAAGTGCATCAGGATTAGCTCTTAAAAATTCTTTGACTTCGAAAGTTTGAAATTTTGGTGTTGATACATATGTTTTTAATGTATATACAGGAAAGATATAGACAAGAAGAATATAATCAGAAATGGCTTTCTTTAGAACAATCCTTAAAACAGCAGATTAAGCAAAATGTAAGGAATTTCATTATTTGTGTCATTAAAATATTTAGTTTTTATAGACTATTTTAACATTAGCATCTCAAGATGGAAAAGCAGGACAAGCTGCTGCACAATTTATTGCGTCTATCGCTGCAATAGAACTTCCAATTAATCAATGGCCAGAATTAATGGCTACTCTTGTTCAAAACGTATCAGAGGGACAAAATTCGAATTTGAAACAGGCATCTCTTCAGGCAATTGGATATATTTGTGAGACAGTGGTAACTTTTTTATCTATGTTTAGATAGTTATAATGTCTTATCTAGGATCCTAATAATTTGGCTGCTCAATCAAATGCTATTTTGACGGCAGTAGTTCAGGGTGCTCGAAAAGAAGAGCCTAATTCTTCTGTTCGTCTTGCTGCAGTTAGCGCTTTATTTGATTCTTTAGAATTTGTAAAGGAAAATTTTGAGAGAGAGGGGGAGCGTAATTATATTATGCAGGTAGTATGTGAAGCTACACAAAGTGAGGATGTGAGAGTTCAAATAACTGCTTTTGGTTGTCTTGTTCGTATAATGCAGCTTTATTATGATAAAATGAAGTTTTATATGGAGAAAGCTCTTTTTGGTCTTACAGTTCTTGGTATGAAGCATGATGATGAAAAGGTTGCATTGCAAGCAGTGGAATTTTGGAGTACTGTATGCGAAGAAGAAATAGATGTTAATTTAGAAATTCAAGAGGTATTTTTTACTATTTCTGTTTACTAAGTTTGATATGATATTTAGGCTCTTGAAAATGGTATTACATCAGAAAGAGAAAATTTTCAGTTTGCTAAGATTGCTCTTCCGGAAGTTTTGCCGGTTTTGCTGCAATTGATGTGTAAGCAAGATGAAGATGTAGATGAAGATGAGTGGAATATATCTATGGCGTCTGGAACATGTGTCCAGCTGTTCTCTCAATGCGTGGAAGGCATAATTGTTGGCCCCGTATTGACATTTGTTGAAGCCAATATTAGAAGTGATGACTGGAAACGTAGAGAAGCTGGTGTTATGGCACTTGGATCTATTCTGGAGGGGCCTGATCCAAAGTTATTGGAAACGTTGATGCAAGAGGCTTTACCTGTTTTAATTAGTATGATGTCGGATCCTGTGGTTCAGGTTCAAGATACTACTGCTTGGACTTTAGGACGTATATCTGATTTAGTTATAAATGCTATTTCCCCTGAAATTCATCTTCCTAGTTTGATTCATGCTCTTTTAAATGGTCTGAATGCAAATCCTCGGATAGTTTCTAATTGTTGTTGGGTTCGTGTTTTTTTTTTGTTTTTTTTATTTTAATTGTAGTATTAGGCTTTAATGAATCTTTCTGAGCAGCTTGATGGTTGTTCTTATGGGTCTAAACAACAGACATCAATTATGTCTCCATATTTTGAGAATATTGTGTCATCATTGCTTGGTGTAACTGAACAGTATATAATTGGTATAATTTTATATAATTATTCTGATTATTTTAGGACTACAAATGAAAATAATTCTCGAACATCTGCATATGAAGCTTTATCTACTATCGTTACACATAGTTCTTTAGATATGATACCAATAGTATCAAGGTTATTAATTGTAATACTTGAACGGTTAGAACGTACAATAGCTTTTCGCGATCAAATTATTGGGGTTGATGAACGCACTAATCATGAAAAACATCAATCTAATCTTTGTAATACGTTAACCGTAAGAAATATATTCTTGAAAATATAAAATTTATACAATTTTAGAGTATCATTAGGCATTTAGGTGCAGATGCACGTCCTTCTTCTGATAGAATAATGGCTATTTTATTCCAACTTATTCAGGGTGCATCACGACAGTCCATAATTCATGAAGATGTTTTTTTAGCAATTAGTGCTTTAACTTTAGGTAATGTTTTTATTTTTAAGTAAATTTTATAATATATGATTCAGTTTTGAATGGATATTTTTGCGTCTATTTGGATTCTTTTGTTCCATTTTTGTATTCTGCACTTTCTAATATTGAAGAATATCAGCTTTGTTCTATTGCTGTTGGTTTAATAGGTGATATTTCTCGTGCATTAGGTGATAAAGTGATTCCATATTGCGATAATTTTATGACTCATCTTCTTCAAAATCTTCAAGTAAGCTAGAATCTGATATAGTATTTTATTTAGCTTTTATATAGAGCTCAGTTTTACATCCTAATGTTAAACCTGTAATTTTGTCATGTTTTGGGGATATCGCTCTTGCAATTGGAAGCAATTTTATGAAATATTTAGAAGTAGTTATGCAGCTTTTACAACAAGCATCTACGATATATTCTACTCCTGATCAGGGCTATGAAATGATTGATTATGTAAACCAGTTACGAGAAGGTATTGTGGAAGCGTATGTTGGTATTGTTCAAGCATTAAAAGAAGAAAAAAAATGTTTTTTATATTAATGTGAATTATAAATGCTAATAATGTATAGCTAATCCACTTCTTCCTCATATTCCGCATATATTTCGTTTTTTAGCAATGATACATAACATTCATGATAAATCAGAAAGTCTTACTCGTGCCATGATTGGTTTGTTAGGGTTCGTTAAATAATTAAATGACTATAGATATTCTAAATATAATAGTGATCTTGCTGAAATTATTCCTAGCAATCAAATTTCATCGATGTTTCAAGTAGAATGGGTTAATGAATGCCTAAAGCAAGGAAGAACTAAGCCTGGATATTCTTCTGCTACTAAAGAAATTGCACGATGGAGTACTGAGCAAATTAAGGCTGTGATAAATGGAAAATGAAATTATTGTTATTTCATTAGAAGATATGAGCATAATGATCATTAGAATACATGTGTAATGCTTTGATGGTCTTCTATTTATTTTATAATTTAAAGTTTGTTTTTGTAAAAGCATGTATCATCTATTTTTTATTTTCTATAATTAGGATTTATATTTATAAAATATTGATTTTAAAATTAATATTATTATGGTTATTTTAAACATTACAAATATGTATTACAGGATTTAAGAATTTTATGGGCCGTCGTCTGATTAATCATTTTTGTCTTCATCAAGATTTTCGACTTAGAATATTTAGTGTTATATATATAATTAATATATTAAAGATTACCTATGATATTTCCACTAGGATATAAGTTTTTTTCTTCTAATATTTTTTGTTTAGTATCATATCTAATAATTTTCCTAGGCATAGGTGATACTAATTGGAAATTAAATTTATGAACATAATTCAATGGTTTTTCTATTGGCTCATGTATCTCTTTTATGTTTATATCGTAACATTCAATAAATGCGTAAATTTCTTCAATAGGTACGTTTGCATCAAATTTTCTGACAATGCGTTCTCCGTTTTGTAATCTTAAGCTAACTTTTGCAATCTGAGAAGAATCCGAAGTTGGTTCTGGAAATAGTTTAGATGCTCTCCATATTCTCCATTGAGATTTATTTGCTTCAAGAATTCTAGCATCATTTAGTTCCTTTTGCCTTTTTTTCTCTATTTCCATCCTATGCTTTTCTTCTTCTTTACGTTGTAACATTCTTTCTCTATCAATTGCTAAAGATGCTTCATAAGCATTGTCTTGTTGAATACGTATTTGTCTTGCAATAAGTTGTTCTTCTCTCGTAGATTGTAATCTTCGAATTGTTGACAAATGTTGTACAACGTATGTTTCTAGAGTTGCAATCATATCGTTTGGCAATATAAATCCTTCTATGCGAGCTAATGATGATGCACTTGATGTATTTGAAGAATGTAAGTGTGAAATACCTATTGCAATGAATGGAAAGCGAGTACAATTAAGGTTATTTGATACTTTTAATGTTAGATAAATAAGTTTAATGCTTATTTTTTATATACTTTGAAATGCCTCTGGTTCATGAACACTTCCTGCCCATACTAATATATTGTTATTTTTAATGAATTCGATCAAGTTTTCGTTTGTAAGAGTAATTCTATAAAAAATGTTATTCAAAAAATAGAAGAATATATATTTACCGATTAAAAGAATAGGTATCATCATGTAAATCGCTTTGTAAAATTACCATAAAAAACATTAAATCTTTTTTTGCAACTTCCAATGCTTCTACATATCCACCTTCAAAAAACGGAACATGATCAACCCCATGTTCCTGTTCAAATTTTCGAATAAATTTTTCAGATGTGTTTTTTGAATTAAATTTTTGAAATTGTCCAGCGACTAAATTTGGAGGACTTAATCCCATAAATTTAGATAAAAAAGGAAACATTCTTGTAAAAAAACATATTGTCTTTGATACTGCTTTACATAATATAGAAAGCGGGATAACAATTAATGTGAAAATTGATGAAGTTATAGGATTTGTATTTAAGATTTCCGGTGATCGTTGAGATAAATCATTATTATAATTTATATCTGTTGAATCATTCATAGGACTTTCAGATGTTGAAACTTGTTGTAAATTTCCCTCATAAATTGATGATATAGCTTTCTATAAAATTGAAAATTAAAAAAATAAATACTAAGTAGTTATTACTTCTAAATTCCATTCATAATTTTCAAGGATTTCCAAAGATATTTCTAAATTATTAATTTGTGTTATTGACTCAAATGATTGAAGTATATCTATTTCTTCCTGTGTCAAATTCCTATTATCCATTTTTTTAAGAATTTTTTAAATTATGATCTGGTCGATATTTCGTAAAACTGTTATGCTACTTTTTAAAATTGAATTTTAAGGTTTGGTAAAGTTTAAAAAAATAGATAGCATTACTTTTAATATTTTATTTAGCTTCCTCTTTTTATACTATATAGGACTTTCTAGTGCTGAGATTTTTTTAAGGAATGTCTTTTGATTTGAATGAAAATCCATATATCTCTAAATTATCTTCATCAATATTAATTCTTTTTCTTTCATTTTTAGGAATTTTAGGTGTTTTTGTCATTGTTTTTGTTATATATCACATAAATGGTCATTGTCATAATTCTGTTTTTTTAGGTCATGGAAATTCTGAGCAATATGAAGATTTAATACATGAAGAAGCTGTATTAATGCAAACAGCTAATGAAGGAGAGATAGAATCTTATTTTCGGGCAAAAGGTATTTTTATAGAAGGATGAATTTTAGTAATTGATATTGTTAGCATTTCAAGAGGCAAATCCTCCAGGTAGCATGTTAACTGATATTAGTCTTTCTCAATTTATGTCTATCCAAGAAAAGGGGGTTTCTGCATGGGAATTTGAAGCTTTTTTTGAAAATATGAATTGTTTTGTAGAGGCTAGGACTGAAATAACATTTTATGATAGTGAATGCAGTGTTCAAACAAATTTACCTATTCCAAAAACTAATGAAACATATTATTGGGAAGCTAAGCTATATGATTTTTCTGATAATATTATTGCTTCCATTGGATTAACAACAAAACCTTATCCTTTATATCGGTTACCTGGTTTGTTATTTTTCTTAGGACTATTTTGAATATTAAATTAATTATAGGATGGAATAAATATTCCATTGCTTATGTTTCTGATGGTTCAAAGAGGCATAATCAGCCGTTTTTAGGTAAACCTTATGGACCTGTGCTTAAACAGGGAGATGTTATCGGTGTTGGATATAAGCCCCGAACGGGCACTGTTTTTTTTACGAGGAATGGAAAAAAATTAGAAGATGCCGCTCAGTTATTAAAGACCAACTTGTTTCCCACTGTTGGTGCAAGTGGTCCATGTCAGATTCATGTGAATTTTGGTCAATATGGATTTGTTTTTATTGAAGCTAATGTGAAAAAATGGGGATTAGCGCCAATGGTAGGAACGTTGGCGCCACCTCCTGCTTATCAATCTGCTCTTCTTACACCTCCTGCGTATCAAGATTCTATATCGCGATATTATCAAGGACAATATGGTTTTTCAAATAGAAATATTATTACTGATCCTTCAGGAGTACCAAGAGATAATGAAAATATAATTAATATACTTGAATAAAAAAGTACTTAATGTCAGTTATTGTTTGACTTACTTTTGAGAAAAAGGTTCTAATAAGATATATATTTAATTAATAATGGTTCTAAAGTTTATCGAGATGTAATATAACTTATGGCATATATGGTTGTTCTTATTTAGCATTGTTTTATTGAATTTATATATTTGTTTGATTGAAAATGTTTTAGATAATATTTTTGCGTAAGTTTTGATTATAATAGTACTGAGCTTTGTTTTTTTAACTATTTATGAAACGTTATTTATTGAATATGTTTATTTGTTGAATATTTTAATGTTTAAAAACAAAAAATATATAATTTGGTAATTATATATCTTAATATTATATTTTTATGTTTTATGTTATTATTTTGTAGTTTAAAAAAATATTGAAAATTTGTTGTATTAGTTAGAAGTCTTATTAACATACTTCAATTAATTTTTATGGTCTGTATATTGTGTTAAAAAATATAAACTATAAAATATTTTTATTATTTCATTAGTATAAAAGTTTGTATTTAATTTTTTATTTTATTAAGTATATTTCATATGTTTTTATAATATTATGTTTAATCATTTGTTTTTTAGGAAAAAGTCAATTTAATTATAAATAAAATAATATTTCCTGCAATCATATAAATCAATTTTATTTGAAAAAATAAATTAATATTAAGTTTTTATCTGTATAAATTATTTAAAATTATAATATCATAATTTTACTGCATATTGTATTTTAAATTATTTAATTTGTAGTTCATGCTATAATATTATGATTTCTAAATATTTTTATTCAAAAATTTTAGAAACAATGTAAAATTAACATTTTAAGTTCGTAAAAAAAATTGATTTAAATATAATTTATTTTTATAATAAAAATCAGATTTTTGGAATTTAATATTTATAATTGATGAAATAATAATATCAAAAATATTAATATACTAAAATTGATATTATTAAATTATTTATTTAATAATAATATCTCCTGATGATATTATTGATTTAGAAAAAGAAACTTCTTTTTCCTCATTAATCAGTTCTGCTTTAATTACCTAACTTTGTTAATGATAATAAAAAAAATATGCCTTACATCAATATTAAATAGAAGTGTTTTTATGTTAAAATTAATAGACACTGGGAAAAATGATTCGGTATCGCTATTATTTTCTAGAGTTATTTTTTTGCTATCAGATTGATTAAAAGAGTTGATTTCAGGAATAAACCATTCTAACGATTTTTTTTCATGGTTTATAATAATTTCATCAGTAGTTTCTAGAACGGTTGAATAAGATCTAGCAATTAGTTAGCATTAATAATTAATAAAATATTAATTTTTTACTGTAATGGAATAGATATCAATACATTTTGAAATTCATATTCATTTGAAGTGAGTTCATATTCTATATTCATTTCAATATGTTCATTGTTTTTACATGTCCATAAATTAACTGAAAATATTAATTATTGTAGATAAAAAATGAAAAATAATAACCAGTAAGTGGAAAAATGATGTTCTCTTTTTTTTTTATTATTTTCCATTTTAATAAACTAAGAGAGTTGTTTACTGGAAATGGTTTTGTTAAATTACGGTGAACAATTACTTTATTCAATAGAAATTGTGATTTATCGATGTTAGGATGTGTTTTGTATTGGATTTTCTCTTCTTCATTGTCGCATAAAAAGATGCGAAAAAATGCAGCGTCTGGTTGTAATATACGTAAATGAAGATCTCCTTTAATCTCTATACTTTCAAAACCATTATCTTTTGTTTTTATAATATGAATATCTTCAAATAATTTAATTTGGATGTTTTCAAATTCATCTCCTTTAATATTACATTGTTTCATACTAACGTCTGAAAATAAATGTTCTTTTAAATTCTTACTTTGTTTTGTATTTTCATAATTATCAATTTGTTTGGGTTTTTTACTTAATTGCATTCCTTTTCCTTTTAATGTAACAGATCTAATAAAATTAAATATACATATATAGATGAGAAAAGTAATAATGTATACTTGTCGACCTGTTTTTTTCCAATATCTTGAATATTATGAAATAAATTCATATTTTGTAATGATTGAGAAACTGACTGGTATTGATTGCTAGAAAGTGACTGAAAATTATTAAATCCTTTTTTTGATGACTCTTTCCTTTGCAGTTCGAATTGTTTTGCTCTCCTTTTTCTTTCTTCTCCGGCTTCTAATTCTTTGTTTTTAGCAATTATTTCTTGAATTTTTTCTTCATGACTATCCATTTCAAGAAAACTTTTTATTTGAGCAAATGAAAGGTTTTCTCGATAGCCATATGATGTTATTTCATCAAAAGCATTAAGTAATTCGAATGCATTATGAAGGATTTCTCGTTCGTCACAAGAATGACATATATTTATTACAGTTTCAGTAAAAAGATGAAGAGTGTTAATATCTTGCAAAATATTAGAGTGAATATTAGTGATAAGAATCATATAAAGTTCTTCTAGAGGTTGGTAAACATAACGTATGTAATCAGTTTCAATAGTAGTATGCTGTATTCCAGTATTTGCTAACTGAGGAAAAGTCGCAAGTAATTTCTCTATTCTAGCTTTTGGAATATCCCTAAATTGTCGAGAAAGAATAGCTAATTTTTATTTAATGAGGTTCTGAAAAACTGTTCTTTTTTTTTACTTTTACCACCTCTAGTACATATTGAAGCAGCAAGTATAACCTGTAGTATTATTTCATGCCCTAAAATATATGAAAAAGAAATACCATTTTTGTTTATAAAGATATATATTGTTTAATTTTATAATAAATTTGTAAATGATATAAAATTTATAACCTTTTTATTCGATAATTTAAAAATAAGTATATGAAATAAAAATGCATACATTTTTGAAGTTAATGAATAAATATATTATTCTTTTATGTTTTTAAATATAAACATTTTGTTTGAAAAAAATGTAGTAATAATATTTAATATTTTGTATTATATCTGATTTTATTTCTGAAAGTTTTAAAATAAAAAGCATTATAAAATATTTTATTTTGATATGTAGATTTAAGGTAAATATCTTATGATATATATATATTATGAATAAATTTTATAAAAATATAAAATATGAAAATTTACTAGTTATTTGAAAAAAATGTAATTTATATGTAATAGTTTATTAAAACAATATGTTATTAAATGTACTATTATTATCAAAAATTAAAACCTTTTAGATAAGTTGTTTTATTAGAAAATGATTGGTATTTATTTTTTTAATTATATGATATTTGTATAATTTTTTTTATAATTATTCATTTTTTTGAAATTTTGATAGTTTATGATTTTTTATAATGTAGATTTATGGATTTAAATTTATAACTTATGATGTGATATAGGTTTAAATTATTGAAATTTTAATGAAATTATATATTTTTAGTAATTTTTTAAAATAGTTTATATTTATTAATTTTTAGAGTATAATATTAATGTTAAATATGGATTATCAATAAAAAAAGATGTAATGCAAAGTTTTTAATATTTTTTTAATTAGATATATTTTTGAATTTTTATAGTTTATATTTTATAACAGTTATTATTATTATAAAAAAATTAAAGTAAAATAGTTTGCAAAATAAATTTAGTAAATCACTATAAAAATGATTTTAGAAACATAATTACATATATTTTTTTTAATAATAGTTGTTTTTATTTAATAAATTATGATAAATAATAATAATAATTAATGGGTATTTTTTGGGTTTTTAATAATTATTTATAAAATTATTTTTTTTATGAAGCTTGAAATTAAATATCTTAGTGTATTTTTTTTTATTAATGATTTCTTAAATTTTGTGTATTTTAATAAGGTTTTATACGTTTCTATATGTTTTGATGTATTTTTTTGAGTGTTAAAATTAATATAAATTTTTAATTGGGTTCATTGACTAATGAAATTTTTAATTGAGTTCATTGACTAATGAAATCTTTAATTATTTTTCATATTTGCGTAAAGAAGCATGATTAGATTATGTGTAAAATTTTTATTATGTTTTTTAATTAGAATATTTTAATAAAATATATAATATTGATTTTTCTTTAATAAGTTCTATATTATATTTTTATTATGATGAAATTGTTATTGAATCATTGGTGCAAATTCATATGCCTATTTTATTTATAAGAGATATAGTCATAATTATTTTTATTGAAATTTTTAACATTTTTAAAAATAACTTCAATTTACATTAAACTTTTTATTTGTTTTTACTTATTGATATTTGTAGCTTAATACATTTTTATTATTATAATAAAACAATAGAATAAACTGATGTTTTTATTTAAGAATTTGTTGTTTTTTACTTTATAATTTTTTTAAGTATTTTTTCTTGTTTTTATATTTTTCTGTTTCATTTATTTTTTTGAATGATTTAATATAATTAAATTGAAATACATTAAGTTATTAGTAGTATAAATCTATGATATTTTTAGTATTACATGGTTTTAAATTAGTTTGAAATTTAATTTTTGTGTAAGTAATAAATTGTTAAATTATAGTACTATACTCTAAAGATTATAATTTTTGAAAGTTAAATACAAAAAAAAGTTTAAAATATTAACATGATTTCTTACAGGATATAAATATGATAGTTAATTTATCTAGAATTATTTAATAAATTAAATTTTACGAAAGAAAATACACTTTATATAGAATATTTATAATTAGATATATTTGATGGAACTAGATGTGTATAATATTAAATTTCTAGATAAAAATATTGAACAAAAATTTGTCTTAATTATATAAGGAATTACTAGTTATACTTTTATATTCTATATATCGTTAAATATTTTAGATCGATTTACGCTAAAAATGAATTTTGATAATTTTAATGGTAATATGATAATATTTAGTACATGTTTATTTATTTATTATTGTTAGAACGTCCTCGAATTAGGAAAAGTTATACAGATGATGTTTCTAAATTATTAAGTTCTAAGCTTCTTATGGGATGGGCTTTATTAGATGATTATTGTAATAATCATTTTGTATGAATATAAATAATTTAATTTTTATTTATGGATCTAGGTACCTCTTATGCGCTCTCCTCATAATAAATTTTTAAAAGAATGTGTACTATGTGTTGAAGAACAAGAACATTATAACAATATGCAATTAAATCGTGAAATTATGACTACTGATGAACGTTTTGAAAAAAAAGAAAATAATAATAATGAGAAAGATGATATATCTTCTTTTCCTTGCAATAACTATTCTACTCGATTACCTGAGTGGTTACAGATATTAGATCATGCTTCAAATAATATATTTTCTTCTCTCAAAAAATCTTCTCTTGCAATCAATTCTGCAAATGTTGAATTAGAGCTACATTTAATTTCAAAAATAAAGTTATGTGTGGAAACTTTAGAATCCCTTGAACGATGTAAAATTTATTTAAAAAAAAAGATTTAATTTATAAATAATATAAATGTATTATAGAAAAAATGCATAACTGTAATCATAATTGTATTATAAACTTTCTTCTTTGTAATTATCATTTAAATAAATATACTGTTTTTCTAGAATTAATATAATTTTTCGCAATTTAAATTCAGAAATTCCAATCATTTCTGCTCCTTTAGAAATTAAAGTTTTTGTAATATTTGGCAGAGTGCTAGAAAGAGAAAAAATCTTGTAAATAAGTTTTCCGCTTTTAAATATAGTGTTTGAAGTATATGATTTAGCATTATATGACTCAAATAATGTATAATAATTATGCGTTGAATTAAAACATTGATTTGTTTTTTTCAATTCATTTATAGGAAATATATTTAATAAAAATTTTGGAACTATAAGAAGTTTGGAAAATAAAATATGAAACGCTATAATTACCTTTTATATATGAGCTATCGGATAGTTGAATGCTTAAATCATTTAAATAATTGTCTATTTCTTCTTTCGATATTTGTGAAATTTTATTAATATCTGTTTTTGTATAGTTAATATTAGTTAGTTTGTTATAATTTTGCGAATTCATTGTAGCAAGCCATATGCTCCAGTCTTTAAGATTGTTGTACGCATAGTCTTTTAAATTTTCAATATCATAATGATCAATTTGGAAATAAAGTCTTGTAGAAATCAGTAGTATAGCTAATAAAATAACTTCTGGCATAGTATTTAAGTTTTTTTCATGTATTAATTGTCGATTAGTGAATGAAATATTTAAACAATATGCGAGTTTTAATGTTGGTAATATAAGTTCTACTAATATAGAATTCAGCAGTAAAAATTTAAATATGATTAAATTACATGGAAGATAAAGACCTCGAATATATGTTACCAATATAGGATATATATTTAAAGGTGGAAAATCTATTTTATATAAAATATAAAATGCAGAAAATATGGAATAAGTTGCATTTAGCACTTTTTCGTATGATGGAAATACCTGATATAATTGTTGAGTATATATGTATATATATATAATTATATTACCGTTGGAGATAATATATTTTGATAATGAGGTTCCATACATTTACGGATTTCAAGTGGTATTATAGATGATGTTTGCATATATGGGACTTTGCCGGACTTCATAAAACTAGTATTATTAATGTATATTTATCTTTTCAAAATAATGCATTACTTATAAAGAGTTGATATGGTAATAATTGATCTAAGATTTAATAATCCGAGATAACATATGCTAATAGTATCAATAAGTTTTGGAAATTTTGTTATCTAGATGTATTGGTATTTTTTTAGTAAGTAATTCGGATATTACTTTATATGACATATTATCATTTGAATTTCCTTGTATTAAATTCTTTGTATAAATATGTTAGAACGAAATGGCTTAGATAATAATTAACATTTAACCAACATCATGATATTTAATATTTTTTTTTGTATTTTTTTGAAATAATTTATTTGATGTTAATAATGTCAAGTAGATTTTCCATATATTTCGAACAGCTAAATATTTATGAATATGCACATAAACATAATAGACCTACTAGGCTCCAGATTTCTTGATATTCCATGAGTATGGATTAGGCACCATACCTGTGTTTTTAAAATTTGCTGAAAACAATGTAAAAATAAGTTTTTTCCTTCGTTTCCGTAAAGAACTTGTTTTTTAAAAAAAAGCAATATATAGATATAACTATACCTTTAGACTTTTTCTTATGTTTGTCAGTTGTAATTACTTTTCTCCTTCTTAATGGTTGATTTTTATTTAAATTGATAGTATTATCTATTTCAATAATTCCCTAAAAAAAAAAGCATAAAATATTTGATCATTGCTCTTACTTGAACAAGGTGTCCATTAGTGCAGTAAGTTAAGCCTGCATCTATGTAGAATTGTTTAGAGGTACAGTTATCTATACCACACCTTGAATTTTGATTAAATTGATATAGATTCATGATATTCCTGTTATTTCTCGATATTCATCATTTTTTTATACGATCTTATTTAAATATGATATATATAAATTACATAAATAATAATACTCCAGTTATAAATACATATATATATATATATTATAATATGTAATATGATTTTATGAAAAACATCTTTAATTTTATATGCATATAATATGATTTTACTTTGGAGCTTCTTTGACAGCTAAGGCTACTTCTTCTCCCATAGCTGAAACGACTGTAATAAGTAAATCTTTTCCTTCGTTAAATTCCGAAACAATTTTTTCCCCTAATTCACCTTCTGGAAGGCGAATATCATCTTTAGTAGATCCATCTGATGTTATTAGGCTAAGATATCCGTCATCAATGTTAATCTAATAAAATGTTAAAATAAATTGCTATTCATACTAATTGATAACCAGTTGATATTCAGTGCGTGAAATATTAGGAACATCCATATTATGCGTAGAAGGTGAAAGATCTTCTAACTTTTTGCCAGTGAAAATCTAAGATATGTTATTTTGATAAATTATTAAAAGTTTGAAATATACATCGATTCCTACTAAATGAACTTTTGCATGACCATGTTTACCTGTTTTTGATGTACTCATATCAACAATCTTAAACATATAAGAACAGTGGTTACATATGTTAGTTTTTAGATACTTTGCATGGGCGTCCTTTAATTACAACATATCCATTTTTGCGAAGAGCAGAACATTGAACTGGGAATGTTGATGATCCACCCGCATCTGTATTAGAAAAACTGATCTAAAAGAATTCATATGGTGTTTATGATGCTAAATGATAAAAACCTCTAGATTATCTGCCATAGTTACTAAAATATATTTTTTTTGATAAATTGTAATTGAGTTTAATTTTTCCAGAAAAAATAATTGTTATACCCTACCCTTTATTTAAAAATATTAATTTTGACCTTTTTATTGAATGATGTTTGATCGTTTTAAAAAAAATTTAGATATTATATTTATATATTATTTATATGATTTAACATTAATATATAAGTTGTTCATATTTTATATTTTTTAATATTATGATTTTTTTATAATTTTTTGACTAATATAATTTATATATTTCAAATGTACTTTTTTCTGTTTTTTTAGAGATTAGTAATTAAAGTATTAAGTATGCTAATTATGTTAATATTTTAAATAATTATATAATGAATTAATGATGAAATATATGTTTGTATATTTATATATGATTATTTCTATATTTTGGATTTTTATGTCTTTTTTTTTTAAAAAAAATCATATGGGTTATATTTTAATAGAATTTATAAACGTATTCATTGATTTAATATGCTAAATTTGGCATGAATATTAATAGAAATGTGTAACATATAAATTAAGATTGAATTATCAATTAACATTTTTTTAATCATTAAATTAAAACATTTTATTATTGAAAAAAAAATATATTTAAAAAATTAAATGACATATATATATATAATTGAATATATACATGTGAAACTTTATTATGAATATTTTTTTTATACATGTTAATTCTAAAATGTATTATATATTAAGTTATATTAATTAATTATATTGATTAAATTATATTAAATCTTACATATTTTTACAGTATATAATATTAATTATAAATTTCCTACGTTATTAAATAAATGAGTATATTTTTAAGTATTTATATTTAAATATATATTTCAATATATTTTGTATGTTTTTTCATTTATTAGTTCGTATTAAGAAAGATAAGATATTCAAATATAAAGAAAAAAATATTCATTATATTTAACTTTAATATTTATCAATATAAAAATAAATGCTCATATTTATATTTAGTAGTATTTTAAAATTATATAATATTATATATTATATACACTTTCATTATTATTTGTACTTATCTTTTTTTTTTTGATTTTCTAATCGTACATAACATATAAAATTAAATGTAATTACTATTAATATAAGTATTTTTTAATTTGTTCAATGTTCTAAGATAAAAGGAATGTATAGTTTTAATTAATATATGATATATTTTAAGTAACCTAATTTATGATTTTAATTAACTATTATTATTTTTTCAATAAGTGCTTATCAAATATAAAAGTAAAAAAACATATTAATTATAGGATATTAGTATTACTATTATTTTTTATTTATTAAATATATTTATATATTTATAAAAAAAGTACATACTATTTGTTCATAATGTTCATATATATCATTGTATTTTTTTTTTTATATAAACATAATTTTATAATGATATTAACTGTAATTATCATAAATACTTTATATTTAATTATATTACTAAATTATCGAAATATAAATATATATCGATTTATCTACAATTTATAAATACATATTTTTTTAAAAAAATATGACTATTGAAAAAAATAAAAAAACAAATACACATGACTTTTTATGGACATTCCAAGAAGAACCGCATAAAACTAGACGTAAAGAAATAATAAAGGCACATCCAGAAGTATTTTTTTTATCTAAAATAGCATTAATATTTATTTTCTAAGGTGATCAAACTTTGCGGACATGAACCACTTACAAAATATATAATATGTATAGTAGTTTTATTTCAATTAGTATCAGCTTATTTGCTTCGCAATGAGAATTGGTTGTCATTAAAATTTTTACTCTATGCATATTTTTTTGGTGCAACTGCAAATCAAAATATATTTCTTTCAATACACGAATTATCACATAATCTCGTATTTAAAAATGCAAAATTAAATCAGTATTTTTCTATTTTTGCAAATCTACCTATCGGGCTTCCATATAGTGCATCATTTAAGGTATCCATTTATAATACTATTTATCATAAATATTTAGATTTCATAGCCATATCACCTATTACATCATAAATACTTAGGAGAAGATGGAACCGATACAGATCTTCCAACGAAATTGGAAGTAATACTCTTTAATAACGTTCTTGGAAAAGCATTTTTTTGGTTAAAAATTACATATTTTTGCATTCTATATTAACTATTATTATATAGTACTTTTCAAATATTCTTTTATGCACTTAGGCCTATATGTTTAAAAAAGATACAATTTACATCATTACATATTTATAATTTATTAATTCAATTTTTATTCGATATTATTTTAATACGATTGGCTGGAAGTGGCGCCTTATTTTATCTTCTTTTTTCATCATTTCTTGCTGGATCGCTTCATCCTTGTGCTGGACATTTTATTGCAGAACATTTTTCAATTATTAAAAATACCAATGAAGCAATTGATACATATTCGTACTATGGAATTCTAAACATTTTAACATACAATGTTGGCTATCATAACGAGCATCATGGTAATTTATATAATTATTTATGCATCTTGATAACATTTATAAGACTTTCCGTTTATTCCTTGGTCTCGTTTACCAAAATTAAATAAAATTGCAAACGAATTCTATAGAAATATCCCATGTCATACTAGCTGGACATATGTAATATGGCAATTTATTACAGATGATCGTGTAGGACTATGGTGTAGGATTAAGAGAAGAAATAAATTAGCATCAATCTCTAAATAAATACATTATTTTTTGTTATCACTAATTTTAGATTTTAATGTATATGTTTTTTTTTTTACGTTTTAGTTTATTTAATACAATGTTATAATACATATTTTTAGATTGCAACTATATATTTATCTTTATATTATTTTAGGCATCTCAATATTATTAAGAATAACTTTAAAAATTAGATACAAACGATATTAATATTATAATAAAAAAATAATTTCATTGATAAATCGAATAATTCACTCAATAATACCTCAATGTTATACTTTTTTGATTATTTAAAACATACTATATAATTATTTTATGAACTATTTTTAAAACTATTTTAAATATCAGTTTAAAAACATAATTTTAAAATACATCAAAACATTAAAATAAGCTCAATGCACATATTATGTCAAAAACAACATATAATAATCTAAATAATTATAATAATCTAATCTAAATCATTTACAATACATATATACGTAATTACGAAAAAACAAAAAAATATATATATTTATAGATTTTAATAATTTCAAAAAACATTTAACATTACTTTAGTGAATAATGTTTTTTATTATTAACATATAAAAACCAATATATATTTCAACATTAAATTTAAATAATATGAATTAAATATTTTTAAACGTAGAGAAAATAATGTATCATTATTAAATAATTCATCAGCACTAACATTTTCTTTAAAACTATATTCAAAAATACATTTATTTATATATTAAACAAATATTTAATAATTTAATAAGTTTAGAAAAATTAATACGTTATCAAAATTAATATAATTTTTAAAATTAACGAAAAAAATTATAAATAAAAATGGTTTCACAATGATTAAAAACATCAAACTCCAAACTAATTTATTCAGGGAAAACGTAAAACAAAAATGAAAAGACCAAAACCTAAACCAAGACCACCTCTAGATAAAACATTTAATTGTAAAAAAATAACTAATTCATAAAATTTAATAATTATTTTAAGGTTTATTTTGTAATCATGAAAAGAGTATTGTTTGTTATATGTAAATAAAAACTTTATATTTTTTTTTCTAATATGCATATGGGGATAAAACGAATCAAATAGGTACATTAACCTGTAAAGTATGCGGACAAACACACCAAAGTATTATACATAGTATTGTACTCTATATTTATATACATTTATATTAACAATAACAGATCTTTCAGCACCAGTGGATATATACAGGTATTTATTATTCATATACATATATATAACATAAAACGTTTATTATTTTAGTGACTGGATTGATGCATGTGATGCAGTTGCAAATCAAACTAATAGAAACTTAACACAAGAGTTAAATCTTAATAACAATGACTACAGCAATTAAAATATATTAACTATGGATAAGAAAATTTAACATTATTTTTTTTATAATTATTTAAAAGTCATGATTGTATAGGAAATTACATAAACGAATAATTTCAATATTTTTTATTTTTTTTAGATAAGGAATCTAAAAGGAATATTTTAAGTATTCAAAACACATAAAATTCATGAATAATTATTATTTAATTTAATTTATATTGTAGATGTACTAATTTTAATCAAAAAAAAAAAAACATTAAAAACAAAACACTTAAAAACATGTATAAAAACGAACATTAATAAAGCATAATATATATATATATCGGTTTTTATAATATATATATATATAATTATAGGGTAAATTATTCATGCAATAAATAAATATGTATGTATATAAGAAATTATCTTGCAATTTAGATAATTCATACTCATTTATAACGATTTATTTTTATAATTTATAAATTCATTATTTTAAAAATTTTAAAATAAATTAAATTCATAATATTATCTAATAACAAGACTGTTTCTTACTTAAACTATTAAACATATAAATTCTATATAATTATTAATATTTTTTTACGTAAATTGAAACATTACTATACATTTATTTTTTTAAACATTAATCAAATTATATTTTTTTAAACCATTAAAAAAAAAAAATAAAGAAAACCTATATCATCTATATCATAAATACAAAATATTTATACTAAAATTTAATAAAACATTTACACTAGTAAATTATACTAAAAATGTATATAGAAATTATTTTTAATAATTTAAATTATCAAATCGATTTTAACATTTTTTTTAAAAATTAATATTACAAATAAGTTTTCAACAACAAAAACAATGCAAATTGACACAGAGTTTCACGAAGATGATCAATTATATATTAACAATCATTTGAATTTAAAATACGAAAAGCTTGAAAGCCAACTATCAAATAATTCTTCAACGAAAAGATACATTAATCAAGATAATAAAGACAATTTATTATTACCTCAGACTAATATGGAAAATATAAACATAATAGAAAACAACATTGAAAAAGAAACAGGAAATCATGAGTTAATGAGTTCAGCACCTATAAAAATTAATTCGCCTAAAAAGTCAAAGAAATCCATTAATTCCAAAAATAAGCACTATCTAGACACAAAAGAAATTACTTCTGAAAAAATTTCAAATAAGAAAGCAACTTTTGATACAAAGCATGCTCAATCATTATTTGAACCAAAAAAATCATCAAATAAAATTTCTACAAAATCTCCTAGAACTCCAAATAAGAATACTAACAATACATCACCATCTTCAGAAAATATATATCAACAAAACAATGCATGGAATTTTCTTAATGATTTCGATAATTCTCCTTTAAGAACACCAAAAAGTCAAAGAATTATAGATTCATTAGAGCACGACAAATTTAAATCACCATCACATATAGAAACACCTAAATCAAAGGAAATATCAATCAAAATGTTTAGCCCAATATTAACAAATGAAGATTATAAACATCCGAAAACACCTCAAAACTTATATATATATAATAATTTAGTAGATACATTTTCTGATATCCAAAATACGTATGCGAAACAAAGAAGCTTTATTGCAGAACCAGCAAACGATACAAAAAATGATATTTTTTCATCATATAATGCTAATCCAAAAAACTATTTAAATGATGAATTAAATTTAGAAGATACCGAATCTTATGCTTTAAATATAAAGAGTGTTCATGAACTTCGAGAATCAGGAATCAACAAAAAATCATTAGATGAAATTCAGTATTTAATGGATGGATTAAATAAATATAATTCATTAAAACTTAGACAATCATGGTTTTTTTAACTAAAATTTAAGTAATAATTTGACCAATTATTATAGTTACATAGAACTAGCTAAAAAAATTAATGAAACAGAATTTTCAAGAAATTTTAGATCTGGAAATTTTATTCATCAACTACTTGAAATTTCAAAAGAAGACACAGATATGGTATTTAATTACACATAAAAGAATCAATGTTGATTTAATTTAGATTATATTATATTGTACATTATTTATATTATATCTTCTTCTTCAAGATAAAAAGTCAGCATATGCTCTAGTATCAGATGATATTACGTTCGAAATCATTTTTTTAGGACTTTCATATGATGAAAATATTGAATCATATAATTCAAAAAACCATAAAACAAACAATTATATGAAAGATTCAGTATGTTATTTTATTATATATAATTATATTTTAACAGAATAATAGCTCATTGATTTAATAAAAACAGTAAAATTTAGTACAGTGCACTCCGAATATTCTAATAAGGTTATTTAGTAATTATATTTTATTATGGTAATAATTTTATAGTCATCATGTTGCATACTTTCCATAAATGCAATTAAAAGTATCGCATTTTTACCAACATGGGAAACATTAAATTATCTGGAAAAAATGGAATCATTTGGTTGTATTTCAAGTCTATATGACATTATTGATAGAATATCTAATAATGATAATGTATTGTTGCATTTGTTTTCATGTGTTAATCTAATACACAACATTAGAGCGAAGAATTTTATCTTATAGAAACTATTGTAAGATCAATTGAACAGTGTGCACTTATTACGTGTTCTAATACACATATAAAACGAATATCAACTATTATTACATTACTTACAAGTAGTTTATTTCATAATTTTAAAAAGAAATATAGTGAGTACTAATAATTCTTAAAAATTATTTCAAACAATATAGAATACGATATTTTTCAATCATGTCTTAGACTATTAATTAATCTTACTAATAATAGTTCATCTATTTGTGACGAAGTTGCTTATCCAAAATTTATACAAACTTTAACCAATATAATAATATCAAAAAAAGATTCTTTAGATATAGACCAATCTTCAGATAATACTTTATTAACTCTTGGTCTATTAATCAATATAATAGAGAAAGGATCAAAAATAAGTTATATTTCGGAGGAATATGGTATATTATAAACAAATATATACTCTACTTATTAAGAATAGATACAGGAAACACATTTATAAGTTTGGTTACTATTGACGAACTAGTAAATACATTTACTAGATGGAGAGAATATTCATATAATGTTAGTTTTTTCAACAATATTTTCTTTATTTAATTTATATTACAGACAGAAACTAATGTCGCAGCCGGATATTTAGCAATACTTTTAGCTCATTTATCTCTAAAAAATAGTGATTCTGGAAACATGTTTTTATCAAAATATATTCGAGAAAAATTACCCAATAATTCATATAATATTATTATCGAGTTCTTACATGAATTTGCACAGTTTAACATGGAGATTGAAAAAAAAGCAGCAGAAACTTTTAGAATAAAATGGTCTAGTATAGCAAGTGAAATACAAAAAATATCTGAAGTTTTGCACGAGCTCGAATCGAAATTAATTATATCTAAATGATGTATTTTTTTATTAATATTAGAAACCAGACATTACATTATATTATATATATATATATATTTGCTTATTATTTCTAATTTTAATTATTTTTTACAATCAATTTTAAATGTTAATATTTTTTTTACCATATATTTTCGAAATTATTTTTTTACAATTATCAACATTAAAAAATCTTTAAAAATGCCACCTCCTAAATCCAGAAAAATAGCGGTTATGGGATCTAGATCAGTTGGTTTGTTTTTTCCGTTCGTTTTCAACGAAATAATATTTTAGGAAAGTCATCTCTTACAGTTCAATTTGTAGAAGGGGTAATATATACTTAAAATATTTTTGAAATTATATTAATATAACAAAGCAATTCGGCACATTATTTTCTTTTGAAAAAGTTATTTTACTAATATTTCTAAGTCGAAAGTTATTATCCAACTATTGAAAATACATTCAATAAAACTATAAGATTCAGAGGTCAAGAATATGCAACAGAAATTATAGATACAGCTGGTCAAGTATGAAATAGTAAATACATTTATAATTTTTTCTTATAGGTATAGGACGAATACAGCATTCTTAATTCAAATTATTCTATTGGTATACATGGTTTTATTTTAGTTTATTCAGTTGCATCTAAGTCTTCATTTGATATGGTTAAAATTATCCGTGATAAAATACTCAATCATACAGTAACACTAAACTAAAAATAAATTAAATAGTAATTATAATACTTAGGGGACTGAACAAGTGCCAATTGTAATAGTAGGAAACAAAAGTGATCTTCATATTCAAAGGTTTTTAAACTATTTTAATAGTAATAATTCTTAGAAAAAAAGACAGGTTACTCCAGAAGATGGCAAGAGTCTTGCATTAAAATGGGGATGTTCATGGACTGAAGCATCTGCACGTCATAACGAGAACGTCGGTTAGTAAAATATTTTATTTTTTTATGTAAAACATATTTATATCATTTATAGCTAGAATTTTTGATTTTATTATATTAGAAATTGAGAAACAGATAAATCCAAGCCAATCAAGTGAAAATAAGGGATGTAAAATTTCATAATTATTTAGTTTAATGATATTTTTTTTAAATTTGCTCCTTTATTTTTTTTAACTACAAATAATTAACATTATTTATTCATAAATACTATAAAAATATTTTAATACGCATGTCTAAATTTTTAGTTTTAAAAAATTATCGAATCAAGAGTTTTTAAAAAAATATTTTTTTTTGAATATTACAATGTTTAACATATTCTACCCAGATATCAATTAAATCATTATGAAGAACTTTTAACTGTTTTCATATATATTATTTTTTTAAAATGAATCAAAATGAGTAAAATGGACACTGTGAACTATAAATTAAGAAGATTTGAGGGATGTAGCAAACCTAAAGATTATGAAAGACTTGAAAAATTAGGAGAGGGAACTTTTGGGTAACAAAAAATAATTAGAGATGATATTTTCTGAAATATTATCAAGAGAAGTTCATAAGGGTAGAAAAAAGAGTACACATGATTTAGTTGCTATGAAACGAATTTTAATGCATAACGAAAAAGAAGGAGTATGTATTTAAATATATTAATATATGTTTCTAAAAACATTTTAGTTTCCAATAACAGCATTACGAGAAATAAAAATACTAAAAATGCTTTCACATGTTAATGTTATACCTCTTATGGATATAATTGTTGACAGAGGTAAATAATTAATTTAATTTTAAATAAACAGACATACTAAATAGAAGCCAGGTGATCGTAAAGAAAGAAAACACGGTTCGATTTATATGGTTACACCATATATGGATCATGATCTATCAGGATTATTAGAAAATCCAAAGGTTAATTTTTCAGAAGCTCAAATAAAATGTTATATGAAACAACTTTTAGAAGGAATAAGCTATCTTCATCAAGTTGGTTAAAAGATATATTATTTTGTCTGCTAATTCTTAGAATAATATTATGCATAGGGATATGAAAGGTTTATAATATCATTTTAGATATCATACTAATTTTAGATAGCTGCAAATTTGCTTATTAATAATAGAGGGATACTCAAAATAGCAGATTTTGGCTTAGCAAGAACTTTCGAAGAACCTTTTCCTAATAAAGATAATTATATTATTGCACGAGAGTATACAAATTGTGTTGTTACTAGATGGTACAGACCACCTGAATTACTTTTAGGAGAAAAAAAATACACTGCCGCAATAGATATGTGGGGTGTTGGGTAGTTAAAATAAAGATAATTAGATGACTTTTATTTATAAAATTAGATGCGTATTCGGGGAAATGTACAAACAAAAACCCATTCTTCAGGGTAAATCTGATATAGATCAATTGGCAATAATTTTTGAGATTTGCGGATCACCAACAGAATCTACAATGCCAGGATGGCAAAGTTTACCAAGAAGTGAAAGCATAAAAGCTTTTCGTACGTATTTTCGTACTCTTGAAGATAAATTTTCAGAGTAATTTATATACAAATCCTAAACAATTTATCTTATTTAAATAGATATGGTCCTCGTATGGTATCTCTTTTAGGACATCTTCTTACTCTTGATCCTCATAAACGATTTTCTGCATTGGATGCCCTTAATCACAGTTATTTCCATACATCACCATTGCCTGCTGACCCATCAATGCTTGATACATACGATCCAAGTCATGAATTAGATAGGCGGAAATATAGAGAAGAAAAAGGATATGGAAATTATTTACATTCTGAATCTAAAGAAAAATCCATGGATACAAAAAATAAATGGGAAGGGAAAATCTATGAGAGAAATCCTCCATTATGGATAATGAATAACCAAAAATTAAAAAACACAAAATTTAGACTAAAAGATAATTATACAAGAGAAGACTCAGATAGTTATATGCATCATAAATCATCATTCTCATCATATTCTCACAATCAAGATAAGCAATCAAATTTTGAATAGGATACCCAAAAAAATGTAAACTTTTATCATGAAGAATCACAAAGAATATATTATGAACTATATACTCCACAATTTAACCAAGAAATATAAATAATAATGCAAAATCGAGTAATTATGAAATTCATAGTCACTGTTGGTATAAAAATAAAACTATATTTATGAACGATATTTAGACAAGAAAAATATTTTTTTTAAAATTGTATTTTTTATAACTAAAAAATAATTTTAATAATTATATATTATTCTATATACAGTTTGAAATTATTCTATCAATTTCGAATATTTTGGTTCAATATATATATATACATATATTATAGCTTTTAACATTGAATCTTAATTTTGATTTATCGTATCTAAGTATCGAAACTTTATCGAAAAAATTTAATATTACAAACTAAAATTCAAATTTATCATTATTTAACTTATACATTGATTTTGGTAACAAAAATATTAAAAATTATTTCTAATTAGTATTTTTTTATAAACCTTAGATTTTAAACAATTATTATTTGTTAAAATTCAATCAAAAAATATCATAGAAAATTTTAATAAAATATAAAAAAAATTAATAAAATAGCAAAATTCTATATATTAATAAAATTCACATATTTCTGATACATATACAATGCATCTTAGAAATTCTAATATGTTTATCTAAAATATTAAAATAAAAGTATTAATTAATAAAAATAAAAATAAAATATTATTTATTTTAAAAATTTAAATATAAAACTAAAGCCTTTTATAATCTTATCAACTAAACTTTTATCCTACTTATATATAAAATAGCTAATAAGCATAAATTCTATTAGATATTTAATTATTAAATCTATAAAATACTTTTTTTTTATAAAATATAAAAATATAATTCAAATAAAAACCTTAAATCATTAAAAGTAGTAATTATATTATAGAAAATATGAAAAAAAAAATCACATTTTTTTTAACTATACTATTTTCAATATATAATTTTTAATTAACATAAAAACTACATTTTCATAATTTTTATAAAAGTTAATATTTTTATTAAATTAAATATATATATCTAAATATTGCAAATAAGTACACACTTTTTTTATTAAAACAAAAAAGATATTAAAAATAATAAAGCTAATATATATTTTAATGATCATACATCTTAAAAACATTTCTTAATATATATAAATCAATATACATTGTGTTCTTATAAAAATAATACTAAAATATTAAATTTTATTTATTGATATTTTACTTCTAAAGAACATTTAACAATCATTAAATAAAATTCATAAAGATTTTTTTATTGTAAATTTATATTATTGTAAATTCTTAAAATTTATGCAAAATATTAAATGTAATTTTATATAAAACATTATTTTTAAAATTAAGTCAAAATCAGAAATTCATGATTATTATATCACAATAGTACAACACTACAAGAATAACCAAAATATTGATTTGAATTTTATATAAAAATTTAATTTTTTAAAATGGAAAATAACAATAAAATAGTTTAAATATTTTACTTTTTCCAACACTTTTTTCTAATACTTAATCTATTTAAAAACTTTAATTTCTACTTATTACCTATAAAATAAATGCAATCTTGATTATTAAAAGATTAAACAATTTAAAAAACTAAAAAATAGTTCTAAAAAATTATAAAATTTCAATATAAAAATCTTAAATATAAATATAATTAACTTTTTGCAAAAGACTAACAAAATTGATATAAAAACAAAACGAAAATTACATAATTTTAAGCTATTAGACGTAGATATAAGAATAATTTCAAAACTTTTATAAAAAAAACATAAACTAAGGAGCAAAATACTATCATATCCTAAAAGCTACTTTTATTTAAATTTTCTCTAGTTAACATTTTTTTAATAATTTCATATTATAGAAAAAAATAAGTATTAAAAACAATAATACTTAAATTATTATATCAAAACTATCTAAATCCGCATTTTCATTATTTATAATAAAAAAATCATTAAAAATTAATAGATTTACTAAAATTTATTTCTCATTAAAAAACATATTTACCTAAAATCTGAAAATTAGAATTTAACATGTCTATTAAAAGCTAATATTATTATTATAATTTTTCGAAAAATCACAAATCAATTTATTAATTTATAAATATATATATATAGATTACAATTTATAATTTGAAATCAGATATATTACATATATATATTTACAAAAATTAAAAATAATCATTTATAGTTTTCATCTGTATCATTTGATAGACCATATATAACCTTATCTGTTGCAAGAAGATATTCTTTTTCCCCATTGTTTAATACATTTGGATCATGATATCCCAATGGTCCTCTATCACAATCTGCACATATAAGAAACTTTATATTTCCTTCTATATCATTTGAAAAACCAAGATTTTCAAAAACAAAAGGCGAAGATACAGTCCAAAATGTAGACATTACATTCGATGATAATTTGCAAGAATTATCAAGTATCTATACTAATATTTAATCCTCAGAAATTTAAATAATATATCATACTCGATTTCTTCTATACACCAATACCCCCATACCTTTCAATAAAATAACAGATTTGCACTTAGGATATGGACAATATAAAATATCCGAATTCCTTATTCTTTCAGTAACATCTTTATTATCAAACATAACTATCTATCCTATAAAACCCATTTTTTTTAAAAAACCATATCGTTATAAATTCACTAAATTTCCGTACTTAAATATTTATTCATTATGTAATATTTCTGAACATTTTTAAGAATAACATATCTAGAAAGCTTTTTAAAAAATCTTTGAAACTTTATTATAAAGCAAATTTCAAAAAATATACTTTATTAATATATTTCTAAACATATAATAATTTTTTAACTTTAGAAAAATTAATCTAAAATTTTATATATGCATCATATTTCCATTTTAATGAATACAATAATTCTTTTTGTACTAATATAAGCCTATATTACAAAGTTTCTTATATAATACTCATAAACTAATCTTTACTCAAAGTTAAATATTTATCCTTACAATTATATAATAGAAAGCAAAAATTCATTATTACAACATGCACGCATTGGAACATAGACAATACCTTAACAATAACTATCTAACTAATTTAAATCTTAAACAAAAATTAATCTTTAGAATAAATTTCTAAATAAAAAGTTCAATTTTTAAACATACAACAAATATCATTCATTTTACTAAATCTATATTCTAAATTAGAATAATAGAAAATCCTTTAATTCATCAATTTCAAACATGTTTCTAAAGTAAACACAATGAATTCCTATTAACCTATATTTTTTTTTATCATATTTTTAGAACAATAGACTATCGTAATGAGCAAAATTTTAGATTTATATATTCATTTTTTTCTATATTACAAAATCCTTTATTTTTTCATCCATCTTAAACTTTTCAAAATCTAAAAATTATATTCAATACTCATATTTAAAAATGAGTTTTAGCTAAAAATAGAAGCTAAGCTGCAAAAATAATACAATTTCTCATGTAATGCCAAGTAAAATGTCAGCATTGACTCTTTTATCATCAAAATGCTCCCAATCTATTCCTAAGTTAAAATATACCCTAACACATTTCTGTCAAAACATTAATTCCGAATTTTTGACTAACCCTAAAAAATTACATAAATGAAGTAATTACTCCAAACATTTAAATATAATATATTTTACGAAGTCTTTGACAGAATACATAATTTTCACTTATAGCTATTCAAAATTATATTTAAATACATGAAAACAAAAAAATATATTTTATAAAAATATTTAGTAAAGATTATATAATTTCACCATTCAACAATTATATATATAGCTCTTCAAAAATCATATTTTTAAAAACAAAAAAAATAATGTTAAAACAAAAAGCAATTTTATTTCTTTATTATAAACTAAATATTCGGTAAACAATACATATTTTTTTAAATTCCTATCAGTATAAATGATGTCAATATCTCCTTTTTCGGTTAATCAAAGAATTCATAATAAACATACCATTACATTTTACATTCCTAACTTAAACCCTAACCCTATATTGATTTTACAATATCGTAAAACCAATCGGGTAATGAGTACATTCCAATGCTTTAAAAAGCCGTAACGAGCCTAACCTTTTTTTCTTTTCAACTCTCATTTACTTTTTCTTTAGAAGATATCATTTTTGCTAAGGCTATTACATTTGAATAAAATTCAAACTTAATAAAAGACACCTGATTCTTTATAGAATATATAAAACTTATAAGATATACGCAAATTAAGTTGCAAAGGAATCGTTTAGAGATATTTTTTAAACATTAATCTTTTAAAAGACACTAAATACAATTTTCTTTAAAAAATATCGATTCATTTCTTTAAGTATATCTATGGAACAGAAACTTTGCACTTAACAATTAATTGCTTTACATTTTTTTGCAAACTTTGGATCTTTTTTTTTGGTTTTTCTATAAAGCCAATTATTTGATTTCACTTTAAATTTCATTATATAAGCATTTTTCAAGATATTTATCAATTTTGGATAAATTAATTATGGCTACACATTTATCTTACATGGCATCAATTTCTATACCTGAGTCTCAGTATACTATCACGTCTCCAGCTCCTCTATATTCGGTTTCGCCATCCAAAATCTTTCGGCAAGACATTCCTCGATCATCACCATGTAAATCAAATATTTCTTTTAAATCCACATCATCTCTTCTTCCTTCACCTATGAAAAGTATCACGAATCAACATTATAAAGCACCGTCTAAAACATCTATGAAAATATCTCTTGCTTCACAATATCCGCCTCCACCGACGTTTTCTAAAGACAATTTTGAGATACATTCACCAGCATCTTTATTGGATGATAAAGAAAATATGGTTCCAAATAGCTTTTCAATACCAAATTCAAAGCTTTCCAAAGGTTCTTCTCGCCAGGATTCGCATGAATCATCGAAAAATACATCTATGCCACTACAGAATCTTGTGATTCCTGAACCACATGAAATGCCTCTAATTGAGGATGATGGTCAGAAGCCTCCTTACAGTTATGCAACACTTATAGGAATGGCTATTTTGCGTGCACCTCAACGTAGATTAACATTATCAGCTATTTATCATTGGATTTCACATACTTTTGAATATTACTGCAATAATGATTCTGGTTGGCAAAATAGTATTCGGCACAATCTCAGCCTCAATAAAGCCTTTGTTAAACAAGAACGGCCTAAAGATGAGCCTGGAAAAGGCAATTATTGGACTATTGAACCAGGATATGAATTTCAGTTTATGAGAGGACGTACTCGCAAAAATACATCGATATCTAAACGACCTACTTTAACACCTTCTATAACTATACCCCAGAATGACAAAAAGCGGTCTCTTATAGAAAATATTGTTGAATCGGATTGCGAAACTCAATCTTGTATAAAGCGCTCCAAAATAGATCATAATATGAATAACACATTACCGTCTTTGTCGTATCAGCATTGTGATACTACTCCTTCATCAATGAATGAGAAGATGGATATACTTTCTAATAAGAATGGCTGTCTTAATAAGTAAAATATTTCCTCTATTAATTATTTCTCTGCTAATAATAATATTAGCTTTTCTCAATGCCAAACAGCTCTTTCTAAACAAATACTTCTGCAAAATCATATTGAAAGTCATTCTACTGGAGCGATGTTAGATTTTATTTCACCACCTGTATCTCCTCGTCACGAATCTATACTCAATCCAACACCTTATTCTCCACTAACACCTATTCTTACTACACAGACTACTTCAGTATTGCCTAATTCTAGTCCTACAACATGTTTACGTAAACACAGAGATCATATCATTAAATTATTAGGAACATCAGAGAATAATCAAGCTTTTGCCGAGGAAGATCTTTGGGGAACAGGAAGTATCGATAATTCCCAAAATCCTAATATATCTATTTTTGAAGATGATGATATCGTATCTAAAGCATGTTTTGGTAGCCCTGATAAGCGTGAAGCTAAACGTCGAGAAATCAGAAGAAGTTTGATTTCCGGATTACATAGTAAAGAGCTTTATGCTATGGAGGGTGTTTCTGAAGTAATTGATATTTTTGGGATTGATATAGTTAGCATTGTTCGTCGGGAAATTGAGCGTATTAAGCGAGATGAGGACTCAACATCTGGAAATACAGCTCTTGAGGAATGCCTTGCATAGGATTTTTATGACTTGCTATGCTTAATAATCGTATTTTTTTTGGTTATGGACATTTTATTTTGTTAGAGTTATGATTTAGGATTCCATAGAAATATTTATACAATTCGGAACTATAGACTTTTATTGGTTAATAGATTTTTTTTTGGGCAGGTTAAAATATTAAAATAATTTGTATATATATATTTTTTTAAATGCAGCATATTGTTGCATCAGTTTGGATATATGTTTTGATCATAATTTTTAATTAAATTTTTACTATAATATCTAATTTTTGTATAAACATGGATTCTTAATATATTGCATGTCAGACCATTAAAAATGATTATGTTAAAAAACAATAAATTAATAGCACATGTTACCAACATAAAAAGAATCATTTTTATGCCTATTTGAAAATATAAACAGTCGGTATTTTTTTAAAAAATGAATTATAAATCAATCACAACTTGCACATCCTCGACACCCTAAAATCAATTAACCTATTTTTAATAATCCAATTATTTACCACAATGAACACATTCTACAATAGTAGCTTTAGGCAAATGTATCTTTGGAACTCTACATATACATGTACTATTAAAATTCATTTCTTTAGTTTGAATACATCGTAAACAACAAAGTTTCTCATATCCATTCTTTTAATAATATAAATATTCAAAATTTAAATTAACATAGAAAAACTCACTTTTTTCCATTTAGCTATTAAATTTCCGTCAGCATAACCTTGTTTTAATAACCAATCATATAATTCTTTTGATATTGCTTCACGTTTATAGTATAAATCATAAATATATCTTGATCTTTGATGATGAATTTGAAAAATGGGAGCTAAAGCACCTTGCCGACTTTTGTTTTCATGAGGTTCGTTTTCAACTAAATTCATTAAATTTAAAGACAAAAAATACATTTAAACTACTATCTTTCATCTTTTGTGCAAAATCATGTAATATAGGTTCAATATCATCAAATCCCTCAAACAAATCTAAATCAAATATAAAGTATAGTATTACTAAATATTACCTCAGGAGGCAGTTTTGCTCTTAATGTTCTTATTCGAGGCATAATAAGTATTTAAATAAAAAATAGATACAAATTTACTTTCGAAATATTGAAAAAAAATTAATAAAAACTATTTACATTTTTACTCTAAAAAAAACTAAACCAAAACGCAAACTTGCAACTAATAATTACTATATTATAATAATCGATATTCAAAAATTTAATCATCTCATTAAAATATATATACATATAATAATAATAAACAGTATTTTTCAATAGTTCAACTATTAATTTTATAATTATTACTATATAACACCGAACTGTACACTAATTTCATTTATACTATCTTCACTTATAACCTCAAAATCCCTTTTCTCTTTTATAAATTTAATAATATTTTTTATAATCATCAATTCGTTCATATTAAAAATTGAAGATTTCTTATGAAGTAAAGAAATAGAACCTAATACCTAATAATATTTAAAAAAAAAAATCAAAAATTGAAAATAACCTCTTCAAGTGCATTATTTTGTATTTCTTTTCTTTGTATAATCTCAACCAAAATCTTTTGTAACTGATTAAGTTTAATATGCTCTATTACTAAATCAACACCTGTATCTTGCAATAATAATGTCCATATGAAAAACAGAATTTTCCTTTGCAATACCGTATCTTAAAAAAATTAATAAAATAAAAAAAGAAAATAACGACTTACAATTATCATCTTTAAGATACTTTACCAGAATAGACCAACCATCAAATTTATAAAACTCTTCTAAAGCAGATAAATTATTCCGAACTTCACTTGCAATTGCATAAAACGACTTTAAACGAACATGTGGATCATCATCTGAATTAAATAAAGCCAAAACTTTTTCAAACCCTCTATTATTCAAAAACTAACACAGTTAAACATTAAAAAAATCAAGATAAACACTAACATGCTCTTGACTATCAAAATTATTTTGAACAGCAGTACCGCATACTGACGCAGCATGCATTCTAATAATAGGCTCTGGAGAAGAAAGTTGTTGAATTAACGGTTCCCACATATTCATATTTGCAAGATCTATCAAAATAAATCCAAAATAATTAAGATGAAATATAATACTTTTTGCATTGTAAATATCTTCTACTAGCTATTATATCATTTATAACATACTTATATATTAATAAAACACGTTACCATTTCGAGATTTTCAAACGCAGTTTTCCGATTTTCAAGAGACTCATTAGGATTACAGATAACACTCATCGCCTCTTTCATTAAAACAGCATCATCTTTCCCAAGAATATGATCTATTAATTCTGGATCCTTATGATTATTAGTCATAATAAATCAAAAAAAATACATACCAAATTCGAACGAAAAGTATTATGATCAGATTCATTTCTTTCAGTATGAAAACTTGTAGTAAAATCTAAAAGCTTCCCCAAACCAGACATATTAAGAATTTAGATAAATTTAATAAAATAAAATAATTATTATACGATTCGAAATGTATATATTATAAAAAACTTATACAAACCCTTTTCTAAAAATAAGAAATTCAAAAACTAACAATATTACTTAAATGGAATTCACACTAATCAAAAAATTTATACAAAATATATACATATTTTAAAATATCTTGATTTTTTTTTGAATTTTTTTTAAATAATTTACAAAACATTAAAAGAAAAATTTTAAAAAACATAATTTCATTTGACTAATATTTAATGCACATAAATAATTTTTATAATTCAAAATTTAACTATTTTTTAACATTATAATTAATGATAAATTTAGCAAGATAATCCATTCTATGTCAAAATATTTCGAAAAGATATCACCTATATTAATTTCATAATTATTGCTCTTTTAAGCACATAAAACTCCAATATCAAAACAAAATTTTATAATATAAAATTTTACAATTTCCACTATAATTTATATTAAAAGTCAGGTAACGAAACATCAATTTTTTTAGATTTATAAAAATAAGATAATTTTTTCCAAAGCTCACGCTCATCAACTGCACTTTTTTTAGCATCCAAAGCTTCCAAAAATTCATCCTCTTCCTTCATTAGCATTTCTTCAGTTTGTTCATCATCAAAATTTTCCAAAGCAACAAAAGATGAATCATCATTAGTATTAAAAGATACATTTTCCTGATCAATCAACATTGGACTTAACTCATCTATATCAAAATCAGTATTTTCATCATTACTAACCTGAGAACTATCTGATATAAAAGATGTCGCAGATGAATTATCTTCTAAATAAATATAATTATCTTCAATGCCAGAAAACTTATTACACGGATGCACCCCTTTTGCACGTCTTCGGATGATACTCAAAGGAATTTTAGAAAGTTTATGTTTTATTACATCAAAATCTAGCTTTTGACCAGTCTCATTCAATACAGTCATTTCAATTCTTCTAGGAAGATTAAGCCAGTATTCGTCAGAATTCCTACTAATTCCAAGGATATCGACAGCAACAAGTACATCCTTTGAACGTACAACATATTGAGAATGAAAGTTAGAAGATCTTTCTGCACGAAGTCTAGAAAGCGCTATAAAATGTGCCATCTGTACAAGTCGTTCAGTCAATCTACGTGCAAGTTTATACATATGCATTAAAGTTGTCCTATATAACACAACTTCTTTAGAAGAAAATTCTATATCCCTATTAAAAAACAATCTATCAAAATATTATGAATAGTCATAAAAACATTATGCCTTACTTCTCTGATAGCTCAATAAACGATTTAGGACGCAAAAAGCATATTTCAGGTGATACTTTTAATAAAGGTTCTTGAATAGAAGAAAACGGTTTATTAACATAATCCCATGCTATCTCTATCTCGTTAGTTTTTTTATTCTCCAAAAAAGACCACTCAGGCCCCCATGTTAATCTCTCTTGTCTCTCTTGAATTTTATCAGTAAATTCTTGTATTTTTTTAGCTTCTTTTTCTTCAATATTAATCCATTCATCACTCATTTCCATTGCAGCAGGAATATTCCGAAAATTAACAATTTCCTTTCCATTCCCTTTACCAAAAAGACGGAAAGCCCTCAATTCCTCATCCAAAATATTCATATAACCTATAACTTGCATAACACTTTTACTACCTATATCTCTTGCTATATCTTCTGGATTATGACGACTTCTACGAGATAAACTTTTAAAAAACCGCTCTTTTTCTAACGAAGTCCATATGTCACCATTAATTACAGATGATTCCAAGATATTCCTCATAATTCCAACATCTCTATCTTCCCCTATCTCTTTAATTGTTTGATTCAAAAGCTGCAAATATACAGGATTAATATGTTCAGAAATACAACGTGTTTTTAAACGACGTTTACGAAATACTGTCATACGAAACATAGATCTACGTCGAAACAATCCTTTTAAACGTAGAAATCCATCCATTTTCTTTTCATTACTAGTAACTTCATTTGAGATTGCTACCTTTTTCTCATTTTTACACAATTCTTTATCAAAATCATCTAATTTCTTAATCATGTCTTATTTTTTATAAAAAATAATAAGGATTATTACATTTTTTTAAAACATTTTTATCTTGTTTAAAACAAGTTTTTTTATCGATTATAAACCTTCTAATTATCATTACAAAATATATTGTGCAAAATTTAAACACGCAATATCAGTAAAATAAGAGCAGATTAGACATTTATTTGACATAAATAAGCATAAACTGCTCATTAATTATGCAGAATTTGCCAAGAAGTGATGATCTTGAGGGAACGTAAGTTTATTTTAAATTTTTAAAAACTTACTAGAAAACATAGATGGAAATTTCTTGAGAAAGGAGTTTCTCAAATTATGGAGAATTTAGAAGAGGGATTAAGTTTTTCCAAATATATAGAAAATTATACGTAAAACAAATATATTTTTTAAAAGATTATTTTATCATTAATAGTGTCGTATACAACTATTGCGCTCGACCCAAAACTACTGCAGATATATCTATGAATGAGTCGTCAAAAGGCATAGCTAAATAAATTTATTATAAATAGGGAGTTCTAATAGAAATTATAGGTGCAAATTTACTAGGTAACGAACTTTATTATAACTTAGTTCGTTATTTATCATCTCATATGCAATCTATTAAAAATGTTTGTTTGAAGAAATTCTACATAAAAATCTATTTATTATATTTTAGGAATCACTAAAATATAATGATGAGGATTTACTACATTTCTATTCACATCAATGGTCAAGATATACGAGTGCTAGTTTTTGTATACATCATATATTTAAATATTTAAATAACTTTTGGGTAAAAAGAAAAATCGATGAAGGAAAAACAGGCATTTATAACGTTTATACTGTTTTAATCCTATTTTAAAATTAGTTTGATTACTAATAAAATTAGCTTGCATTGGTTAGATGGAAACTTGATATGTTTGATGATATTCATGAAAAAGTGACAGAAACTTTATTGAAAGTTATTGAAAAGCAAAGAAATGGAGAAACAATAAATACGTCTCTTCTAAAAAATGTGATAAATTCATATGTTTCTCTTGGGCTTGATGAAAAAGATTCATCTAAACTAGTACTTGATGTATATAACAATTACTTCGAAAGACCATTTATAACTTCTACCGAAATATATTATAGAATTGAAGCAGAAAAATATATATCTGAAAATAGCATTACAGATTATATGAAAAAGGTATGAACATTTTAGCATTCTTTTTTTTTTTTTTAAAAAATAAAGGTCGAAGCAAGATTCAATGAAGAAAAAGCCCGTATACAATTGTATCTTCACCCAAATACAACTAAGGTTCTTATGAATGTTTGTGATCACGTTTTTATACAAAATCATTCAGAAATTCTTCAAGACGAATTTCAAAATATTCTTGATTCTGATAGACAAGAAGATATGACTCGAATGTATACACTTCTTTCACGTATTCCTGATGGAGTAAATCCGTTAAAAGTAAAATTCGAAGCACACGTATGTAAAGCTGGATTGCTTGCTGTAGAAAGAATAGTTGTTGATTCTACTAACTCAGTGGTAATTCTAAATAATTTCGTATTTAATATAACACAATTTAGGACCCTAAATCCTATATTGATGCATTGTTAGAAATTCGTTCACGATATAATACATTAGTAGCAACTGCTTTTAAAGGAGATATGGAATTTATAAAAGCATTGGATAATGTATTAATCATTATTAGTTTTCTTATTTTTATCTAATATTTTTAGGCATGTCATGAATTTATTAACCGTAATAAAGTTTGTCGTCTATCTTCATCAAAATCTCCAGAACTTCTCGCAAAATATTGTGATTCTTTACTTAAAAAAAATTCAAAATATGTGGAAAAAAATGATTTCGAGAACACACTTGTCAACATTGTAAACTAGTTTTTTTTTTAAAACCATTATAACTATCAATAGATGACTATTTTTAAATATGTTGAAGATAAAGATGTATTTCAAAAATTTTATTCGAAAATGTTAGCCAAACGCTTAATTAATGGAACATCGGCATCTGATGACGCTGAAACAAGCATGATATTGAAACTAAAAGAAGCATGTGGATTCGAGTACACGAATAAACTCCAAAGAATGTTTCAAGATATAGATGTATCTAAAAACCTTCAAGAATCATTCAAAGAATCGTTGAAAAAAACATTAGATCCTTATAATTCCCAAAGTTAGTAATGTATACATATATATCTTTATCATTAAGTTTTATAGTTAATTTTTATATTATTGTTCTCGGGACAGGATTCTGGCCTCTACAACCACCTTCAACTCCTTTTAATATTCCGAATGAATTAGTTGATATTTATGAAAAGTTCCAATCATTTTACCAAAAAAAACATAATGGTCGTAAACTTAACTGGTTATTTCAATTATCTAAAGGAGAATTAAAAGTTAATTATTTGTCAAATACGAAAGTTTCGCATACGTTTCAGGTTTCTACATACCAAATGGGGATTCTTTTAGCTTATAATACTTCTACATCACTATCATATGAAAACCTTCAAGAAATAACAGCATTAAAAAAAGACGTTTTGGATGCATCTTTAAATATATTAGTAAAAGCGAAAGTATTATTGATTTTTCCTCCAGATATGACCGTGGGCTATAGTAATACTAGATACAATTTAAATATGAACTTTAAAAGTAAAAAAATTCGAGTAAATCTTAATATGCCTACAAAAATTGAACAAAAACAAGAAAGTGACGAAACACAAAGAACAATAGAAGAAGATAGAAAACTTTTAATGCAGGTAAATTTTTATTTTAACAAATATTATTTTTTTAATTTTATTAAGTCTACAATCGTTCGTATTATGAAAGCAAGGAAAATCTTAAAACACGTTGTATTGATACAAGAAACCATTAGCCAAATTAAATCACGATTTATTCCAAAAATATCTGATATTAAACGTTGTATTGATGTATTAATTGAAAAAGAATACATCGAACGATCTGGAAAAGATGAATATTCTTATCTTGCATAATTCATTATCCTTAATTTTTATATATTCTTTTATTGGCAAATAGTTCAACTATTACATGTCCTTAAAATATATTATATACCTATATAAATATGTAATTTTTGCAAATCCTTTATCTACATAAACAATTCAATTTAACATTATCAATTCTCTTCAAAAATCTTCTAATCATTTCTTTAAACTATTTCATCCCCATTTTTACTACTAAATATAAATAACAAAACTATTCTTAATACTTTTATAATAAACCCTCAACAAACGACCTTTATATTTACATATTTTATATCAGGTCTTTCGTAGATAAGCAAATACGTTGATATACACATATTATATAATATATTTATATATAATAATATATATACAAGAATAAATATATACATATAACAAATAAGAAGACATATTATAAGAAAATTTGGAAAAAATACAGGAATTAAATTTAATTCAAAGTAGTTCCGTTATATTTTTTATTAGGTCTAATTGAGTAACGATAACCTTTCAAAAAAAACATCTAAAATAAAGCATCCAGCTTAAACATAAATAATACAAATATTTGCAGATTTAAGTCTCAGTTGGTATTTTCGAAGGCGATATGGCTGAGGAAGCTTCAGACTCTACAATGGATCAGCTAAGCGGTGTAGCACCGAGCTCGGAACCCTTTGAAATTGTCAAAACTGAAGACCCAGAAGTAGAACGTAAACGTCTTGAAGATGCAGCACGCGCATTTCTTGTGGAGCAGACTCATGAAGTGATCATTCCATCGTATGCAGCATGGTTTGATATGTCAGTAATTAATGAAATTGAAAAAAAATCACTTCCAGAATTCTTTAATAACCGTAATCGTTCTAAAACACCATCTGTTTATAAAGATTATAGAGATTTCATGATCAATATTTATCGGTTAAATCCGATTGAATATCTTACAGTAACAGCATGTCGTCGTAATCTTGCAGGAGATGTTTGTGCTATCATGCGTGTACATGCGTTTCTTGAACAATGGGGATTAATTAATTATCAAGTATAAACTTTATCAAATATTCATAATTAACTAAATACATTAATAGATTGATTTAGAAACTCGACCATCGAGTATAGGACCACCATTTACAGGTCATTTTAGGGTAATTGCAGATACACCAAGGGGACTTCAACCGTTTCAACCAGGACCGGGCTCAATAACGTCTCATGGGAGATCTTTAACAGAGCCATCAACATCTCAAACAAAAACAAGTTATCATCTTGAACTTCGAAAAGAATCATATGATTCTATCTATGGAAAATCGAATAATATATTAACAAACGGTAGCGAGCAAACAGAAAGCGGATTAGATTCGAAAAAGCAATATTTTTGTTTTACATGTGGTGTAGAGTGCTCTAGATTATTTTATCATAGCCTAAAAACAAAAAAATTCGAACTTTGTCCTAATTGTTATTCAGAAGGACGTTTTCCAGCAAGTTTTTTTAGCGGAGACTTTGTCAAAATGGAAGAGACGCCTATTAAAGGAAGTAAAGAGGACTGGTCTGATCAAGAGACACTTTTATTACTGGAAGGATTAGAAATGTATGACGATGATTGGAATTTAATTGCAGAACATGTTGGTACACGAACGCGAGAGCAATGTGTTCTCCGGTTTTTGCAATTGCCTATTCAAGATCCATATTTAGAGTCTAAAACGGAGGATTTAGGTCCATTACAATACAATCGTATTCCATTTTCACAAGCAGATAATCCTATCATGAGCGTTGTTGCGTTTCTTGCTGGTGTTGTAAATCCAAATATTGCCGCAGCTGCAGCACAATCATCATTAGAAGAGCTGACACATTCTTTAAAAAAGCATATTGATAAACAACCAGATAAAAATGTTATACCTGATATTGATTTTAAAAATGACTCAGACAAACCGGAAATTAAACAAGAACCTTCCACACATTGCGATATAAATCAAATTTCCAAACCAGAAGAAATGGATATCGATGAACATAAAGATCCAACATCAACAAAAATATCAAAAAATACAAATACATCTCCATCTAACACAATTGAAAAAGCTGCATCAATTGCATTAGGTGCGGCTGCAGCAAAAGCACAAATTTTGGTATCACACGAAGAACGCGAAATATCCCGACTTGTTTCAGAAGTCGTAAAATTACAATTATCTAAACTAGAATTAAAATTACAACAATTTAATGAACTTGAACAGATTCTTGAAGCGGAACGACAGGAATTAGAAAAGCATAGACAACAGCTTTATTTAGATAGACTCTCAATGAAAAAACAGATTATCATGGTTCAAGAACAACTTAACCAAGCTATTTCTATAGGTGGAGAAGAAGGTTTATTAATTATAAAAAAAATAAATGAATTAGGCTGTAAAGGTCCTAAACTTGAATTTATATCTACAGACCAAGATAATGTACAGGCTTCAACAATTCCCTTAAGTCAAGAAAATCCATCAAATTATACATCTTATCAATTATAAACAAATTATACATATTAGCTCATTAAAAATATTTTTTGTATATAAACATAAAAAATAAATGTTATTTATATATTATACATGTGGAATTACCATTAAAATTAAATGTAGGTTTAATAAGTTCATAACTCTACAAATCGAGTTTTTTTTCTAAAATTTAAACTTTAAAAATAAAATATTTAACATATTAATAATTAAAATCATAGATATTCTATTTATAAATAAAAAAACATTAAGTAAATATAGCGTAAATTGATATTTTTTAAAATAATAAAATCAAAATATAAAAATCAATAGTTGAAATAATAGATATTTAAATTTTCATTAACATATTGTACACTATTAAAATATATTACACACATACATTAAGACATTATAGAATATTCTTTTAATCTAAATTATTCGTAGATTTAACATCATTATTACAAGTAGACGTTTGATCAAGTATATTATGCTCATCTGACAACAAACCAATACGATATTTAAGAGACCTAAATCATATATTAAATAATGAAGAACCAAAAAAAACCTTACAATTCATTCATATCATCTATTTCTATCTCTGAATCAAAATCATCATGATCATATTTATGCCGATCAACAACTAATGGATCTAATAAAGGATTATGAATATAACGAACAATGCTTTTTCTATCAATCATAATTCGGCCGCCTCTACCAATGCGTTGCCTACAAAAAAGTCTTCTAGTATTAAATTTAGTGGAATGCGATAAAGCAGATGACGAATCAAAAGGTAGGGAGGGATAATCTTCTTTAGAGGATAAACCTAGTGACGCTTTTTTCGTATTTAAACAATATGAAGCAGTAATCATTCTGAAGAAAGTAAGAGGATATAATTTCGGATAAGGACAATATGGATTCTGAATACAGTTAAAATAGTTATAAATCTTAAAAAGAAAAATACATCTGTAATATCTTTCCAGCCAACATTCGAAAGTTGCTTCTGGCGAAGAGCTTTCTCAAGTGCAGAATGAGCAGCAGCAGCCTTTTCTGCTTGATAATCTTCCAAAAGAAAAAAGCTATCGCCTTCATTAGAACCAACCGTTTGAGGTACTGAAATATGAACTGTAGAACTTCCATTATCGTGCGCCTTTTTCTTCTAAAGCATATTTAATACATTCAAAAAAAAAGAATAAGTACCTTATGGGAAACCAAATCATCATCATCATCTTTAATCCCAAGTTTTCGTTTTATTTCCTTTACATAGCAACGCTGATTAAAAATACGCTGTTCCAAAAGAATAGATTCTTTTTTCAATTGCTCTCTTCTAACAACCAATTCTATTAAATTACGTGCTTGCTCCATTTCTGAACGAAGCTTTCGCAATTTTTCAGAACTCTGAGCATCTGATCTTCTAGTTTTACGAATCTGTCGTATCTCCCGTCTTCGAAAACATATGTATGGATCATTATCATCTTTTTCATTTTCCTCAAACTATTTTTTTTAGTCAGATCTTAAGATAAATTTCAATTATTTTTTTTACTCTTAAAGAAGGCATAAGCTGTTTCCCATTATTAGAAATCCGTCTATGCTTCCAATAAGGATAAATTTTCTTAGCAAAATATTTATAAGATGCAATAGATGAATTAACAAATGCAGATTCAAATTCAGAAAAATCAGAAATTTGAGAAACATCCTATAAATAATAAATAATACAAAAAAAGAGATTTATCAAGACCGTATAAAGACATTGTTTTTCATTCGTTAGAACTTCAAATTGACTCATAATAAACTCAAATACATCTTCTGAACAATAATTTTCCCTCGAACGTTTAGAACCATTAAATTTTAAAAGCCAATCACTATCTTCCTCATTCATACTATATGGACATCCTTCAGAATCTTCTACTGTCATTGAAAAACGAATAAATGTTGACGGTTCTATAAATGTTTTTTTATATAATTTTTCATAATTATCAACGATCTTAGATGCATCTGGTGTAGGAATATAAACTTGTTTCGAATTAAGAGACATCTGTGATGCAATGGCTGTACGTAAATGATGTTCCTATATAAAAAAAAACCCCATTAGCTATTTATTATTATATTTCCCTTCAAAAATAAAAAGTACAGAAATATAAAAAAAATACAGAAAAAAAACTTACATCTTCTTCATCTTTATCTACTCCCTATACAAATATCAGCTACTCTTATTTTATAAATACCCTCTAAAATTAATATATACCGTTTCGACAAGAGGAACACTCCGTTGAAGCGATATTTCTTCATCTAAATCTGGGATCTCGATTGCTCGGTAAATTTGCAGTGGAGCTTTAATAGAAATCTTCCGCTGTCTAAAACGAGCACCTGTAGCCTTTGTCATCTTTTAATTCAATATTAATCAATAATTATATGAGTTTTCTCGTCAACAGTGTAAAATTTAAGAATTTACCTGCTGAATTATGTTATAAATAGAATTAATCATTTCCTAACGTAAATACCTAATTCCCCAAGTGCTTTGATGCCTCTTCTTAGCCCTTAATGTCTCTTTATTACCTCCTTTTATGCTTTTATTCTTTTAAAATTCACTCTAAAAAAAGCGGTTTATTTACGTATTAGCTGGTGCCGAGACCATTTAAGACCCATAAATATAGACAAAACATATATTTATATGCTGTTTTATAGCAAACTCAGTCTTTTTAATGTCCTTTTGTCCTCAAAAAAACGAGTATCCTCGCAGTGCAAATTTTTTCAGCGATGTATAGGGTTAGGTATGAACAAATCACGTGACGATAAAGAGAATAAGTAGATAAGCAAGATATATAAATTGAAAGTAAGAAAGGAATTGAATCAGAGAACGTTTCTATAAATGAAATCCAAAAGATCAGTTCGAGTTAATAGATGTGTTGGAGTAAAAGAACGAGTATCAGAAGTAGAAGTGACAATAATTGCATATCTATAGGTATTTAAGAAGTCCATAAGTAAAAGAACAGGAGTATCAATTGTAATGATAACGAATTGTTCTTTAGGAGAAACAGAACAGGATGAAGATTTTAAAGAAAACCATTGTTGAATAGTAATGGAGTTTTCAAGTTGTTTCTTAAAACACGACATCACAGTAGTAATTGAATCATGAAAAGAAGAAAGAGAACGGGATACAGAGGAAAGGATATTCCCTATAATATGTAAAAAAAAAGAGATTAAAAAAAGATTAGACTTACGTATAGAAGCAAGGCCAACCAATTTTTTAGATAAATCTACGATTGGTAATACTTCAAGTGAATTACTCTTCATTATCTTTAGCACAGAAAGACATGTAGAAGAAGTATTAACAAGTTTAAGAGACTTAAGATTCATTGATTGTAGAGTGAGTGTATCCAAAGTTAATTTTTTAGGATTCTCAATGAAAGAATGATCAAACATCCAACGATCATCCAAAAATTTACTAATATAATTTCTAACGGAATCTGGTAAAATAACGACACATGTTTTTCCTTTTCCTAATTTTTTGGCAGCAAGTACAGCAGCAACCATTGCAGAACCGCTACTTCCACCACACATAAGCCCTTCTTTTGCAATCAAACGTCTAGCCATTAAAAAAGATTCCTTATCGCTTGTCTTAATCCAACGGTCTATAAGTGATCTATCAAGGACACCTAGTTTTATTAGCTCTGAACACAAAATATCCGATAAAAACAACCTGGTATAAAATCATAACCAATTCCTTCAATATGATACAAGCCTACTCCTGTATTTAAAGACTCAGGCAAAGCAAGAATCGATCCTACTGGATCTACGCCAACAATCTAACATTTATCAAAAATAAAAAAAAGGTTAATAAGATATAATTACTTCTATATTTTTATTATACTTCTTTAATGCTCTTGCAACACCAGAAATTGTGCCTCCTGTTCCAGCACCCATCACAACCATATCTACTTTACCATCTGTCTGCATTAGAATCTCAGTTGCTGTATAAAACTCGTGTGTTCTCGGATTATTTGGATTTTCATACTGATTGAGAATTAGAGATCCCGGAATTTCCTGATTCAACCTCTTTGCCACTCCAATATGAGATTCTGGTGAATCCCAAGGAGCTTCTGAAGGCGTCACAATAACCTCTGCACCCAATGCCTTTAAAATAAAAATCTTTTCCTGAGACATTTTCTACTATTATCAATAACATCTTAAAAATTTTCCATATAACCTCTGGAAGCGTAATAATCATACGATATCCTTTAATTGCAGCTATTAACGCTAATCCAATACCTGTATTACCACTATTGTGTTTTATTTATACAACATATATTTTTACATATATAATCTACCTTGTCGGCTCAATCAAAGTAGAACCAGGAACTAATTTTCCTTCTTTCTCCGCTTGTTCAATCATCATTTTAGCAATTCTTATTTCGTCTTATAAGACCCCTTCTTAACACTTTTTTAACAAACCTGTCTTTAATACTTCCTCCTGCATTAAAGAATTCACATTTAACCACTATCAATTCAAAAAAAAACCATTAATAAAAGAAAAAAAGCTCAAAAATACACACAAATATCACATTCAAGTTGTTCTTCTTTTGGAATACGGTTTAACCGAATTAATGGTGTTTGTCCAATATGCTGCAAAATACTCTCAGAAACTATTAAAGAAAAAACATAAATAAAGAATAATAAATCTTATAAAAAATAACATACAAGTCATTCTTAAGTACGGTTAAGTGTTAAAACTATTATTAACTTGCAAAACTTAATATCAACCCTCGTTTGATCTTAATCTTTTCCGTTTTTTTTTTTAAAAAATGGGCTATAAAAATTCTAAACTAGTAGATGCATTATCTAATTCATCTCATTGTAAATTTCAATATCTGAATTTCCATAGACTAATAATCATTTATTCAGTTAATCAAAAAGAAATTAATCGTATACGTGAATGTTTTATGAAATTAGATGTCAATCATTCTGGCTTTATTAATGTTCAGGAGTTCCTTTCGATTCCTCAAATTGCAAAGAATCCACTATCAAAACGTCTTTTTGCTGTAGTCGATGAGGATGGAGATGGAAATATGGATTTTGAAGAACTTATAAAGAGTTTAAACATTTTTTCAGGAAAAGGACATAAAAGAGATAAATTATTATGTATATAAATATATTTTTCTTTATATTATTCAAAATTTTTTAGTTACTTTCAAAATTTATGATATAGATCGAGATGGATATATTTCGAATGGGGAGCTTTTTCTTGTTCTTAAAATGATGACGGGAAATAATTTGAAAGATCTACATTTACAACAGGTAAAAAGAATTAACAAGAAAACATTTTATATGTTTATTTATTCATAAAAATCTTTTAATAACTTATTAATTACTAATATATAATTATAGATCGTTGATAAGGTAAAAAATATTTTATTTTATTTTTCCTTTTATAATATATATATAAACAGACTATTATATATGCAGATCAAGATAAAGATGGAAAAATTAGTTTTGAGGAATTTACGCAAATGATTATAAATACAGTACATTATTCTATCTTTTATCAATTTTCAATTGATCGATAATTTTAGGATATTATAAAAAATATGGCACTCGATTCCACTTTATATTGATTCATTTATCTAATTTTTACGTTGAAGTTGTTACTTTTCTTGTTTTTAATAAAGTTAACACATAACGCATTACTAATTTTTATTATTAATATTAATATATGGAATTCTATCCCATTAAACCTTCAAGAATTCTTTCTTCCCAAAATCCCATTTCATAATCTACTAATCCATATTTTTCTAATTGATCACACCATCCAATAATATCTTGTCCAAGCATTTCTAAATGAATTTCCGTAATTGATGGATGACTTGTATTTGTTTTAATTTCTTCTCCTGTTCTACATAAAAAATATAACCAAGCTTCATTCAAAGAATGCCATGCACCAAGACTAATATTCATAGATTCACCTAAATGGTATAAGCCTAACCTAACCCTAACATTCATAAACCTTCATGTATAACTTTATTCACCAACCAATTCGTCATTTCCCATAAAACACGACTAGCATCATTCCAACGGCTTCCAGATATTTCTACTATAGTTTTAAGAATCATTGTTTGAATCTTATCTTTTTCTACATCGTCTAATACTCATATAAATATTTTTCAAAATAAATTCATTAAACTTTTAACTTTGAGATTCAAATCGAACCGATCTAGACGAAACAGTTCGATCCATTCAATATCATCTAAACATTCAAACAATTCTTTATACAATATCTTATACTTTTTTATAACGGGTAAAGATGCGAAATAGGACTCTGACCCTATTCATTTTTGATGTTATTTTAGACACAATTAAAACTAAATATATGACACATTTAAGAATACATCATGTATATATTACATAAATATCATGTATAAACTATCTAGACATATATATATATATAAATATAATAATATAAGTTATCGATATTTCACTATATTAATCTATAAAATACGCATCAATCAATTAATCTATAAAAAGCGCATATATAACAATTAAATCCTTTATAAAGTGATATTTATATAATAAATATATTTTATCTGCACTAAAACATTTATAAGGTATATTTTTAAGAAAATATGAACATTTTACAGGTTATATATGTCTTATTTATGAGTAGAATAATAACTTTTTATTCATATTATTATAAATACGGTATTTCCTATAATTAAAATAGATATCGATAATATCGGCCAAGCCTCTTAGCTTTATTTTTAATTTTGTAGCGCGTCGAACATTTATCAAAACCTTATACCTAAAAACAAAGCCGATGCGTCAAAAACTACGACAAAAAGGTACATCAACGGTAGTTGAAGGGAAAATGGGAGTAGCTAAGTAGATATAATGGAGTAAATATATAGAGACTTATATATAAAGAATGGGTAAAGTTAAGAACATACATACATCATCAATGGTACCATCATTACCACGGAAAAGAGGACGGCCGTCCAAGAAACAGGAAATGAAAACGGAGGAAAGAATGATAGAAGTGTCAAAAAAGGAATTAAAAGAGATTCAAACAAATAAAAATAATGAAAAAGAGAATTTAACACAAAAACAAATAAAAACACCAATATCAAATAAAGAAAGAGGATTAAGTGTTAGTTTAGTAGTTGGAAAGAGTGGAATTGCACGGGTTGTTCAAGGAGAAATAGAGGTAGCATCAGCACCACAAGAAAATATACGTAATGGGACGGGGTTAATGGAGCGTGTTCTTTCAACTCAAGCTCATAGAATACCATGTCAAGTGGAATATAAACGACCGAATGATAGTTTGGCATTTATAACGGATAGAGAGGGGTATGTTCGTGTAGAACCATTAAATGGAATTTTATCACCTCAACTTCCAACGCCTATGGATTCGGATTTTTATATGGATATGAAGGGAAGAGATATGATGAACATTCAGAGTTTATTAAGCCCAGAAAGTCAATGGGAAAGCTCAGGAGATGATATAACGGATGAAGAAGATATTATGGATGCACGTGTGGCAATGAAGAAATTAATTGATAAAAGACGTACAGTAGGCTTAGGTAATTTTTTTTTAAAAAGATGGTTTCTGTTTTTTTTTTTAACAGGGGTATTAAAAACAGGCTTAGACGAATTTCTGGGAAGTGATGTATTGAATACACCATCATTTCGGGTGGGAAAACGGCAGCGGAAACTTTCTTGTAAAGCATGTCATATGACATTTCGGCAACTTTGGGTTTTACATGCCCACGAGAAAAAATGCAATATTAAGGTAAATTAAACAGAAGATAGATTTTTTTTCCCCCCAAAAACATTAACTAATGAAAAATAATAGCAAACTCCATTTCTTTCTTCTGACTATTTCGATGATACTATCGAAGACACAATTTCTTATTTTCATGAAGATGCACGCTCAGAACAAAGTATTTCATCACCAATTCTTCCAGAGTCTATACCCTTATCTAAATTCATTGAACATCCTACGCAGCGCAAAAACATTCTCTCATCTTAAACATTAAATAGAAGAAATTATGTTTTTCTATTCAACAAAAAAAGTGTATACTTTAACACTTAAGAATTCACTATAGCAAAAATATTCAATAGGAGATATTTGGACAATTTCATATTCGATTCTTCCAATCCAATATTTGCTTTAGTTCAAAAGGAAATAATCATTTATAATGATGCTAAGAAATATGATATTAATAAGTATGGAGTAATCATTTTATAACTACTGGAAATAATCGATAATTTATATCGAATTATTAACATGCATATTTAATCACCATTTTTCTTGGGGATTTGCTTTAAACTGTTCATATTCTGATCGATTAAAGAAAGACAATTCCGTTTCATTCTCTAAATTAGCAAAAAATAATTACTATTTATATGATCGAGAAAATTACATACCTACACCACAACATTCAAGTGTCATACATGGATCCAATATCCATTCATCATTATCTAAATTAATAATTCTATTTGATGTCTAATTATTCATATTATTTAATTACTATACAAATACATTGGGATTTACCTTGGTTCTTTGTGAATGAACATATATTTTAAGTGTATCTAAATAAATAAATATTTTTTTTAAAAAAAATACAATTAAAACCAAATTTAGATGTTTGATAAGCCTTGTACTCAGGGTTTTTATAGATTTCTTTTACATATTAATAATAATTTTATATAAAAATAGATATAACCATTAAAAATAAGTGTCTGAAGGTCTTTAACTGTTGTTTTTTCAAGATTAATTTCACGCAAAACTAAATACTTAATAACTCGATAAGTAAATGATCTGATTAAACGAATAGTTAATACTGCCATTTAATAAGATATAGCAATAAAAAATGATAAAATAAATCGAAACCGAATATAAAAATATTTAAGATCATAGAAAAATATTAAAAAGCAAATAAACAGATGATTATTGATTTAACAAATGACGAAAAAGAATTAACAGAAAGTACATCTTCATTATCCTCAATTCAATGTTCTATTTGTCTTGATGCACCAAAAGATTTGAGTGCAACTCCATGTGGTGAATAATATGAAAGATTAAATCATAAAATAACTAAGATATTTAGGGCATTTATTTTGTTATGCATGTATTCATCAAGCATTATCAAGTGCAGGTGCAACTTGTCCTATTTGTAGACAAAAAGTATCACGACAACGAATTCTTGCTCTTGAAGTGATGCTTGCACCAGAAACTAGAGAATATCCAAGCAGAAATAAGCAAATAAGGCATATTTAAGCTAAAAATATTAAACTATATACATGAAGAAATTTCAAAAGAGCAGATTAAACAAACAAAAATATAAACAAATTATATCAGACGGGCTATATTATGTATTATTTATACAGTATATTATATATATACAGTATATATAGACACTATATATGTGTTCTATATGGGATCTAGGCGAACTGATGTATTTTTTAAACTATTTCAATATTTTGATTTTCAACATCTCTTACAAAACAACAAACAAAAAATCCAGTCATTTCATCAGAATTACAACGAATTGATGAATTAGAAACATGTGTGGCTAATTCTTTATTATTGGAAGTATTATCTTTTTCTCCTCGAGTGGGCCAGTCAGGCATTATATGAGCAATACGCCAACCACGTTTTTGAGCAACTTCACTTTTTAATGCATGAACCGCTACCCCTTCATTTTCTATATAATGAATTGAACAAGTACTATATGTAATTTTTAAAGCGGAAGGAAATTTCATGGCATGTGTAACAAGACGTAGTTGAAACAGTGAAAGACGTTGAAGACGCTTATTTAAAGCAGCAGCGTCTTCTTTTTGAAGAGAATCTTCTTTATTTTGACGCCCGGAACCAGAACAGCTTGGGTCTAGTAAAATATGTGTAACATGTTGAAACATGGGATCATATACATTTGTCTTAGTAAAATCAAGACAAATAGTTGTTACCACTGGATAAAATTAACTAAAATCAATAACAAGAGAAATACATACTATGAGCAGCACCAGCTTTATTAACCATAGTTTTAAGTGTATCAAATCTTTGAGCATTTCGTTCAAATGCAAAAATATGTCCAGTTCCTTTCATAATTGCAGCAAGATGAGTAGTTTTATTACCTGGTGAAGCACATGCATCTATGACATGACTTTTGGAAGGAGGAGATAAAACAAAAGCAGGAACACAAGAAGCTTTATCTTGTAATATAAGAGATCCATCAAGATATGCAGGATGCTGAGTAAGTGCAGTAGATGAATGAAATGCAAGAAGGTCAGGTATATGGGTATCTATAGCATATGTATTAGGTAAAAGTGTATCAATTGATGAATCTGAAAAATGAGGAAACCGATCAAGTACTTGGGATAAATTCGTTTTCAATGTATTAATACGTGCCCAACGAGGACGAATAGCTATTATCAAATAAGCTGAAATATTCATAAGAGAAATAACAAAACCAATTGGATCATTAGAATCAGAAGTAATATTTTTCAAACGAATACGAACAAGTTCTGCATGAAGACGAGTTTTATGACGTAATACAGCATCACGAATAGATTTACGACATCTAAAAAGACCATGTTTTGACAATAATAAATCATGAATCATTAACAAAGCAAGAGTCCGTGGCACCTAAAGGCAAATCATTTAAATATGATAAAAAATACATTAAATACAGCGGATTCACCTTTTTCTCATAACAACCAAAACCCGATCGTTCAATAACTTGTTCAAGTAATGGCTTATCTACTACTATTAGTCAATATAAAAAAAATTAACTTTACGTTTTAATGTTTCAAAGATAAGTGCACAAAGATGTCGTGCATCTGGATATGTTGATGAAAGTGAATAAACACTTCCTTTCTTCGCCTCAACATCTTCAAGAATACGAGCTGCTCGTTCATATAAACTCATATATAGGAAAATAAAAAACAATATTATCAATAATTATCGAGGCAATAAAAACTGATTTTCATGAATAATTTTAAACATTTTCAAAAGTTATAAATTATTTTTATAAAAACTAAAAATCAAAAAAAAAACAAACATTAAAAACAGTTTTAAAACAGTATTTAATACATTTACTTAACAAATTTCTAGTATATTACCGAATAATTATATTTGACAAATGGATATTTTACAATATGGTTAATAAACATAAATCTTGTTTATTTTTATTAATTTTTTTTATAGCTTTGGGGTTCATGGTTAAATCCTCTTCATTTATAGTTTATGACCTATTCTTTAGTCAAACTCACCTTTTTACAACATGGGTTTTAAGTCATCCGAGCGTTTAACCCTATTGAAATATCTATTTCGAGTTTAGTTAAAGTTGATAACTATACATTAAAACTAGAGGAAAAAAAACATGTCAAGGCCGGCATAATCCTTCTATGATAAGAACAAACCAAAACGTCGCTTAAATAATCAATAAATTGGTGAAAAATAGTATATAAAAATTATAGAAAAAAAAATGGATAAACCATTACACTATATTACAATTGGATGGGATTATACACAATAATAGAGAAATAACTATTTATTAATTATAAAATTCAATTGAAGATTAGGATATACCTAGTAAGGGTTCATGTCAAACTTCGTTCAACGGAAATATACAGAGTCTTTATCAAACGTCTAGTTTTCATCATTAGGTTTCCATTTTTAAAAAATCCAGGATTATGTATTTATTTTTCAGGGTTCCCTTTTGTGAAGCCATTTCATTCAGGCGTTTTATTTTCTTGACCCTTCAAACATGAATACTACCAAATGGGTTTCAATGTATCACTGGCCAATAGCTACTTACGCCGTGCAGGACATGCCTGACATAAAATGGACAATGCATGATACTCATCCAATATCATCAGCGTTTCAAGAGAACCCTCATCTACTTTCTATTCATGATACACATTTATATCATCCATGGACGCCAATTGCACATTCTACGTTAGGACAGAATATGGTAAATGCAGGAAGCAATCTAGGAGTTTATTCTCATCCTCCTGTTTATCCATATGGAGGGTTTTATGGTAATGAATGGAATACAATAAAAAAAGAGAAAAATGTAAGCAGTGGACCAATTCCAGCAAATCCATTGCGTATATATAAGGATTCAAAAGGAGTGGATTGGATTAGTTTTGCTTATAGCCGAGAAAGAGTTAGAACAGAGTATACAATCCGTGGAGATGTAGAAACGGTTGATTTAGATACTCTATCAGAGGAATTTAAACAACAAAATTGTGTAAGAAACACAATTTTTATTTTTTTGTATTATTATACAAGGCTAATTTATTATTTACAATAGATTTACCCACGTGCTCGTGTTCCACCAGAGCAATATACAGGAACTCGTCATAGATATGAGACAGAATGTAATTCTATTGGATGGGCACTTGCTAAATTAAATCCATCTCTTCGTAATAAACGAGGGTTAATTCAGCGTGCAGTGGATTCATGGCGTAATAAAGAGCCAAGTCTACGTAGTCGAAGGGTTAAAAGAATGGTTGCATTAAATAATCTTCATTGTATACGGGAGGCTCGTCATGTTCTTCATGGGTCAACTCAAGAATCTCCATTACCGCCGCAATTTCGGCAAGTTACACCGACAATTACGAACAGAGAGACTTCAGGAGCATTAGAAGATAAAGGGAAATCATTAAATGCAGATGTTAAAAAGCCAAAATATATTTTATTGGATGACATGAGAAAAAAAACCCGAGTAAGAATTCGTGTAGGGTTAGATGAGATAAATTTGGAAGAAATTCCGGATGCATTTCGACGAGATCATTGTGTATTTCCTCGTCGGTTTATTCCAATGCATTCTTCGACGGGAGAACCGGTAAATACATATGAACAAGAATTCCAAACAGAAGAAGCGAAAAAAGAAAAAATGCTGAATGAAATTGGCTGGAAACTTGCATGGTTAAATGTAAGATTATTTGAAAATCGTCCGAGTTTTTTGCAGCGGGCTGTAGATGCATATAGAAATAAAATTGAAATGATGACATGTGAGGAAAAATGGGCAACACGTAAAGGACGAAAAGCATGGTTTAATAAGTCATGTTCATGAAAATGGATAAAAGGGTTATGTTTTATTGATTTAAAAACGAAGGAACTCTATTTATTTAAAAATACTATATTTCTTTTTAAAAATTATCTCGGACCATTCATATAAACAAATATCACATTTTTAAATAATCATAAATAATTGATTTCCATAAAATAAAATACAGTTGCAGAATTATTGATAAAACATGAAAAATAACATAGTTTGGAAACATCATACGTTGATAGATTTATATAAAATTGTTGTAACATACTTAAACAGTTAGTTATAAAATCGAAATTATGCAATATTCTTACTTTATGTCGAAATCTTGTTGTTACACTCACAGCAAAAACACCATTACGGATTGAACTTGCCGCCAAATGATTTAAAACTACATGATTTGGATTTGGGAGAACACTTTGGTCATCCTTCATAGTCGAATTAGAATTTAAAATCACTTTTTCTAAATGAGGCGGAAGTGAAGGTGGTACACTCGTTTCTTGGAAAATTCGATATGTATTATTTTCTAATACTTCATCATATAGGGCTGGAATCCTATTTGTATAAGTTTCTACTGGCTTAGTAGCACGGTGTTCTACAATTAATAAAAAAAAAATATTAAAAAAAAAAGCAAATACCAGTTAAAGACGCTTGCTTATCAGCTTGAAACATAGATGACAAACATGCATCATTGACTTCTATATAATTAACAAGATTTCCAGAAGAATCTGTAGCTGTAGCTAATTCATCTGAACATTTCCATTCGTTATCAACTAAAAACTTGAATCTATGTGTTCCTTTTGGAAGATGAATCAACACCGTAAAATCATTTACGCTAAATTATCTAAATACAAATGCTTAGTTAGAATTATTAAAAATTTACCTCTTATTTAAAGGTATTTTCTTTCCCCAGCCCGTAAATGTTCCTGTCACATATACATTCTGATGATCACCTTTCCAATGTAAAAAAACAGGAATCGATTTTTCTAAAAAGATTTTAAATATAATACTTCATTAACATAACTAAAACAACCTCTATTCTGCTGCTTAAGTTCATGTTCAATATTTTCAGAAATAGGCGATATAATCGAACTATCTTGAACGGTATGTCCTTTATCCTCAATTCTAGATAAAAATCATTAATAAATAAATAAATCTATGTATTTATAAACATTGTCTTGTTTAAATCATTTAAAGAATCAAGATTAAGAGGTTCTCTATCAGTCTCTGAATTAACGCTAGATGATGACTCTTCTACATCTGAATTCCGGTTTTTTTGAGGAGTAATATCTTTCTTAAATAATTCCTCTGAAAAATTTTCATTTTTATCATTTAAACTGTGAAATAATGGGTCCTTAGCTGATCATAAAAAAACAAGTCAATATATACGTATTTTTAACGGGAAAAAAAGGGATAAATTCAAACCATGACTCAAATTCTCTTGGGAATAACTATTCCCCATGATTTAATAAAAATTTCCTTCAAAAAACCTCTTTAAATAGCTCTTTTTCTGCTCATCTAAAACCTGCAAAATTTCATGTCGTTGAGAGGCTCTGAGATCGACCACCTCGTTCCCTATAAAAACTTTACATAGTTAAGCTTTTTCTATAAAACATTGATCAGAACTTATTAATAATAATAAGAATGAAAAATAAAGCTTAGACATATAAATATATAAATATTTATATGTATTTATATTCCATCATCAAATGTACTTAAGATATATAGAAGGTTTAAATAGAGGCATTTGAATAGATATTTATGTTAGAATCAGATATATTATTCATATGAAATGTATTATTTAATTAGTTTTTTAAAATATTAAGATTTTGCTGTTTAATGTATATTTGTTAAAATCAATATAAAATCAAAAAAAGCATTATATCAATAATATAACTAGATATACTGGTTATGATCTTATAACTTATTTGAATGAGTTTTAAAAAATAAAGTTTTAAAGCTATTTTTAAGAACTATTTAAATTAAATATGATGAATATATGATTTTTGCTATTTTTAAATGATTTAGTTGAATATTTTTACAAAAAGAGATTAATATTAATTTAAAATATTAATGTAGCATCTAATGTATTTGAAATATCATGCACAAACTTTTATGAATATCTTAACCCAGCCACCCGTATAGATATACATGTTATCTAATCGTCTTTGAAAAGTTATTGATTAAAAAAAACAAAATCATCATGTCATATAAAGTAACAAGTTGTATATGTACTTATTTAATGTATACACTTCTGAATTGGAAGAGCAATACTGGTATCTTGAAAATAAATCCTATTCGTTGCCAGAAACGTTATCTCTTATCTATTTTATGAGTCCTATTTATGTATATTTAGGAATTGAAAATAATACAACACATTCAGAAATAGCCCATACACCTACTTGTAGAAGAAATATATCCTATGTTCAACAATTAGGCGCAGGTTGCCTTGTTGGGTTTTTATCAGGTGTTTTAGCTAAACACATAGGAAAATTTGCCATCATTCTATTCGTTGGTATTTATTTAATTTCATGGGTTTTCCCCTGATCTATTGCTTTGTCAATTACTTATCTATACTTAAAGACAGGGTCTTTTCGCCGCTTTACAAAGCCTTGGAACATGTTTCTATACTTATCTCATAGAATATGGCACAAAAAAACCAAAAGTATCAAAGAAATTGTCAATGAGCTTCTCTTTAAAAATATTGTTTTCAAAGTAGGTGATCTGTAATATTATATTTTAAAACTAACTTAAAGTCATCCTTTGCTGCAACATTTGGATTCGGTTTTTTGTATTCATAATATCCATTCATTTTTAAATAAAATAAAAATGTAGTTAGAATTTAACGACGTCTTGTTCCACCAAAACCTGTAGATCTTCTCATTTCATAATTAATTGTATTATCTCTTGTATCATTATCATGATGTATATATTCATTTTCCCAAAATCTGTTGCGATAAATAGGTTCATTAGGATATGTATAACGTTCTCTTGAACCACGCATCATATGACTTAGAATAGCTCCTCCTAAGAGACCACTCCAAAATCCTGGTGTCCATGGAGATCTAGATGATTGATAAGTTTTACCATGATATGGCCCTGAATAAGGTGGAGGTGATCCTCCCGGATAATCACCGCCACCACCACCAAACCAGTTCCCTGGATGCCTATTTTTTTACATTTATTTTTAAATTTTATATAAACTATATAGGTTTACCAATTTTGAAATACAGTTCTAGCCTTTTTCAATAATAAATAAAGAATATAAACAATTGAAAACGTTATCAAGTAGTGAAGAAACATATTAGCATAAGTGTACAAGTCTTTTTTTGTATCAAAAAAGAAATTTCTTTGTTTTTTATAATATATTTTCCCTTCTTCTGTCAAATGAAGTGTATATTCTACAAAACAGCTTCCTTTAAGAACGTATCTATCATCTGAACCACTATAGCCCTATAGAAAGACATTAAAAAGGATTTTGTGTATAAAAGCCACCTTTTACTTCACAAACAACATTTGTTCTTCCAAGTTTATAAAATGATGGCAAAATGGACTATTCCCTTAAGAAAAACATAGTCTTCATAAGATGTTAACTTACAGAACAGCTCCATTGAACATCTTCTGTATAATATTCACTTCCTATATTTCTACATTGAATCTCATTCAACTCATATAAACCCTTTTTAAGATAAGAAATTATCATTTTTTCATATAAAAAACCTTTGCATCACCTCCTACACATATCATCTGAGGAGAGGGCTTAAATCTCAAAGATTTTGTGTATTTTTCCTAAATTTTATTTATTCATATATAACTATGATAAGACAAAATACCTTATAAAATGTAAGTACTTGAATTTTAGAAAGCAAAATTCTATCAGTATATTGAAAACAGTCTACATAAACAAGAAACAAGAATATAAAAAGACTTTTCAACATATTTTTAAAGAGGGTAATATAATCACTAATAATTATAAGTCAAACGTATCTAATTTTTTTAAAAACAAATATATGAAAACCTAAAGCAAAACTAATTATTTAAATAAAACATCTCCCATGAAACCATATCTATGCAGAACCTAATCCTGCAATAGATAAATTTTTAACTTTTTGAAGTACATCATCAATTTTTTGATCTAAATCCCCAGTTGTATATTGATTTCGAACATTTGAAGCAAAATACTGTTGTACTTTTGACATGCGATCATATCTATTACCATTAAAAATTTGTATATATTTTTCAAATTAATTTTTTACCCATCATAACAAAATTGAAATTGTATTTTTACCAATGCTTCAAATGATGCATCCAAATATGGTACACGCAAATCAATAAAATATGGCAATTCCTTTAAAAGTTGTGAATTTAACGAGGTATATAATTCTTTTGCCTGTGCTGCTTCTTTTTCAACCTTTTTTCTCTATTAATATCTATTTTTTATGATTAAATTATTCTACCATAGGTAACTTCCTAATATCATCCGATGGCTTATCTGTTAAACGCTTAACCTTTGCGCGAACCGCATCATAATCAACCAATTTATGATTTCGCTTGGTAATCGCTGCGTTGATTTCTGGGAAATACGTACAAAACTTAGATATAGGATCCAATACAGTCAAACGATATATTTCGTCCTTTTAAAATAAATATATCCAATAATACTTATTTTTATCGATACTTACTAATTCTTTCATTGTTCTTGTATCAAAATCTTCCATTACTTGTTTATAATGTTTACTAGCACGATCCTTATGATATGAATTCGGATAAAACTCATCCATAGCTTCCACAATCCCAAGCTGAGATGCAACCATAGCTAAAAAACATAATTATCAAGCTTTAAACCCTCGTTTCAATATTATACATCTCAAAGAATCTAAATAATTCTTTGCTTCCCGTTGAAGCCGTAAAACCACCTGTTCCATTCTAAAAAAGATTAGACCCTTATTTAACCATTCTCTACACGTCATCTACGTATGAAAACGCCGTTCTTCCATATCAAAATCACGGTCCACCGTCTATTCATAAATATTACCAAAATCCCCTCAAAATACTCTAAAAAATATACTTTTTCAACATGTCCCGCCTTAATCATCATCTAAATACATAAGAACTACTCAATAATCTGATTTTTATGCAGTATTTCGTCCAATATATTCAAAGATACACTTGATCTCTGATAAATCTTTTCTAATTTTACTGCTTCATATATTAACAATTCTTACTTGAGTCCCTGCACGGTTAACCGCCTTCTTAAACCCGGACCTTAACATATTAACAACAATCTTAACAAATATTAAACAAATACCAGCTCATTTTTAATATTCAACTGTTATTCTTAAGGTTGAGGTTAAGAAATCTCGATATACAAGTTAAGAAGCTAATATAAACAAAAATAGATATATTAAACAAGAAAATCATAAGATAATATGAAAGAATATTCCAAATGTATAATTATAATTAAAAGAATAAAAAGTTAAATATAAAATGAATTGAGATGCAAGAAAAGCAAGATTGTTAAAAAAAAGAAATAATATAAGGGGATTTAAAAGCCTATTAAGAGTTAGATAGTGTATATAAAGAGTTAGAATAGAGATACCAAGTTGACCAGCTTTGCATAATAAAATTTGTTGTACCCATTCAGAACGAAGTATATACTTAGCGGTAATACGACGATCAGGAGAAGGATCCAAGATAGAATATATTACATTCTTACAGTTTGTCTATAAAAATGAGGAATGAAAATAGAAGAAAAAAAAAACACTTACTTCTAGCAAGGAGTCGATAGGCAGATAGCCGGAAGGTTTTTTTCTTTCTTGAAGATATTTTTTGTAAAATTCGTCTTCATTTTCTTTTGCAATACGCCATAAATGGCATCCGGTACGCATTGCCATGTAGATAACACCGGTTGCCCAGATATCAACGGCACAAGGATCGAATTCTTTATCAGTATATTCTTCAGGCGCAATATATGGGATAGAGCCACAAAGTCCACATGTTAAATGAGCCTTTTTTTCCCAAGCCATTTTAAAGCATTCGCCATTTCCAAAATCAGTAATCTTCAAAACACCGTTATGTGTTAAAAGAAGATTTTCTGGCTTCAAATCCCTAAAGTTAATGTAAATAAGAATAATAAGAATAATAATGATAAAAACCTATGTGCAACCCCCATTTCATGCATATATTCTACGCCTAGCATTAGCTGTTTAAAATAACAATTGGCTTCTATTATGTTGAGTTTTCCTGATGAAAAAATTAAAGAATATAAATCGCCGCCAGCACAAAATTCCATCACTTCACAATAATCACCCTTAGAATCTTGTATGAGATCAAGAGTATGAATGACATTAGGATGTCTCAATGTAGAGGAAATACAAAATTCAGATGTAAGACGTTTTGTATATCTTTTTGTAGATTCAGTAGGTCGTTTACGAAACTCCTTAACAGCATAAAACTGTTCAGCATATGCATTTTTCGGATCTACTTTATATGAAATACGTACAACACCAAAGGCACCTAATAAATTAATATATTTATTTTTGTAAAGAAAAAAAAAAACCTTTTCCTATAATTTCATGACAATGCCCATACTTTTCATACAAACTAGAGCCAGAATTCAAATGATTCTTTTCCTTCTTAGACGAATTTGACCTTTCTGGCTTCATTTTATCAATCCAACTATTAATAAAACCCGAATGATTTTGTGTAGAATTATCTAAAGCATATGCACGACTCTTCTTAATAATCCCAAACAAATCACGAAATACAAAACGAAACCTATGTCCTCGAAAAACCTTACGAAATGTATGAAAATGAGTACCATCTGAACAAAGTGTAAAGAAATCAGAAATATTTTCATTCTTATGATTAGATATTTGCGGTTTTTCATTACATCCATTTTTCCTTATATCCTGTTGCTTCAAAAACATATCAGAATCCTTATCCTTGATCTCAACCTTGTTTTTATCATTTTCTTTAGTCTTATGACCCTCTGTTTCCCGTTCAAAAGGCGAAAATATACGATGAAACTTCAAAGTTGCCTTTTTCAATTGTGCAGATACAAATGACGTCATACACACATCTCCTTTCATATTACCCTCATCCTGAGGCCCTTTCTTTTCATTTCTTTCCTCATAATCCCCTTTTATTTCCTCTTTATTCTCATTACATGAAACATGTGTTACTGACTCCAAAGAAACCTCCATAACCGGCAATAAACCCTCTTTTTTCTCCATAATTACCTTCTCCACTATTAAACTAGAGGATTCTTTGATCTTTCCTTCATTAAATTCCATTTTCTTATCCCCGTTTCTTATATTAACTCTTGTTTTCATAGAACCAACGCTTTATATATTAATTAACCTTATAAACTCTCCAAATCCCTCCAAAACTAAGTCCTTCCTCCTCTAAAAGACCTGTTCTAGGCCCTTATTCAGGCCATATTTTTGATCCAAACTTCTTAAAGTTTTTACACAAAAAATAGACGTTGAATGACCGTGTAAACCAAAAAAGTAAACTAAGTACGAAAAAGTAGCACCTGTAAATAATAAGAATAAGTTTAAATATATAACAAATACGTAGGATATTAGAAAATAGAAAACCAAGATTCAAGTAAATAATAATTTGAATGATTTGAAAGGGAATAAAGAAATGTTGTATAAAAACCATAGAAAGCTAATATGTAAATGAAAAGAAATACAGTAAAAAAAGGAATAAAGGATAGATCTGTATAAGATTAATAAGAAAGAAATTATTTTAGATAGTATAAATACCTAAATTAATTTTTTTTTTTTAAAAGTGAAGAAGAATCAAAGTTGCAAGTAGAATTTTGAGTAGAACCCAATATATTTTCTTCGTAAGTAATCAAAGGATCAAGACCGTCTTGAGTGATCCAATTGTGTTTCTTTGAATAGGTTAAAAAGAAGAAAAAAGTGAAAATAAATTAAAAAAATACACGTAAATCATGTAATTTAATCCTTTTTTCAGGAATTTTCTCAAGAATTTTTTGAAATAGATCTTTTAAAGAGGGTGCAACATATTGTGGAATTATTATTCTAAAATTATTAGAAATATAAGAAAAAAAAAGTAAAATACTCTTTAGTTTTAATCATATTATATAATTTTATAATATCTGAATCATAAAAGGGAAGACAACCAAATATTAAACACCAAAGAGTAATACCCATAGACCATATATCAGCAGCTTTACCAGAAACAATATTTCCATCAGAAAAACATAATTCCTATATATTAAGTTATAACAAAAAAAAAGAAAAATAAAGAATTTACAGGAGCCATAAATGCAGGTGTTCCTTTAATTTTTCTAAATGAATCATCTCTAGTAAACATTTTTGAAATACTGAAATCAGTTATTTTCAATGTCCCATCTTTGGATAATAACAAATTCTCAGGTTTAATATCACAATGACATATTCCATTTGCATGAACTGAAAAAAATACCAATAAAAAAAACATTCATTCAAATAAAAATAATACATACGATATTCAACACCTAACATCAAATCACGAAACCATTTTCGACATTCTGTTTCACTATACGGTGTAGCCGTTTTATTCATTCCCAAATCCATAAGTACTCCTTTTTCACACATTTCCAAAACTTTATTCATCATTTATAATCATATATAAATCTTCCATTTTACCTATATACAACGAATCTCCATTAGGATCATCTAAAGCATCAATCATATTAACTATATTCCTATGATTTATCTTTTTCATAATATCTATCTCCTTCCTAATATAGAAAAATGGATTATTCTCCTCATAATTATTTTTTATATGTCTGTATAACGAAATATCATTATTATATATAAATGAATCTGATTCACATCTAGAATGCGATAATCGTGAATTTCCATAAACCTTTCTCAATTGTACTTTAGAAAACTCCTTAATTGCCTACATTTCAATAAATCTTCTAACTATATATTAAATCATAATCTCTCCCACATATTCTTTCCCTGTTAACACATCAATACACCGATTTACCGATCCAAACGATCCATGACCAATCTCCTCCCTAATATCGTATTTACTGACCATTCTAGTACTATCATCGTCTCCAAAAAATACTTCCAATTCCTCCTATAATATTTCATATTTTCTATCCCATTTTTTCACCAAAAATAAACCTTTAAAAACGATTTAAAAGATCCAAACCCTCTCCATCCATCCCTCAATAATAATATATGTTCATCCGACGCTGAAGACGATCGTCTCCATGTCTTTTCTTTGCTTTTCTCCGATCCATTATTTGTCATCAAAAACCTCTCTAATTTCCCCATTTTTTAGCCTTTTTTCTCCAAAAAAAAACCTATACATACCTTAAAACACACACAATTACATATATATACTCAATTCCTCGATTTCTCCTCGTTTTATCCACTATAAGCCCTTCTTACTTATTTTTGACGTTGGCCTTCTGGACGCACTCCTACCCTCGACCTCCCCGATTACCTCAACCTACCTCCATATAAACCTACCTCCATATAAAACCACCCAATTCTCCACTAAAAGGCCTAATGACAATATATAAACTGCTTATTTTTAATAGAACCTGTAAGAAAGGAGTTTTTTACGTATTTTCTAATAGTTTTATAGGCAAATGTATTTATTATAAGGCATGGAACAAAGGATCAGCAGATAATATAGAAAATACAGAGATACCGCTAGTTGGAAGACGTAGAGATGTATTAAATATAGAAGATGAAGCTAAACTTTTATTTGGAGTGCTTTATTCGCTGCAAAAAATGAGTAAAAAGCTTGCAGGACCGTCGGTGGAGATTAGAGAATAATGAGTAATATATTGAGGAATAAATAGGGATGAAATATTTATATCGTATAAAACGCAAGAATATAAGCTTCATTATTATGAAACGGCAAGTCGTATACGATTTATATTAATAACGGATCCAAATTGTGGTAATTTGCTGTATGTTTTACAGCAGATCTATATAAGTTTATATGTGGAATATGTGGTCAAGAATCCGCTTGGAAATATGGAATGTCCGAAGGATGATGTGAATGTGGAGCTTTTTGAGCGAACATTAGATCAATTTATAAGGTCATTGAGGTAAAATTAGAAGAATATAGGGTTTAGTTAATGAAGAGCAGTGAATTCTAAGAATTGAGGGAAAAAAAGGGTATATATAGGTAAAGAATAGGTAGTTATAGATGTATGGAAGGAAAGGTGGGTTATTTGTGTATTTTTTAATGAGACGACATAATACGTTATATATATATGTCTAAATCAGCAAATTTTATATTACAGAAGGATTAGACTATTGAATGATATATATATGAATGAGTACAATATGAATGAGTGCAATATGAATGATATATATATGTGAATGGTTACATGACTATTTTTGCATGGAGATATTTACTATATTTTTCAACAAAAATGATTTAAAAGACTTTAAAATAGATAGGACATATGTATCAAATGGGTATCTTACATTATCATATGAAATTTATATGAAAGGTTTTACATATTAAATTTAATATGTAATATCTCTGGATTATATATATTTGAATTTCAGACAGACATATTTATCGATAAATTTGATAACTAAAAAGTGAACATTTGTATATGAGAATCTTTGGAATTAAGAGATACATTTGAACCATATATTATTAGTTTATCTATGACATTTCGACATCGTCCAAATATTCTTCTTTGTGGAACACCTGGTACAGGAAAAACAACACATGCACAACGACTTTGTAAACTTCATTCTCTTAATCATTTGTTAGTTGGAGATATTGTTCAAAAAAAGAATTGCCATGAAGGAAAAGATGAGTTTTGGGATGCTTATATTGTTGATGAAAAAAAAGTTTATATAAAGACTTTTATCAATTATTTTTTAATATTTTTTCTATAGCTTTTAGAACAATTAAAACTAGATATAATGTGTGGTGGAGTTGTGATTGATTGGCATACTTGTAGTCTTTTTCCTATAGATTGGATAGATCTAGTTGTAGTTTTACGTACAAATCATACAATACTTTGGGATCGTCTAGTTGAAAGGTAAATATAATGTTTATATATAATGTTAAAAATAATATATAAACAGAAAATATAGTCTTGAGAAAATACAAGAAAATAATCAAGCAGAAATCATGGAAGTTGTATTAGAAGAGGCTATTACATCATTTGGAGTAGAACGAGTGATAGTGTTAACAAGTGATACATTAGATCAAGTGGAAGAGAATATAAAACAAATTAGCACATGGATTCAACAGTGGAAACCACATAATTCTCAAAATAAACAATGAAAAACCGAGGATTTATTATTGTAGACAATTATATGAATTTGTTCAATAACAAAAAAACGCTTATCTTTACAATATTTCCTTTATACATCATTGTTGGCATGTTTCAAAAATTCGGAAAGCTTTGTTAAAGCTTTACTTCGATGACTGATCTTATGTTTCAATGTTTGATCCATTTCAGCATATCTAAAATATTACAACTGATTTCTCTATAACATACACCTTACGTTTGATCATAATCAAGTGGCTATTATGATTGGAAAGAATCAGATCAATCAAGGCCATTAAATGATTTATCATTACCTGAAAGATAGCATCCCTACAAATGATTAATTAATATAGATATACATTCAATATACCATCCAAACACAGTTGGACCACGAGCAGGTACAATAGTTCCCTAAAATGGATAAATAGGATTTATTTCGGTTTCAAAAATACCAATGTTTTTCCTTCAAAAATATGAACAGTATCTCCAGGACCTTTACAATATGCAAATAAGCATATAGCTTCTGCTGTTTTATCAGGAAAGGCTTCTAAAAGACGCACTAGTCCTTGTGTATTATCAGCTACCATTATTCCGGATATATAATTTATCTATCTATATATATACCATCTAATCCAACACTTGATAAAAACCATTTACTATATCAATTCGAAAAAAAACAAGATCTTCATCTAACACTTACATATATGGTCCAGGAAGTCCATTAAATGATGTAAAAAAAAGGCTAGTGTCCTCAATAATTACCGGTTTTTTAACCTGATAGGATATTAAGGTAATTATTATTATTATTTTTTAAAATATACAATATCCACAGCCTTTTTACATTTATCTAATACTATTTCATGTATTTCTCCTTGTATTTCTGGCACTTTAACAAATTAATATTTTCAAGCTTATTTTATAAAAATATACAATCTAAAGAAACATGAGTTAATTTTACAGTTGTTCCAAGAATTTCTTTAATTTCTTTAAGCTTTTTTATATTTCCTGTAACAATAGCTGTATAAATCAAAATTTGACTCATACAAATATATATTTCTACTATTTTTACCTAATTCTTGCATTTTTTAACCATTACTAAACTATATTGACAGTAAAATTACATACAAAACTCTTATATATTATAAAAAAATACATATTATATAAAAATAACTATAAAGTTAAAGATTAAGCTATTAAACATGTTTTATAAATAAACCATATTTTTAAAGAATAAAAATACGTATTTCATAAAAGATATTAAAATGTATTCGCTTTATAAAAAAATTGTATTTAAGAGAGATCTTTTTGACAAATTTTGTTATTAGGTAAATCTTTAACAAAAGGAATAAAAGTTTTCCCTCCCATATAAACTTGTAAAGGTTCAGGAATATTTATGCCCTATAAAACATTAATCAATAATAAAAAATAAATACATAAATTACATCTGAAGTTTGAAAATTTTCCAATATACAACATAATGCTCTTGTAACTGCACATAAAGTAGAATTTAAACAATGTACATATTTCTTTTCTTTGTCTCCTGAACGTTTAGTTCCATATCGAATTTCAAGACTTCTAGATTGATAATCTGTGCAATTGGAACAACTCACTAATTCCTTATATTCACCTTGAAATGGAAACCATGCTTCCAGATCATATTTTTTTGATGCAGCATTATTTAAAGCACCAGAAACAATGGAAACAATTCTATAAGGAATATTCAAAGATTTATAAAATTCCTCTGCAATATTGATCATCTCTTCAAATAAAACCCAAGAAGATTCTGGAGAAGTAATCAAAAATTGTTCAACCTAAATTTTATTAATTAAAAAATAATAATAAAGAAAAATACCTTTTCAAATTGATGAACTCTAAAGATTCCCCATGTATCCTTTCCATGAGCACCTGATTCTCTCCTATAACATGTACTAATCCCCGCATATCTTACAAAATAAACACCAATCTATATTTTACAATAAAAATTTCACCTTATTGGAAGTCTATCAGATGTATCCTCAAACCATTCTCCAGAATGAAATGCAGAAATAGGTTGTTCAGATGTCGCAATAAGATATTTTTCATCATTCCCATCTAACACCTAAAAATAAACAAAATTCCTTACAAAAAAAACATATACTTTATAAAGCTGCTCATCAAAATCACATAGCTCTGCCGTCTTAGCCATTATATCCTTATTCATCATCTGCGGCGTCTGTAAAACTGTATATCCCCGCTCTATAAGAAAATTTAATGAATAATTAATCAATGCCTGACTAAGAAGCACTCCATATCCCTTCAGAAAATACCCACGATGTCCCACCACTTTAACTCCTCTTTCAGGGTCATATCCATCCAATCTCATCAAAACTTCATGGTGAGATAATGATTTCCTCTCAACAGTACCCTCAAGTCCCCATACACGAATCACCTCATTATCCTCCTTATATACTTCCATTTTAAATACAGATACAATTAATAAGATTCACCTCGCTTTGACTCTCAGGAACAGAGTCATGTACTATATTCCCAACTGTATTCAGCTTTTGCCATAAAATACACCGTTTTTCCGCCTCCAATGCCTCCAAATGCTTCCTCTTCTCTTCAATATCCTTCTTCTTCAATATTAGACATGATATATCCTCTTTTAACTGCAAATCTTAATCGACTTCATTATTAACACCCAAAAACCTTAATTTTTGACGATATTTCTTTCTGTAAAAGGTTCATATCCCTATTAACCGCATCCAGATTAAATCTCTCTATAAAAAACCCATATTTAGCCTATTAAACCCGGGAAAAAGGCCCTTCCTATACCTATTGTCCACTCCTTATATAAAATAATAATATGATCCACAATTTCAACGGATTTTCCTCGTTTTTTTTCGGAATTTTTGATAACCCAGGGTTCTCCGCCCTTCTCAAGAAGAAAATAATGAATATCAAGCATGTTTTCTGCCAAATTTAGGCCTCAATGGGGATTTTAAAATTTTTACTTTTTATTGTCGTCCTGACCTAGCAACCCGTTGCTAGGTCAGGACGACCTAATATTAGAGGGAAATATGGGAGATACAAAAGGGATTCATTTCCACCCACCGTCCAAGGTAAGAGGTATTTACGTATATAAATGACTAATATTATAAGTTTTATAGGGCAGTTTCTCAGTTACTGGGCGCATCTATGTGGTTTTTTATGTTTTATAGGATGAAAAAAGATGGACCAATTATTCTGGTAAAAAGGGCAATTTTCGGGGTTATAAGTATTTAACAGTGAATTAGGGACTGAAACATCCCTGGGAAGTATTTTTTTTCCGGCAGAATTGGCCAAAAAATGCTGATTTACTTGAAAGAATCATGAAACACAAGAAAAACATTGAAAATAGAGAGAAAAGCGGTATATATGGGAAGAATGGAGTGGAATATGTAAGGGAGAAGTTAATTGAGGGGTATTTTGTTTTTTCTGGTTGATTTCTATGGAGAAAATTAAGTAGTAGTAAAAAACAGTAAATTATAAGTTAATGGCTAATAAATATATATTTTAGAAAGATATAGATTAAGGAGATGTGAAACGGATGTTATTTCTATTAAAAAAGGATACTTAATAAATTTAATGTTAAAAAAAAAGGATTTCTTTAAAAAAAAAAGTAAAAGCAGGGTTATTTTTAAACAAAAGGTTAATAAACAATAGTTTTAGTCGAAAAAATAAAGTCAAGAATAAATAGTTTAATAGGCTACAAATAGATAAACCATTTGTTCGAAATGTATGATGAACGATATAAAATTAAAAAAATTATAATAAGCTTTTTAGAATTGGATAAAGACAAAGAGCGATATTAGAAACATTTTCTAAGAGAAAATCTAAATATTTCAGTTTTTTATTTATTGAAATCACAACAATATTATATTTTTTAGTGATTCCAACAATTTCTATAATATTTCCTCAAAAATAAATGATTTAGATATTTCCAAAGTCAAAATTATGTCAAATCAAGATATAGATTGCAGAAAGAATCAAGATTTCTTGAAAAATGAACATTTAAACTCTTTTAATAATTCAAATATATCTGAAAAAAAAAATACACAAATCGTTAATTTAGAAGCACATTCTGAAGAAGATATTGAATATTTATTAGAGAAAGCTCAAGAGAATCTTGAAAGACTTTCAAAAGAAGTACCTGTTTCTGAAAAAACAAAAGATTTTAAAGATATTCGAAATAGGTAAAAAAAATTAATAATATTAAATCAAATTTAGTAAAATGTAGTATTACTGCATTATCAAATCATCAAAATATTGAACCTAAATATATATCAACAGTTGGAAATGTTAGTTCATTAAATTCACTGGTTTTTGAAAAAAGTTATAAAGTGATCTATGATGATGTAAATCATGTAATTGAGCATGAGGAATTATTAAGTAGAAAAGAAAAACGTAAGGTAAATTAATTATTATTGGTTTTAATTTAATATGGAATAATATGATGAAAAATAAATTTTGAAGCGAATATTTCAAATTATTATTATTAATTATTTGTTTGCGATGTAGAATAAACTTTTTAGTCATAGTTACACTGACATTTTTATATTTATTTTATAGTTTAATATTTTTTTTTATAGTAGAAACTAACGTTTATCAGAAACAGGAAGAAACAGCAGGAAAAGATTGGTTTTATATGCCTAAACCTGAATTGACGCAATCTTTAAAAACACAATTGCAAATATTAAAAATAAGGAATGTTCTAGATCCAAAGAGACATTATAAAAAAGATAATTCTAAAAAACCTCCAAAATACTTTCAAATAGGAACAACAATTGATGATGTTTTAAATACACCTATGGAGGATTTTTCTAAGAAGAAAACTAATTCCATTTTGGATGAAATTTTAGAAGATCAGGATAAACGGCAATATTTTAAGAGGAAATATCAAGAAATTCAAGAAATTAAAACATCAGGTAAAAAGGCTTATTATAAGAAACTAAAAGAAAGGAGAAAACCTTTTTTTTAATAAATTTATTCATAATATTTGGACAAATATAAACTCAAATTTTAAAATCACAAATTATCAGAAAATCATCATCAATAAAAGATTCATAAAAACAACAATCAATTTTTTACATCTTAATCTATAATTCTATAAAAAACAAACAATTCAATAAAGCATTAATCTTGAAAAAAAAATAAAAACTTAAATTATTCAAAAAATTTTATTAAAAAAGGTTCTATAAATAAAAATAAACAAAACCTTTATATCATTGAGAATGAGGATGCAATTCTGAATCAAGAGCAGCAGTCACTTCTTCCTTAACCTCTGACACATTAAGTGTCGTTGCCGGCGTTGGTGTTGGTGTCGGTGCCCCCGTTGATACCAGTGTCGTTGTAGAAGTCGCTTTTGAACAATACTTTATAAAAATCGGATGAAAAAACGTCCAATATATAGTTTGTGCACCATTAAACTGAGGAAGTGATAAATAAAGAATAAAAATCGACTTGAAAAAATAATAAAACGCTACCAATATTTCATCTTTCTTAATCATATAAAACTATTCTCTCTTACGAAGCCAATAAAGCAATGATTGCTCATAATGCTCTATTAAAATCAAAAATCCATAGATAACCCTATCATTTTTCAAATCAACCCTATCCCTAACCCTATCCCTAACCCTAGTCTTACCAGTATGAAAGCCATTGTATATTGTTAGCCTTATTCGAGGATTCAATAGCCAAGACTGAATAATACATAGGAATTATGCAACCTAATATATTGGATAAAAAACGACCGCCAACATTAATAAAAATAAGGAAAAAATAAAGTCCTATTACAGCACCAACCGCATAAACCTATTTGATCTAAATATAACCAAATAAAAATATAAAAATAAACTTTTTTAATGCCCCATTGTCGTTCAAACTGATTTAAATATGAATATTGACTTAGCTATTATTATTTATTATTAATTATGTATAAAGATGTCAATGTAAAGCCTACTTCTTTGTCTAATCTTGAGACGTGAGCTTGAAGTTTGTCTTGAAACGACATTTAAAAGACGGACAATTTCCGGAGGAAGAGAGACATTTAACACAACCCTAACCCTAAGCAGGACTTTTAGGAGGAGTTTTATTAGGGGGAGCTTAATTAGGAGTTTAAACAGGCGTTTAATCAGGCGTTTAAATAGGTGTTTGATTAGGTGTTTAATTAGGAGTTTGATTAGGAGTTTGATTACAACCCTAACTCTATAATTGTAACCCTATAACCACAACCCTAACCCTCAGCACGAACCCTAAGCACTAGCACCACCCCAACCCTAGCTACAACCCTAACACTAGCTCTAACTTTATAGATATCACTAATAATAAAGTATATTCTTAAATACAAATTCAACAACACTTATACAACGTCAGCGTCGGCGTAGGAGTCGGCATTGGCATCAATTTCAACTTCAACTCAACTTCAACCTTAACCCTATATTAAACTCAACATACAACTTAGGACAAACCCTAGACCTAACCCTAAGCACAAACAAGCTCCACCCTAAGCTCCACTCTAAGCTCCACCCTAACCCACGCTTAACCTTCACTATAAACTTTACGTCATACTATGTAGTTCCAACTGTGTAGCACCAACAGTGTAGCTCCAACTATATAACTCTTTCTTTAATATATAACTCTTAAAATATAACTCCAACTCCAGCTCCAACTTCAACTCCAACCTCATAGTTTAATCTTAAACCCTTACTTTATAACCCTATACAGAACCGTAGCTCTAACCCTAACCCGACGCATACCCTAACCCTAACCCCAACTTGTAACTACACCTTCCGACTAAGTTTATACAATAAAGAGAAGAGAGTAGAAAGTAGAGTGGAGTAGAGTGGAGACAGGGTTAGGGTTAAGGTTAGGTTAAGCGGAGCTAAAGTAGGGTCGGTTAGGGTAGGCGTAAACTTGAACTTAACTTAAACTTATTGTATAAACTTAGCGTATAAACTTAAACTTAAACATAAACTTAAACATAAACTTAGACTTAGTGTGAAGGGGTAGCTCCACCCTAACCTCTAAGCATAGAATGCCAACCCCAACTCTTCACCCCAACTTCAACTCCAATACATACGCCAAACTCCACTGTAGCTCCACTGTAGCACCGCCGTAGCACCGCTCTAACCCTAACCCTAACCCACACCAACCCTAACTACTCTCCAACCCTAACCCACACCCTAACCCCAGCGACACCCTAACTCCACTCAACTCCCACTTTATATACAAATCTCCCTTTCAAAAAACTTTATCTTTTATTAAACTTTTTAAACTTCTTTTTAACTTCTTCTCCACTTCTTCTAACTTCTTCTAACTTCTTCTTATTCTCTCCCCTCTTCTCTCCTCTTTAAAAATACCTTTTTCCGCCTCCTTCGAAATCACGTATGTATCGATCGTATGAACACTCAAGGTCCTTACGAACGCTGCAATATTATGCGTTACGGATTTGCATCAGAAACAGGAGAAGATCCATTTATAAATGGACGTCTCTCAAATGTACTTGAAACAGATGCAGATCATCAAGAATTACGACGAGTAACACTTGAGAATATCTCACTTTCTATGGAAGAATTGGCAAATAAAGTTCGGGAGGAGGAATGCGGTACACAATCAGAGAAATACAGACAAGTATTTGGGATTAGCTGGTTTTTAAGGGATTTTATAAGGAGAAAAAGGGTTTTAAAGGGATGTAGGTTAATGAGGAACTGTGAGGCGATACCAGATGTAGCGGTTCCTCGAAACCGTATCTACGCACATTATGTATCGGTATGCGCGCATGAAAGAATAAAGCCGTTAAATCCGGCGTCGTTTGGGAAGCTTGTGAGGATGGTATACCCGGATATTAAGACGAGAAGGTTAGGAGTGAGAGGACAATCGAAATATCATTATTGTGGAATGAAACTTCGTGATGATCATCTTTCGACACATATAAGTCCTAGTAAATCGGAGCTTAAGAATGCACATGAAGAAAATTCGACGTAAAATAAAAGGAAATGAGTGTAAAAATTAATTAAGGAAATAGGTATGCAGAAAGTGTACATACATCGTCATTTCTTAAAGCATTTGATCCATTATTGGTACATTCTAATGTTGAGACGGAAAAGTCGTCGGATCCTTTGATTAACTTTGTATTTAAGTCGAAGCATCTTTATTTTCCAACATATTCGTCAACATCGAATTCTAGTGCAATGTCGCCATTAGCGTCGTTTACATTGCCTGATATTAATCAATATATTCCAGCAGATGTAGATCCGGATACGAAGAACACGCTTATTTCATTATATACGTCACATTGTAGCTCATTGATTGAATCGATTCGATATATGAGATTAAAACAGGTGATTTTTTTTTTGATAAAAAAGAAAGTCTTTTATACATTGTTTTAGTTTCTTACGATTACATCTTCTTTTCATAATTCCCTTACAGTTCCGGTTCAAAAACTTCTTTCATCACCATTCCTAGCAAATTGGGTTCAAAGAGCAGATTTCGAAATGTATAGGGTAAATCATTTAAATCAATATTTTTTTCCAAGATATGACATATTTCATTTAGGAAATTATACGATTATTATCACCACTTGCATTACAAGTGGTACCACCTCAAATTCTTTCATCATTACGTGTTCTTTCATCAACCTTGATTAATCATATTACACATACATTATCGATTCATCCTCAACATTTCGTTCGTGCTAAGGTTATTCCGGCAGTCGCTTTTTCAGCACTTTTATCAAGACTTTTACGTGTTAATGATACAGCACATGCAGCAGCACGATTTTTAACCAATCCAGCAGATAGAGAATTAATGAGAAATGATTGGCTTAGGTATATTGATGCACGTGCAATTGTAAATCGAGAACTTCCTTGTAAAGAAGATGAGGCAGTCAAAATTCTTGATGACGTCATTCAACTCTTATACGGATCAAATCAATTAAATATTTCTAAAAAAAATTCTACAAGTAAAGTGGGTTCCTCTTCCATTTCATCAACAGATACATCACAAACCGATCATTCAATAAATAATGACGGTACAAACACTTTAGACGGTTCATTAAATCGTTGGGCCGACTTCTTTTCCTCTTTACCAAGTCGTTTTCCAAACATTTCTCCAAAATTATTTCTTTTATGTGCCGGAACCGTCGAAACCGCTATTCTAAGAGAAATCACTGTAGCCGGCGGTGAATCCTTTGGCGCTTGGTGGGTCGTACGTTGTTGGATCGACGAATGGTTATGTTGGATTAGTGAACGTGGAGGTTTTCTTGAAATACAATTACTCGAACAAATAAATCCTTCTTCTTCTTCTCTAGAAAAAAATACTGATACACAAGCACTTACGGACGACCCCAATACAACACTGGCTGTCGCATTGTGCGTCGATCCAATCACTAATGGTTCCATTGAGACTCATTTAGATTCCAAAAATGACGATTATATCAATATGGTTTTTAATGCAAATGGAAATACCGGCGATGATCCAACTTAATCTTATCATTCAATTCGCTTCATTTACTCCTCTTTTCATACATTTTTCTTCAAAATCATTCTCTTTCTTGCTATGATGATCTTCATTGTCACGTGACTGGAAGCTTCTCGAACCCTTCGAGACTTCTTACTCGGACCTCAAGAATATAAAAAGGCGGGAGATCCCCCTCGAAACCAAATAATTACCAAGAATTATTAAATATAGGTAAATGGAGAGGACATAAAATATAATATGGAGATGTATAAAAATAGATAGAAATAAGCATGGTAAAAGATCTTAAGCTATATCGGTATTTAGAGATTGGTCCGGAAGCGGATGAGAATGCTATACGTAAGGCATATCGAAAACTAGCATTGAAATATCATCCGGACAAGAATCCATCGGGTACGGAGCGATTTAAAGGTTTTGGGAAGAATGGGTTGCGTTTGGCGTGTCTGATTATCTTATTTTCACAGAAATTAGTCTTGCATATGAGGTTTTGAGTGATCCAAAACGTCGACAATTATATGACCAATATGGGCTAACGGAAGGGCAACCCCAGGCAGGACCGGGCTTTTCGGGGGGACCAGGGGGGTTCCAAGGGTTTTCCGGACGAACCAGTAATGGACAATCATTTTTCTTTTCTACAGGTGGACCGGATGGAGGAGCACGATTCCATCCATCATCTGCAGAAGATGTATTTGCATCATTTATGAAGAATTTTGGAGGAGCATTTGGAGGGGAATCGGATGATTTTGGCATGGGAGAAATGTCAGGTGGTTTTGGAAGGTTATTTAATATGGGAGGGAGTGCAGGTGTACATGGAAATCATATGGGATTTAGAGGAAAAAAGGAAGAGCCAGAAAGAGAAATAGTTACAAAGGCGCTTCCGTTAACCCTAGAAGAGTGAGTATTTACACGTTTGTTTTTTCATTCATTCATTCATTCATTCATCTTTTTCTCACTATTTATTCTAGATTATTCACTGGTACGACAAAACGTATGAAGATAAAACGAAAAGTTTACGGTAGTTCGGGTACAGTACGTCAAGAAGAACGTTTCCTAGAAGTTCAAATAAAACCAGGATGGAAACCCGGTACTAAAATTAAATTCGCCAGAGAAGGCGATGAAAAGCCTAATGGTACGGTTCAAGATATCCATTTTATCATTGAGGAAAAGCCACATACGATGTTTAGAAGATCGGGTGATGATTTGATCACCGAAATGAATCTTACTTTGGTCGAAGCGCTTACTGGATTCTTAAAAATGATTACTACTATTGATGGCAAGCATTTAAAAGTTACAAGTGCTAATCCGATACAACCTAATCATGAAGTTTGTTATCCTGGTCATGGTATGCCACTTTCGAAAAATCCCTCCACACGTGGAAATTTAATCGTTATTTTTAAAGTCGCATTTCCAACTACACTTTCTCCCGAGAAAAAAAACGCACTCAAACAAATATTTTCCTAAACGCAAGTATAAGCTTTGAAATGTTTTAATGTATAATTCTTTTATTCCTCAATTCTGGTATTATATAAATAGTCTTAATACGGGGTTTTAGTAAAAAAAGGCAAAAAAAGCAGCGAAATCAAACGTTTTATTTATGCTTTAGATTTTCATTATACATAAAATGCACTTATCAATATTATAGGAATGATATATCATATAACCCTATTGTAAAATAGTTATATTTTTGATTTATCTTTTTTCTTTTTCTCTATTTTTCTTTTTTTTCCTGATTTATCAGATGTCTTTGATTCATCCATTCTGTCCTTCTTTCTTTTCTCTTTTACCGGAATATCTGTTATTATAGATGCCGATTTATCTTGCATTGATTCAGCCTCTGTCGTTTTTTGACTACATGGTTGTTCAGATGGCAAATTATAATCTACATATGTAGATTTCCATTCTTCAGGCGTTGCATCATTAACTCTTCCATATTTCTAAAAATATTTAATAAAATATCAAATAAATAAATAAAAATATTAACATCAAGTTTCCCTTCTTTTTTCAAAATCTTTTTCTTTATACTTTGAGGACCTAAGCCCCATCTTCGAGGATATGTATCTCTTTCCATGATACATCGTTTAATTTTAGCTACAACTCCATGATCACATGTAGATAATTCTACCATTGACATTTGAGCAATGCCTAAAGCAATTGCTTCACCTTTTGTCGTCATAAGTACAACCTCTTCATTAAGTTCAATACCCGACTCTATAAAAGAGATTAATCAATCTAAAATAACCCAATAAACATACCATAACGAAGTAAACCAGGAATCATTAATTTAGCACCATAGCAAATGGCATTGACTGCACTATCTTTAACAACAATTCTTTTATAAGATACAAGAAGAGATTCTAAAGGACGAATAACACGCCTTAAATATGTTTCATCTCTTGTATTGTCATATTCCCATTGTGCATCAAGAACTTTTAAAATTAAAAAATAAAAAATAAAAAAAATATTAAATACCATCATGCATAGTAACTATACCATCCATTTCACTAAGACATCCACTTCGTATACGACGAAGCTCTTGCATATGAGCTCCCACACCTAATATAAGACCTAAATGAACACTAATACAAACATTAATATATATAAAAAATATTTTTTTAAATATAAAAAACCATAATGTCCTAATATATGTCCCTGCCTCACAACTAACACGAAATAAACCCAAATGTCGATCATTATCAAATTCAAGAAGCTTAGATTCATGAATTGTACGAATTCGAAGCTGACGTTTAACCTATTAACACTTTCAATATACTTTTTTAAAATATACACAATCCTACTGCAGAAATAAGAGGAGGACGTTGAAATAAAGCACCTGTTAACATTTCCAGAGACTGTGCAAACTTTTTCTCCGATGATAAAGCATCATGAAATCGAATTACACATACATATTCTTTTCCTGCACCTTGTTGTGATTTAACTAATCTTGTAGCCTAAAAATATCATTCAAAAAAAGTGCTACTTGTAGCTATATGTTACTCTATCAATACAGACTACCAAACATCCTTTAAAACTCAATTTTTAGACTTATTATATAATTTTTTTTAAAATACCTGTTACTTTAGGATCTAAAGCTATAAAAAATTAGAAAAAAAGAACATAAATATATAGAATATATTATTTACTTCCTGAATGTCCTGTTTTCTCACAGCGCAGTATCCTTTTAATCCATGCAACCACCTATTAAAAAAAATATTTAAAAAAAACCTTAAAAAAACCAAATTCTACTTCATGAGATGACGGATTTGCTGGTTTATCAAGGTTAATAACTCCTGAACTTATATACGCCTTAATATCTCTCTTTAAAGGCGATGATCCATGAGGAATAGGTGTATAATGACCTGTTCGTATTACCAATTTATCATAATTCTTTAATAAAAGAGGCCAAGTAGATGTATCAGCATTTCCTGAGAGATTCTCTGGTTTAATTAAATAATCGGTCTTTGTCTGAATATCAGCAACAGAACTCATCTCAATATTGTGTATAAAATAGATAAACTAAGTTTATCGCAGAAATATTTCTTTACGGAAGACCTATTTGTATGTATAAAGATAGTTGAAAAAAAAACAAGTGCTGAAAGGTTTTCCTTAATATATCTTTCCTATTTAAATCCAATTGAAATATAAAAGTTTATAATTATAAATATAATTTGTAATAAAAGAAAGAAAGTTGAAAAAAATGAATCAAGAACGATGAGTAACCAAAGAATTGATAACATTTTCGCAAGATCTTATAATTGAAAGTCTTTTTTCATCAGAAGATCTATTTGTTTCAGATAAAATAATCCTAATATTAAAATAAATAAGAAAAAATAAGAATAAAAAATACTTTTCAAGAAGAAGAATGGCAGTTTGAGGTTTTATACGACTATATTTCTTAAGTTGTATATCACTATTAAGATATTCCTCAGGATTTTGAGATAAAATGAAGTTAAGACTTTGTCGTAATTCCAAAAAAGTATCAGCATAAGAAATACTTGGTTCACTAAGATCTTGAACAAATCTTTCTAAATATCGTAAATCCAAATCAAAATTTAAAATAGAATTTTGATTAATTTTTTTTGAACTTTTATTTAATAATATTTGCTAAATAAAGATAAGTAAAGATAAGAAATGATATAAGAAGTAACCATCATGGATGAAGCAAAATGATCAAGTGTTCCAAAATATAAAAACGTTTTAATTGAACTAGGAAGATTGTGTAAAGTAGAATTCATTACAGTTGTCAAGTAAGAAACCATTTCAAGTAAATAAGAACTTGGTTCTTTTTGTTTTGTTGTAGATTGCCTTCAAAATGGATTAAAAGAGCCAATTGAAATAAATTATTTACCAATCATAATCTGAAATCTCCAAAAAATCGTCTATTTTAGAGGTAACCAATTCTAAAATATTAAATTAATTATATTGAAAAAAAAAAATAAAATTAAATACCAAATATTCGTTTTTCAGCATCCTTAATAGCATTACGAAACTCTGATTTAGCCCTTAATTTTAAATTAGTTGCTTTATCAGAAGTTTGTATTTTTAATAATAAAGAATCCAATTCATCACATGCTTTTTCAAAATGTTCAAGATTGATTATGATCTGTACTAATTGTGATAAATTATTTAAACTTAATCGTTCAATTAATTTCTTTTTAACATTTCCAACTAAGAGCTCGTCCAAAATCTATATTTTTAATCAATATAGATATGAAATTGTATACTTTTTTTTGTTTAAAAACCTGTTTTAAAATATCATCAATATCATGACAATGATTATAATATCCCTCAGCAAATTTATAGTATTTATTTACAAAATTTCGAATATCTACACAACACAAGGGATATACTTGAGAAAATGGAAGAGTAACAGGAAATCTATTTTAGATTAGTACTGCTATTATCATATATGAAAACAACATGATTGAATTAGGAGAATTGCCAGGGTTATACCAACTAACATCCAATATTTTCTGATAATCTTCCATATTACTAATAACAATAGGCATATAATCATCCTCAGTAACAATTTGTTCGAAATCCTTACTAAATTGTGCCTTTAAAAGTCTTGAATATGTTTCAAACAAGCTTAATGAAAAATTATATAACTTTTTCATAGAATAATCATATGTCTATTCAATATATTAAAAAATTATATATCTATATACCACAAATTACCTCAATTGTTTGTATAAATAGTAAGATAAGAGACTTTATATCTTGAATTAATTGAAGGTCTTCAACATCCTTAATACTATTTGAAATATTTTCAATCAATTTATCACACAAAGAATCCCATAAAGAATCAATCTAGAAAAATAAGATAATAGAAAAGAAAACTTGTTTAAAACCTCTTCTTTAGAGCGCAAAGCGTTTATTTTAACCAACGTCTTCTTCTCTATAATAACAAAACCAGCAATATCATGTAACAATAAACGAATAGCAGATAGATCTTTGTTTTGAATTACCATTGAATAAGGAATCAAAAGATCTTTCTGCATTCTGCGATCATTTTCATAACTTGCCCGAAACTCATCATGAAGTCCAAGCTCATCATAAATATGAAAACACTCAAACAAACATGTAAAATCTATTTGAATTTGATCATTGGATGTCACATCAACTGAAACACTTTAATAAATTGTAGGATATATATAATGTACATCTTACAATCTTCCCATTCACTTAATACCCATTCTACTGGTGAATTAAATTCACATGATTGTAAACGAGGATTCATTTTAATATGTTGATTCCACATTTTCTGTCTTTCAAGAGTCTTTTGAAACGCAAGTTGACCCACCTTAGTAGAGCTTATACGTAAACTAATCCATATCATTAATATTGAAAAAAAATACAAAAAATATACGTCAAAAGCCACTCTTTCAAATCCCTCATCACTGCATCCTGTATTCTTTGCTTTATACTTGTAATAGAATCGCCTATACCAAAATTAAACATAATTTCTCTCAAAAACTCAATAATAAAAATTTTACATATATTTTTAGCAAATCTAAACCCCAATATATCCTTTAAATGAAGCGTTTGCAACTCATCTAATGACTAAAACAAACTTTAACAACCTCCCAAAAAAAAAATCCATAATAACCCTTAATGCCCTATAAAACTCCTTATTTCCAATCCATTCATAAATCTTATTAACTAGTCCAAGAACTTTTAGACATGTATGTATCATTTCTGACGCTTCTTTCATATTTTGACTCATTTGTCGTGCTTCTACTAACGCACGTTTCTAACACTCATTTAACACCATATAAAAATACAACAAAACCCTTCCATCACACCTTAGACGCTAATAAAGACACATTTTGCTGAATATCCCAGTTTAAATAATGCAATTGATCCGACAATACTAATATAGATTGACGGACATTCAAAAGTCGTTCAATCGACTCAATAAACATCTAAAACAATAAGATAACCATTCCATCCTCTTCATCTACTACTTGATGGTATTCTGAACATGTTTCTTCAACTTGTCGCTTCTTCTGAGAGGACCATATCGTCCAAACCTCTAATAACTCATTCTGAGCCCCCGATTCACATGCTTTTTTCAAAATAGGCATCAATTCCTCTACATAACTACTCCCCAAGACACACTGTTGAATTAACTAAACCCAAATATCAGAAAAATCCTTATAAACATGTATTTCATCATGATCATCTCAATCTCATAACCCTAAACCCAATTCTCTAATAAAACTCCTTATAAACCCTTTAAAACTCTCTTATTTATAGCTCTAAACCTTCTATTTATCCATAAATCATTACCTCTTCAAAATCCGCTTCTTTAAATTCTCCCATTTTTCCTCGTTTTTTTATTAAAAACTATTAAAATTTAATAAAAATCCTATTTTTATTTTTTATCCGAGGTTTTTTCCTAAAAACATCTCTTAACATATGAATCAACTCGAATACGACCTCAATCAACCTACTTAAGAGCTTTCCGGACGATACTTTATCCTCGACAAGCCGTATAATAATAATACAGATGGTTTTTACTAGATTCTCTATGAATTTATCTATAAATCTATGATATCTTAAAATTTCTTTGTTATTTGGTCTTTTCTATCAGGATTTATATTGGAATATATTAGAATAAGATATTCAAGAAATAAGAAGACATTGAAATGAATATGTTATAAATGGTTCGTGCAGAACCCAGTTTTTTATAAAGGGATTTTATCTTTTTTATTTCTATTTATTAGAACTGGGATATTTGCAGAGATAATCGGAAGAAGATTGAAAGAAGATTGGAAGAAGATTGGATAGAAATTGGACAAGCAAGTTATAGGATAATGGTTATAAAAATTCAATTCGAATAGTGTAAACCTTTTATTCAACGATATAGGATTTATCATTAACAATTTTTGCTTTTGCTATTGCTTTTGCTATTGCTTAAACAGAAATTACAGCTAGACACGATACTATGATTTCTTTACATATTATACAAGTCTTTTTTCATTTTTATTATTACTAATATCTCAATACATATTCAATTATTTCTAACTATTTAGAATACCTATTTCTTAGGGACTTGATATAAAATATTATTAGTAGAAAATTTCAAATTTATTTAAAATAATGGGTAATTATTAACTGGTATTTATATTTTACGTATTAAATACGACTTTACAAATGGAAAACTAACAATAAAAAGAAAAGAAATAGATAACAATTATTACTCTTTTATCTTTTAATAAGTATGAAGTAGTATGTATAAATAAAAGGTTATATTATTTTTGAGGGAACTTTACAATTATATTGGGAGTAGATTTATCTATATTTTTTATCTTTATTTTTTTCTTAAGTATAACACTTGGTATACAAGTAAGAAGGACAATCTAAGGGAGCTCACTCGAACCCTAACCCGACGCATAACCAACCCTAACCCGACGCATAACCAACCCTAACACAATGCAGAACTAACCCTAATGCATAACCAACCCTAACGCATAACTAACCCAATCTTGCACTAACCCATTATAACCTCAACATACCCCAGCCCTATACCATGACCTAACTCACGCAACCCTAACCCACCACACTAACCCTAACACACGCCCTAACCCTACACACTAACCCTACACACAACCCTACCAACCCCATCCAAACGTATACCAAATACAACCCCATTCTTAAACATATCTACAGCAGAACCTAACCCTAAGCTCAATACCAACCCTACCATAAGCACAACCCTAATCCAGCGCAACCCTAACCCCAGTGCAAACCTAACCCTATCTCAAACTTCACCCTAACCCTACCCCCCCTACTCCTACCTAACCCCCTATACAAGCATAACCCCTACTCCTACTTAATCTCCTTTAACCATCTCATAACCCCCTTTCCCGTCCCTCTCACTAACCCTAAAAATAGACCTTTTCATCCTCTTTATAGTAACACTCATCTATCCTAACCCAAGATACCCTTGTCTAAGCGCGAGAATTGATCGCATACAACTCAGCATTCTTAGTCAGTTTTTGTCCATCAATTGATCCATTTCAATTTTGATTTTACTCTTGAGATTCTATGTCAGACTTAACCCTCCCCTGATTGAAGCGCCATACGATATCCAAAGATCGAAAAGCATAAATACGCGTGGCCTATGCTCTGGCCGCATAAAAAAATATAAATAGATGCAAAATCCTCATTTTAAGGGGGAAAAAAGTATATCCAAAGACAGTCTATCAAGGGATAGTCCAAAAGAGACGTGTATATATTGGACAATGGCTTGAAATACCAAGTATACGTGAGATGTATGCGTCAGAAGACGCAACGCGTGACGAGAACCCTACTACAGAGGATTTGGGGGCAGAAGAATATCAGGGAGGAGAAACATATGAGGATAGTACAGCAAGTTTTGATGAGGCCAAATTTTCGGTACCGGAGCTGGATAGTAGCCCATTTCGAAGCTCAGTGACACAGTATTCAGATGGGTTTAGTCATAAAGATCAAGATCTCGAAGAGCTTGGGGCTATTCCATCGACGCTTTTTGATTCTCCAGTATCTAAAAATGGGAAAGAAACGGGGCAGGAGAATCGGGCAATTAAACGTACTCATAGTGAGCGTCTATCTAATACACCATTGGGGGGGAAATCGCCCAAGCTATGGCAGGAAGGGTCAGGTTTGTGGAAAGGAGGGTTAGGGTTAGGGCAACATAATAAAGAGGGTTAGGGTCAGGGCTAGCATCGTTTTATAGCAGTAATTTATCGACGTATGCGATAGCAGGAAAATCAATTGTAGAGAAGAATGTTGCGCGAAGCGGAAAAACACAGGGTAATCATACGAGTTCGAGTATAGGAATATCAAGCAGTCTATCAAAATATTGTGAATCAGGGGTGAATTTTGAATCGACGCAAGAGACGGAGAAATCGACGAAATTATTCGATTATTCGTTTACGGAATCATTAGGATCGTATGCTAAGCAGAAATTGGTGCAAGAAAATGTGACGAATACGTCACATTTGGCGTATTCGGAGAAATGGACGTCTATTCCGAGTCGATATCTTCAAGTGACGAATTTGCCGAAAACGATGGAGACATGGATGCTTAAAGAGATTTTTGAGGTTTATAGGGGAAAACGAAGGATTTAGACGAGTCGCTAAAAATAAAGTAGAAATTCGGAGATATACAAGGAATCTTGTCTAAGAATCTTCGTAGTGATGGATCGGTTATTGTTGGATTCTATGATGTTCGTGATTGTATCAGAATTCAAAAGCAACTTCGTCATTATCGATTTTTCAATGACCGGTATTTAGAAGCGCAATTTTGTTCCAAAACAACGTTAATAGCTGTAAGTATTTAACACTGTCCTTTACTCACTCACTCATCACTCATCCTTATACTTCTTCTTTCTTTTTTCTAATGTATTGTTTGGCATGTACTTATTTTTTCGTTATAGATGTCGAAAGGGGGTACATCACTTCCATTTCTTTCGGAAAACGAGGGAGAAATCATCATTTCTCTTCAAGGATCTGGAGATTTATCCAAAAATGTTTTGTTTAATCTTTTGTCTTCATATGGTGACATTCGCGTAATCAAATCTCCCTCTACAACAATGAAAAAAACAATTATTTGCGAATATTTTGATATTAGAGATGCTATGTTAGCCGTAGACGAGTTAAACGGCAGAGTGGTTCAGGTAAATCAAGAATCACATTTCCATATATGGGTTATTTGTAATATTTAATAATGATTATAGAATAATAAACTTCATGCTACATTTTATGAATCGGGATTTATTTCCTGGAAAATAGTATCGAATGAATTACAACATTTACAGGATAAAAATACCGTATTAGATCAATTTAAATCCTTGGATATTTCTGAAGGAGGTTTAAATAATGTTTCAAATGAATATTTAATAAATCATGAATCAGCCAATGTTGTTTCACGTTCTAAACTTTCCCCTCCTTTGGAGTTTTTCTTGAATAAAAAAGGATCTAACGGACCTATTATGGATCGATCAAATTCGGTTCCGTGTTACTTTCTTCAAAATGAAAAACCACCTTATACAGCATCAATGTCCAATGGTTCTGGCAATATCGATTATTACAAACATCATAATGTCCGTAAACCTACTAATCTTCATATCAGCGATAATACTAGCTATGTTCATTTAAACGATCGATATACCAAGATAAATAGTTATCTTCATTCTTCAGCAGTAAAAGAAGCGCTTGAAGAAGCCAAAGTAGAACCGCATAATCCGGCATTTATCCCGGGTAGTCCTTCTAATCAACGTCAAATATATTCAGCAAATATGAAACGAAGCATTACGCATGATGGTGTTTGGATGGAACATTCGCCACCGATAACTGAGCATTTGCCTCTTAACCTAAAATATCCTTTTGATGTGTTAAAAATGATTGGCAACTCTAGCCCTAGAGCAAATTTGATTACGGAAAAAAATAAAGTGAATTATGATAGAATTACTCGAGGCTTGGATATGCGTACAACTATTATGATCAAAAATATACCGAATAAATTCACACAGGTGAGTTTCCATCATAAATATCATTCAATCGGCTTATGAATGAATAGCAAATGTTGCAAGAATATATTGATGCAACAAACCCGAAAACCTATGATTTCCTTTATTTAAGAATCGACTTTAGAAATCGTTGTAATGTTGGTTAGTTTCATTACATCATTTTATTAGGGGGGAGAAATTTGATATGGCTTAGGTTATGCTTTTGTAAATTTTATTGACCCTATTTCTATTGTTACTTTTGGTCAAGCTCGTGTTGGGACAAAATGGTAAATAACAAAAAGGAATAAATAAGCATTATGCTAAAATTAATGTTTCCAGGAATCGATTTCATTCAGATAAAATTTGTGATATTTCATACGCCAATATGTATATATCTATTATCTATTTCATTATTCGTAAAGCTAAATTTCAAATAGTCAGGGAAAAGAATGTCTTATTGAGAAGTTTCGTAATTCTTGTGTAATGGACGAAGATCCATCTTATCGCCCTAAAATTTTTATTTCACATGGACCGGCAACAGGAGAGGAACAAGAGTAAATTGATTTATGAAAGATTAATTATCATTATTAACTCTTATATAGATTTCCTGCACCTAATAATCCGAGAAGGAAATTAAGATCAATTGTAAGCGCACAACAAATCGGTACAATTCTTTCATGCATCAATCCATTACTTATACATTCTAGGGCTTTTCCCTCCTGTTGGATCAAGAGCACCTTGGTGTGCACATGAAGAACAAGCATTTCTATGATTTTTATTTTTTTTTTAAATATTTCAACATTTTTCTAAATCTTGAAGTTTTGCAATTTTTTTCTTTATTGGAATAACTATTTTATATAAACGCTTGGTTTGGTTTGGCATATTAAAGCATTTCTGTAATAGTGGGATTTATAATCCTTCAAGAATTTTTATAATTATTATAGTAGATAAAAGATCATTTTGTCATGATCGTATTATTGGTAGCATTTGTAGTAGTATTCATATCTTGAAGCTTTTTTATATATTTTTCTATATCAAAATCAGATGTATCTGTATGTATAATGTCTTCTGAAAACCGTTGTGATACAAATTGTGAAGGTCCCCATGATTTACTATCTGCATCCACAAGACGAAGTTGAGGTGAATCATTGCTAAAAGGCAATGAATCACTTAAAAGTTCTTTCCAAGAAAATAAAAGTGATAAAGTCCTATAATGCCAAGGATTAATATCTATTAGCCATGCTCTAGATTTTGACGGGGGAATATAGATATCAAAAATGACTTGAAATATTAGTAAAAAAAAAAATACATAAATATTTACAATTTTCATCAGGAAAAGTATCTTTTAAATAGGAATTGAATAGATCCACAGCAAGAGATATAACAATTGGTCTTAATGATTCAAGAAATGCATAATATTTCAGATCACGTTGAGAAATACCTTGTCAAAATTAATAAAATACAACAATATCAAACTTATACCTATAAGACAACGTTGTTTAACAAAACAACGAAATTCCATAGATGGAATTATTGTAAACCATTGTTTCAAAACAAGTTCATATTCAACATGAACATCAGGAGATGATATACAATCATCAAAAGCATGAAATAAATCATGAGCAATAAAATCTGAGCTTTTAAAAAGAAGATATATATCAGAAGAAGTTGTACAACGTAAATTTCGACTTGATGTAATCCATGCTGCATCCTACAAAATAAGATATAAAACTTAAAATTAAGGGTAAAAACTTTAGGTGAAGACCAATTAAGCTTTGGAAAAACTGCTCCATTAAGTGATTCAATTGTACGAGTAATTTCATCATCCAAAGCTTGAAAAGCAATAACTGGATTCTAACAAAAAAAATTAACAATTTCGCTTATTTAAATTCTATAATTCACATCTGGAATATCCATTATTTGATCTGCTGATTCACTTATTGAACTACTATCTGAGTCTTTATCACTACTTAACATATGATGTTAAAAAAAAAAAAAAAAAACATAAATATACATTCCACATGGAAGAACAATGCTATCTTGACTCAAATATGCAATAAACTCTGGAGGTAAAGGCTTAATTATTCTGGCTTTAGGTGTAATAGAACGATAACGTGCGTACCATACAGAAAATGAACAATGAAGAATACAAATATCGGATAAAGGAGGAAAATTAGATAGAAAGGCCTCGTCAACGCTTAGATCCATAGTATAAGGCGTCTTAATGGCCTTTTTCCTTAAAATTATTAAAATTTGCAGTTCAGTCTAACCGATTACCATAGCAACGGTTGTCAGAGCAACCTTAATACAGAGAAAGATCCTTCAAGATTTGGATGTTTGATTTTCTCCATGAAATGAAGCGTGGATGTAGAAAACCATAGCCTTTAGACTCAATTCTATAGAGCCGAACGGTATCTGCATTTTGAGTATAACAAAGTCTCCATACACCTTCTTGATCAGGGACATTTTGCTTTAGAAAAGAAAGCAATTGAGACATCCAAGCGAGAGCAATATTACCATTGAAAGCAGAGGTTTTTGAAGGAATTGATTGAGTTTTATATTCTTCAATTGATTCAAGATAACCATCATCAGTACGAAAACCGACGATTATTCTTGGTATACCAAGTAAAAAAGACTGGGACCTTAATAAGATGAAATAAATCAAAGGAAAATAAGCAATTTGTTTTTTTTTCTTACCAAAATTTGAGCAATTTATGAAGTTCAAAAGTTCTTCGAGCTGAATGACTAGTTAATGAACGAGTTGTCTTAAGTTCAACATAATTAGGGACAGGATTTTCAGGTGGATCAGGTTTAGCATCCCAAGCACAATCTACTTCTCCTCCCATAACGAGAGTTGTTTTATCAAGACTAGTACGAACAACAGAGCAATATTGAACATGATTATTAACAATAATGTCATTTCTATGTTCAATTTGATAACGAGAACAATTATCCCAAGTATCTGGAAGAGTTGAAAGTGCTAAAAACAAGTTAATATTAATTAATCAAGTATAATTTAACATTATACTTTCAAATTTATAACCCCAAAACCGCATGAGTGCTTCTTGTTCACTAGAAGGTGGAATAGCTTCCAAATTATCTTCAATAAAGCTAAAAATATTTCAATTGATATATAAAAAATAAAGAAATATACATAGTGTGCTAAAGAATGTCAATCAAACATATAATAAGATAAAAATGATAAATCTTTGGACAATTTAAAGACAATAGATTTTACTAACCTGAAAGCGAACAATATTAACTGCCCATGCAGTACGTCTATCAAATGGTGTACAAAGGAATCGAGTTAAAATACCTAATCATCTTAAAAAATCTTAAAAATATACATGGATCAAGACCTCTCCATGTCAAAAAATCTACAAAACTACGTTGGAAACCATTTTGACGCTCATATTCACATAATGATAATAATAATCCATCAAGATGCTCATTAATTCTCTCATCTCGTTCAATACGCTTCTCAAAACCATTGGAAAGATTCGATCCAACAACTGGAGGGTAATAATACATCTAAATATGAATAATTCATATTTTTCTTAGAAAGATTCCTACTAAAGACGACGCATCATATCTTAAATTTCGCTTTTCATCATAACTAAAGCAAAAAAGCTCAACTGGCTGTTTAAAAACAGGCACTAATCCTTTCAACCGCTCAAGCGGTTCAATACAAAAGGTAGCCAGTATAAAACAATTGACAATAATTATTAATTATGACGGATCGTACACTTTCATACTATTCATACAAACTTCTCTACCAATTTCAAATCTAAATTAAAACTATATACAACGTTTCAATGGCATATCTACATGCTAATCATCCTTAAAAATATATATTTTTATCAAAATATTCAATAAAATACTAGAAATCTTATACCAAGGTCACGTGATTTCAGGTCGATCGGTATACATATAAATATTTATTTATAAACATTTGGAGGCTTAAAAATAAAAGAATTAAGCATGTCATCAAAGCCACTTAGACGACAATTATTCGGGATTCGAACTTCATTAATCCCGAGCGTTTCTATTACAAATGTTTTTGGGCAAGAAGTATCAACTTTATATGAGGATATAATGGACCCATCATCATTTACAACATTACAATTCCTGGAAACACCAGTACCAGGAACAGAAGAACAAGATCAAAAAATTAGTGAATAAAACAAAATTATAATATAATTTTAATAATAATAATTAGTGGAAAAAACAAAGCAGGCAGAAGCGTTACGAAAAATTTATACAAGTGAGCAATTTCAACATAAAGGTAAAATAATGAAAGAAATGAAATAACTAATGAACAAAGCTCTTGGAGAAGCGGTAAGAGAGAGTTTAAAACGTATAATTCAAGATTTAAAAGAAGATGATTGGATGTATGAAGCAGAAGAAACGAATTCAACCATGTCTAGTCACGTGAAAGTCACGTGACTAATAAGAAAATTAATCTATGAAATATTAAGCAATCCATAGAAATTAATCAAGTGTATCGTGTAGATTTGATGGAAGATCACCAGGCATATCGGATTGATTAATAAATAATTGATTCATAAGATCGTTCCATATATTTTTTGAAGAATGTTGAACAGGAATATTAAAATAAAGATGACCGATTTTTTCAAGAGACTAATTGTTTAAATACAAGAAAACATAAGAATTAATATCTTACGGGTTGCCATGAAGGAGCTTTTTTTAAAGCATCAGTATAATGTGCTTTTAGAGTATGAAATAAATCGACAGTACCTCTTTGACAAGTTAAAATGAGAAAACATAAAAAATTCATCAATGGTAGAGAAGGAAACAAGATAACATCAGCAACAGAAGATGATAAAGTGTGTGTTTGAACTTTTCTTTCTTCTACTAAATAATGAACTATTCCACGATAACCTCGAATAGCAGAAGCGATATTATAAAGTATAAGATAAGGAAATACTATTCGTGAAGCATAAAAAGGAGCCATATAAAGATCATCTTCATAAAAATAATCGCAAAGAAGATCTAATAAGGGTTTTACACTTTCATTTGTTCCAAGTACCAAATGTTTTTCTGCTTCAAAAAGGTTTCCTTCTTGTGCTAAAAGAACACCTATATTATGATGAAGATCAGCATCACCTACAGATGTTTCTCCCCATTTACTGGACCATCTTGGATAAATATTAAACTTATTTATCAGAGATTGATATAACATACGCTAATATCTCATTAATAAATCGTTTTCTTGTAGGTTCAGATGATCCATATAAATATAAAATATCAAGAAGTCGAGCTAAAAATATTCAATTTATTATTTCAATGTAAATCGTTTAAACACTTTTACTACTGGTATCTGGCCTTAATTCCATTAAATTATAGACTTTAACTATATATAGTGCTAAATCACTACCACTTGCAAACTGGCCCTCTTTAAAAAACCTTTTAGATGCATCATAAAGCATGTCTATACATGATACATATTCACATGCTTTAACATATCTTGATTCATTTATTTATTATCATTATTATTTCATTATAGATATATATACCTATTTGCTATCGTCCGTAGTAACTGATGAGCTTCATAATATTGCTTATCATCCAGACTATTATAGATATTAATAATAAATATATGAAAGAAATAAATATACAGTTTTTGAGATTTAATTATATTCTTATCTTGTGTTAAAGACATGTCTAAGAATCTGTGTCCCGTCGGAATCTCGAGAAAATATAGATAAAATGTATAAAAAAAATGAAGTAAAAACACAAATATTTGAAGTGACAAAGACCATATTGAATATAAATACCATTGTTTATTAATTATCCATTTTTTCGTATTAAAAAAGTATAAAAAGCCGTTATAATCCAACATAAAAAATTTAATAAAGATCTGAAATTAATATACCAAAGCCTTAAAAGGGCTTAGAAATAGTAAGAATAATAAAATAATTCCGAAATGTACAAAAAACTAGAAAAAAAATGAGTATGATGAAATTTATAAAATGACATACATCATAACGTTGCCAAAAACGTAAAGAATCCCTTAAATTAAGAATAATAAAAGGCTGTGCAATATATCCCCATGTTAATTGCATAGTTAGTAATGATAATATATCATAAAATATTTTGTATCTATTTGGCTTCAAGTCTTTAGTTAAAAAAAAAGGTCGAATATGTTTTCTAAAATATTTTCCCAAAATTTGTACAAATGCTCCAGTCATAAAAGATACTATACAAATCAGAAATGATAAGTATAAATTTTTAAAAAATATTATATAGGAATGTCTTACAATAATACCCTGGATAAACTAAAAAAAATAAGAGAAAAAAATAAATTAAATATTACTTACATCCATGCCATAAAGCACTAACCATAAATGTTATGAGAGAACCTTTAAATTTTGTATTATTGTCACGAGATATTACTCTTAAGTAAACATAATATTTTAGCCACCGATTTGTACCTTTATTCCAAGCTTCAAACAATTGTTTAACATTCTGTGCCGTTTCAACATCATATGGATTAATATTTTCAAGAGAACTATGAATAATATTGCCATTGGAGTCTCTTATAATATCACTTATACCCGATAAAATACATGAACCTTCAGCAATTGACCAAGCACCGTAATATTTTAAACGATGTGTTATTGATAAAGGAATAAGATAGAATAATCTAATGCCAATTAAGTTTTTTTTCCTTCAAAACAGATGCACCCCCAAATTACCTGTAAATTCTAGTTGTTTGAAGGAATTCATCAGAAAGAACAAAATCTGTAGAAAAATATAAAGACATTAATTGAAATAAACAAAGATAAAATAAACCATAAACAAATTTCTTTAATGCATAACCTCCATCTTCTTTGAATAGCCGTTTTTTAAAATTATTATCATTTTTCTTGTTAGATATAGAGGAAAAAGCACCATTGGTTAGCCAATTATAATAATCAGCCATATCAAAATAAGGTCCTACAAAAAAAGAAGGGAAAAAAAATACATAACCAAGATAATCCAGTAAAGATGGAACTTCTTTTAAAGAATATTCCTTCTGTTTCTGTGTTAACGTCTAAAAAAAAATAAGAAAAATCAAAATAGACACTTATCTTACTAATAAATTTTGTTGACCATCATATATATTCCATGCAAGTGCTGACAACTTCATACAAAGAACCATCTGTATAGATGTAACATCCATAGATGAATCAATATTAAAGAACTGACGATAAAAATGACTATTTTTTATATAAAATTATTACCAAATTTCTTATATATTTACTTAACACTCAAATGTCCCATTAAAAAAATAAACACAAAAACTGGCATAGATTTTCCCTTAAGATATTTTACAATAATATATGTCCCATTCGCGCTAATAAGCACTGTTTGAAGCGCATACCAAAAATTAAAAAGAACCAAAAAAAAAACAGAAATACTGCATTTTCCATGAATTTTTAAGCGAAAAAAAGCACATTCCCATACATAATATTAAATATATTTCTTAAATATGGACTTTTCGTAGGTAATTTCCTCAAAAAAATAGCAAAAGGATACGAAAAAATAAGACATCCAAGAAGTTTAAAATTACCAATAGAAATACCAATAGCTTGAGCAATTGTACCAATTAACCACTCAATCCATAATGGTGAATCATCTGGATACTTTATAACCACTGTTCCTAGCGTAATTCCTGTTAATAAGGCACTTTTTATACCCATTTTAAGCTGACAAGAAATTTTGACGTTGCAGCTGGCAGTTGGACGGGCACAATGTCACGTGACAAGGAGTCGAATTCACGTGATAACAAGTCGAATTCACGTGACAAGGAGTCAATATCACGTGAAATTTTTTATATTCACGTGATACTTAGTCGATTTCACGTGATATTGACTCCTTGTCACGTGAATTCAACTTATGAGGGAGACTTTAGTGTAGAGGGTTTTATCCACAGACAAAAATGAATGTTATACAGACGACACAGAATTATATAGAAATAATAGTTAAACAACCAAAAGGAATGAAAATTATGCTATTAGATAGATTTACGGTGAGTAATTTGTGTATAAAATGAATAAGAAGAATAGAAGAGATATATAATGAAAAATAAAATATACATGTTTTATGGAAGAGACAACTGATTTTGAGAGGTTTATAGACACCAATGATGTCTATGGCGACGACTAAATCATTTCTTTTGGGTAAAGAAATTTATTTGATTGAGAAAGTGAAGAGAGATATATATGGCAAAATAATAATATAAATGATAGCCGTCTTGAGAACTCTAGAAGGGAAAATGTACGTCATTTAACGTGTATTTGTGTTATTCAACCGTGCCTTGAATCGGTACAATATTTATCAGAAGAACTACGTTCACCAAAATATGGACGTTATTTTGTTTGTAAGATGAAAAAAAATGTATGAATTGTTCTAAAAACAGGAGATTTTACAAATATTCTTAGAAAAAACTATCTAGAAATGTTGGCAGCATCAGATGATCATGAAGTTGTACAATCATTACAGGTTATACTTTAAATATGAATAAACCTTAACTAAAATATATAAGGAGATTTTTTCAGATTATTTAGCAGTTCATTCTGATTTAGCAGCTCTTTATTTACCTATTTCAACACATAATCTTTGGAATAATAGATGGGATACATGGGATTCAATAGCTTTACAAAAGTCACGTGACGGACTGATATCTATACTGTTATCATTGAAAAAGAAGCCAATTATACGGTATGAAAAGAACAGTAATATGGCAAAAGTTCTTGGTAATGAAGTGAAAAATAAGATGGAAGAAGAGGAGCAATTGTTTAATTTTTATCGTATGGATACAGCACCAATTCTTTTGATATTAGATCGTTGCAACGATCCAGTGACGCCATTATTAACTCAATGGACATATGAAGCAATGGTTCATGAATTAGTAGGGATTGAGAATGGATGTGTTGATATTTCAAATATGATATATGAAAAAAAACTTAAAGTATGGATACAATTACTCAAGACGAAGCCGATAAACGTTTTTACAGGAAATTATTTTATCTCCTGAGAAGGATACATTTTTTAAGGAAAATATGTACTTAAATTTTGGGGATTTAGGTACACGTATTAAAGAATATGTGGATCATTATCATTCAAAAACGAAATCGAATATTGAAATTCAAAATGTATCGGATATCAAGCGATTTATTGAAGAATACCCAGAATTCCGGCAATTATCAGGAAATGTTAGTAAGCATGTGATATTAATGAGTGAACTTAGTACTCGAGTGAATAAGGAATCCTTATTAGAGGTTAGTGAACTGGAACAAAACTTAGCATGTAACGATTCCCACTCAGCAGATTTAAAAGTAAGGATAAAAACTTATAGAAAGACGAATTCTTACTTGTATAATTTTTAGATTTTGCAAAAACTTATTCAAAGCCCAATTTCAAACAATAACAAGATTCGACTAGTACTTCTTTATGCTTTGCGCTATGAAAAAAACAGAAATAACGTACTTTCATCTCTTTTATTATCATTGGCACAAGCTGGCGTAACACCAAAGGAACTTTCTGTAATTATTTTCTTTTATTTAAATATTTCTAAGAATTAAAGATCATTAATACACTTCTTGAATATGCTGGATCAAGTAAACGACTAGACAACTTATACGAATTAGAAAGCATCTTTTCAAGAGCAAGAAGTGGGTTTAATGGATCAAACGACGTTGAAAATGTATATACACAACATCGACCTCGTTTACAAAACATTCTTTTATCTCTAATTAAAGGCCGTCTACGGGAACAAACTCATCCTTGTATTGAAGAAAATACTATGTTAAAAGAAAAGCCTCAGGATATCATTGTCTACATGATTGGCGGTACAACTTATACTGAAGCAAGAATTGTTCATGAAATTAATCTTTATATACCAGGTGTTCGTATTATTCTTGCAAGTGATCATATTCATAACAGTAAATCCTTTTTACAGGTAAAATTAACATTTCTTTAATCATTATATTTCATTATCTTAAAATAAACTAACTACATATTAGCAATTGAAACGTTTTAACACTACAGAAACAAATAAATAAAACAAAATAACATTGGACAGAGATCTTATTATTTTTAGGGAATTTATGAAATATATCAACACATCAATAACTACTTCAAAACTATTTAATTTACAAATCATAAAATATTCATATATAAAAAAATATATTATCAGAGGTATAAGAAAGAATAAGAAATAAACTGAAGATAGGCATTCTTGCATATTTTTATACTATAATTTGATTATATTAGCATCAAATCTCGGAATCGAAAATTCAATATCATATTTTTTAATTGAAATAATACATAAGATAAATACAACATCAATCAACCAGATTAACGGAATAATTTGTTTAAGTTGGATTCTATGTTTTTATGATTTTTTATGAATATTTTTTAAAAATACAACACAAACAATAAACTGACGGATCATATAAAAATGTATATTTTGAATAAAATACACATATCAAGTGTATTAAGTAGTTCAATATACACGGATAATATTAACAAGATGATGGGAATTATCAGAAAAAACTATATGGATAAAACAGTCGATTTATTAAACATTTTACATGCTAGAAGAACCATATATCTAGTAAAAGATAATAAAATACAACAAACAAAAGCCTCTGGAACATCTTTATCTATTAAAGATATATCGAAGCTTCCTAAGAATGTTCAAGCAGCATATCTTGAACCTCTTCGTCATCCAGCACGTTATGGAATTACTACATGTTCATTACAGATGAGAAGCTTTGAAATTCCTCGTCTAGCATTCTTTGCAGACTTTTCTATGAGGGTAGCATATTATTTAGGACTTTCTGCATCTGGACCAGTGCCATTACCTAAGAGAATTGAACGCTGGACTGTTCCAAAAGGTCCTTTTATACATACAAAGACTAAAGAAAACTTTGAACGCATTACACATAAGCGTCTTATTACGATAAAAGATGGGCATCCACGTGTGGTTGAGATTTGGCTTGCATATTTAAAAAAACATTCAATGAGTGGAATTGGTATGAAAGCAAATGTTTTTTATTGGGAACCTATGGAGAAAGAAGTAATAAAAAGAAGTTAAAGTTCTTATAAAAACTCTTTCTGAATTATTAAAAGTGCTAATGACAAAAAAATACATTATCATAACAGTATTTTATCTTTAAAAATCAACTAGATGATATATCTTTCTAATAATATAATAAAAACAATATACTAAGAGGAAAAAAGGAATTGCAAGTGAACAGTTTTTTATTTTGGAAGCAGGACGTTATAATTATCTCATTTAATTTCATCAGAATGACTTGATATATTTTTTTTAAATAAAGATGGCTAGGAAGACAGTAAAAAATATCCATTGGTTCAGGAAAACTTTAGGACTGGTTTAAAATGACAAAAACACATGTTTTTTCTTAATAAAAACAAGAGGACGTTTTTTAAATATTTCAAAACAATTTATTTAGTTTTTTTTATATTTTTCAAAAGATTAAACAAAAGAAAATCGGAAAAAAACAAATAATTACACTAAAACTATTAAATCCTTAAGAAACTAGGTTAACGATCCAGAAACATATATTAACGATTCAAAATTTGAACTTTTTTCTAAAAGATCACAACTTTATTTCTAATCCTTATATTTAAGATTATTTCTCTTTCATATACTCATTTCTTTGGCAATCAAGTTCCTACATCTTATATCAACAGCTCCATTTTTCTCATCAAGAAGAGAGGGTTATGTATTTCATTAATTTATATAATTAAATAGATCAAATAAACTAATTTCTATCCTTAATAAAGATAGAAAGGAATTATTTGTATTAATATAGGGCACACTTAGACAATATAATCTATATAATAATAGAGATTTTAAAGATATTTTAATTATCAGAAAAATTAAAGGATAAAATTAATTTTTAAGCCATCATTTAATAAAACAGAAATATACAAAGAGCCACACTTTTATTATTTTTTATTTAAGATACCTAATGTTATGAATAAACCTTATATAATAGTATTTTTAAATCAAATAACTCATAATTTTACTTTATATCTTTATCTATGAGTATTTGAAAAATAAATTATTACAATTCATAACAAATATCTCGAAAAAAACTTCCATATATGTTCCTATAGAAAATTGATTTTGTAATATTTTAAGAATTTTAATAAGGTAAAAGAATAAGAGGACATTATTATATAATAATAATAATAATTTCTTTTTATTCTTTTTTCTTAATCTTTTTATGTTTTCCTCGATGCCAATCCCAAAGGGGTTTAAAACTATCAACAAATCCAACATCTTCATAAAGATTTGGAAAGATCCAAATGCCCGGAGGCAAAATAGTAGTAGTTATAACGTAAAAAAATAAACGCAAAATAGTAATAACAATTAATAAAATAATCACTCCTAATGCAGCCCAACTTAAATAATAAACAATTCGACGCATTTTAGGCGGCCAAAGAGGATACACAATAATTATTAAAATAAGAATAAGAGTACCTAAACCAAGAAAAAATGTACTCATAGGAACAAAATCGTAAAACCATGCATAATAAGCATCTTGCGTTATTTCCTCTTGAGATGCCGATGTTTGTAAACGATATGAACGAATACCTCTTCGATCTTTACGAGATGATAATTTATCAACCCTTTGAATTAAAGCATGATCAAGTAATAAACGAATAATTTTTATTACATCTTCTTCTGCCTTAATTGACGGTAATGATGTTGTTTTCTTTGCTTTTTTAACATAAAATGCTGATTCAAAAAAACGGAAAACATATTTAGCTAAATCATTAAAAAACACAAAAATAAAAAATATTTAAACCTTTAAAAAAATCTAGTCTCTTGCCATCTAAAACACCCGAACGATGCTTCAATGAACTCTGATGACGAAGTAGACGTGCTAAACTTAATGCTTGTTGAGACGTTTCTTGAGACATGAAAAATTAGTCTCCTCTCGAACCACTCGTAATATTATATTCACACACGGGTGTCCCATAGTATTTTATTTACACACGAGTGTCCTGCAACACCCTATTTACACACGCGTGTCCCGCAATACCTTTTCTCTCCTTCACTTAAAACAATCACATGATTTCATTATTTAGTATGAGATATTCTAAATAAAATCAATTAACTCGTATAATTTAGTAAAAACATACTTGGAAGGATTCATAGTTTCTACCCGATAATTATCAGCATAACTACCATACATTATATTTAAGGTCAAGGGTTAGGGTTAGGTCATACCTTTTGACAGCAAACTTGCTAAGGGTTGAATCAGGTTCCACTTGATACGAATATCCCTGCTTTTCAGCGAACCGAATAGCACTTTCAAGAGTAGGAAAGTTAATATAAGTTGCCTGAAGAGGATCACCCGATGATGTCCATCCCATTACGGGATTTTCCCAATGACGAGAAGAAGTAAAATCCCATTCAAGACGCCATATTTGAGGATGACGAGCACCTGCTTGCATAGTAGTTCTTGTAGGACGAAAGATACGAACAGATCTTGTTATATATTTATCCATTCTCTGTAATATCTGTTATATATGCAGTGTATGCGTGTTGTATGCGTGTTGTATGCGTGTTGTATGCGTACTATATGCGTTATATATATGTAATATATATATAATGTGTAATATTCGTATAATATATATGTAATATATGCTTATTATATGCTTAATATACGCGTTCCAAAGATATACGCCTAAATTCTCTTAAATTAATAGATTACTTTTGTTTTTATTTTTATTTCAGCTAATCAACCGATATTTAAGTATTTTATAAGAATCCTTCGAAGGGAAAAACGTCTCGAAAAATAGCACTGCTATACGCACAATACGCATATATAACGCATATATAACGCATATAGTACGCATACAACACGCATACAATCCGTATATCACAAAAGATATTACAGAAATAGTTAAAATTAAAGATATTTTTATATGACAAAACCTCAACATACACTTCGTCATTGGATTCCACCTAAATTAACCCCTATTCTAAGTCTTACTAATACGTCACGTGTTCGTCGTATCATCGATTTCTATGCACGACTCCCCCGAAGCTCTACACCAACAGTATTAAGCTCATATGAGTGGTTAGAAACTTATACAAAGAAATATTTTACTGGTCGAGGAAAAGGTCAACCTATTCTACATGCAATTGGTGGAATTATTCTCTTTGGATATTTTATGGGTTAGAAACATTTATAATGAATGTATATATATATATTAACATATTTTTATTAGATTATTATTTTCATTTACGTAAGCTTAATTTATTTATATAACTATATAAAAAACATATTATTTAGGTTATCATAAACATTCTATACATGAATAAAGGGGATATTTAGAGGAAGTGATAGATTTTCATTTTAAATATATTTATCTATAAAAACAGCAAAACCTAAAGAAGTGGTAGCCCTAACCCTAAGAAGGGCGTAACCCTAAGAAGGGCGTAACCCTAAGAAGGGCGTAACCCTAGCCCTAGCACTAACCCTATTACAACTCGTTAACTCTTTAATCAACTCTTAACTCTTATATGAAGACTTTTACTAACACCAACCCTAACCCTAGCCCTAGCCCTATAATGTCATCTAACCCCAACCCTAACGCCAACCCTAATCACTCAACTCATCTCACCATCTCACCAACCCTAACCCTAACAGTAAACTCTTGAACCTTATCAACTCCCAAATCAACATTTCAAATAAAAATCAACCCCAAACGAGCCACGTGACTTATTTAATTCATCACGTGACCCGTTCAATTCATCACGTGATTTAAAAAATGTATCACGTGATCGTATTTTTATATCACGTCATCTTAATTTTATATCACGTGATCCCCCGTGTATATCACGTGATCTTTACTAAAGTGTTGACGGAACTTCGTTGGTAGAAGAACACGTTTGTTTCAAGAAAAGCGCTAAATTTGCTGCAAAAATACGGCAAAACGGGGAATCTTGTAACGCCAAGGGTTTGGCTCTGATTAGATATGAGGGTTAACCAATTGTTAGTTGTTACAGCGAATGACGTCAGATGTCAATGTTACGGGAGAAACAGCGGATGATAAGGAAGATAACAGGACACTAAGAGCTTTCGCTATCAAGAACAGTAATGCTCTACAGGAGTCGTTAGAAGGGACTGGAAGAGAGGAAGATTCGGAGGAAGCATTGGTTGAGACGATACATGAGTCATCAGACGCATATATCACGCATACATACGAGGGGTTGGGGTTAGAAGAGGAATATGAGGATTGCATAGTGGATGATGAGGTATTTAGTATGTTATTAGAGGAGAGCAGGCCGAATCAGGCTGGAAAAAGTGAGATAATAAGAGGGCTAAGGGAAAGAGGGTTAGAAGAGTCAAAACAGGCAGTACAGAAGGTAGAAACAGAGCAGGAAGGAATAGAAGAGATAGAAGAAGTGGAAGGAGTAGTAGAAGTAGAAAAAGAGCAGAAAGAAATAGGGTTATTAGCGTCGGTGGGATTAAATGAGATAAAAGAGGAGGAAAGGGGAATATTTGAGGAAAAAGAGAATTCTATGAATATACAAGTAAAACAGGAAGGAAATAGTGTATTAGAAAAGGCGGAAAATGGGTTTAATTTAGGGAGAGAAGAGATGATAGGTGAAATGAGTAAGGAGAGGGTTAGGTCTAGGTCGGAGCTAGGGTTAGAAAAGCCGGGACCTAGGTCTAGGTCAAGGGCCAGGTCAAGGTCTAGATCAAGGGTTAGGTCAAGATCGAGAACTAGGTCTAGGTCTAGGTCTAGGCCAGGGTCTAGGTCTAAGGTTAAAGAGAATGAGATGGATATAGACAAGGGAAAATTAGGAGAAGAGTCATTAGAAGGGTCAGTAGGAGAGACAATGATAAGAGAAGGAACATCAGGAGAGAATCAAACATGCGGTATTTCAAATGTTTCAGCAGTTCCACATATTTTTGCGTTTAAAAAACCTAAGCTTAAATCGGCATCAATTAATCGAGAGTTTTTAAACAAGGCACCTATTGCACCGGTTACAAATGTTATTAAAACATCAGGAATGCCTATGGAAAAGGGAGGAGCGATTTTTGCACGACGTGGATCATTTTTACAGGCATCAACATCGACAACGGCACAAACGAACCCGGGAAAACCTCGTTTAACAACGAAAATATCGTCACCAGCACCGTATAGTCTTGGTGGACATCAAGAAAGTGTAACTATGAAATCATTGAATGGGAAATCGGTGGCACCGAAGACATCAGGACTTGGTCAAAATAGTGCACCAGTATGGGGCAGAAATAAGAAACGTATGTTATACATGGTACAGAAATTGGAATGTGTTAAGTGAATTGTAGCGCTTGTTCGTGAGTATACCGATGAAGAATTATCCTCGATGCATGGGATTCATCTTGTACATAGGCTTTCGGCAACGAGTGATGATGATAAGCCGGGGAAATGGGATGAGGTAGAACCCCTTATCATTTGGGGGCGGGGAAAGAGGGATCGATATACTTACATGGTGTATAGATGGATGATGATGAAACGGATTGGAGTGATACGATTGAATTTGCCGATGGTACAAAGTTTACATTACCACATGAGGATCATACGGCATCGTCAGTGCAAGTGGAATCGAATGTGGAATCGGAAGGTCAAATTGTTACACCGACATCACATACAGAGCCAGCAGAACAGACAGAGCCGACAGAATCGGTAGAATCAACGGTACGGACACCAACAGAGACATTAGAAACCACAGAGACAACGGTATCACAAGAAACATGTGATAAGCATATTTCGAAGGAAGAACGATTCGGCGAAGAACATTACGATCGGACATGGAACTCGCAACGATCAGTTGTACCACAAATATATAATGTTAATACAGGAAAGTTTGATATAGTAGATGATTCAACGAAAAATGGCAGTAGAAGAGCCGGGAGAAGGGCAAGCACAGAAAATAAAGCAAGAGTAGGATATAACATATCTCTTCTATCTCGTCATCGGGCTTCTACTCAATTAAGGAAAGAGGAAACCATAGAGACATACGAGTCAAAACCATATAAACCCCTTTCAATTATTGGTAATGAATCAAGGAGAAGATCTCAGGGCTTATCGGAAGATTCGGATATATCATCTCGAAATTTGCCTCAACATTCAGCTACAACAATGGGATTAACGAGCACAGTGAAATCTTCATTGTCTCATTTTACACAACCTTATGATCCTATGATTGAAGATATCGAAACATATCAAAGGGCAATCATGACAGAAGCAAAAGAAAAAGCACGTCTTAGACGTGAAGAGGAAGAAATGGAGCGTAAAATGCAGCAAGAACGAGCAAAGAAAAAAGCAGAAGAATTGGCAAAACTTGCACAAAAACCAAAGCTTCCAGAAACAACGCCGTCTAAAGAAAATGATACATCTACGAATGCACCCGTTTCATCTCAACAACAACAACAACAACAACAACAAGAATCCATTACTCCGGATCCAAATGATTCAAAAACAATTGGTAAACCGAAGGAAAGGTATATCTATCCTATTTTTTTCTCTTTTTCATCTTGTTTAAAACCTAATACAATGTTAGGAAAAAGGATTTATTTAATTCATCTCATTCACATACAAAAACAACTATCACACAAACACATAAAGTTATACCTAAGCCGAACCAACCTGAAATGGTATGATTATTAAAATGAGATGAATGGGTTTTTGACATTTCTAGAACATGAATGAATCACGTTCTTCAGAAACAAATGTAGATAATACGTCAGAATCGACATTGAAAAAAGAACCTTTAACCATTCCTTCAGAACCATTGTCGCACAGTGAAAAAAATGAGGAATCGCTAGAAGCTAATAAACAAACACCTATAGATTCAAAGCAAAAATATTCGAAATCATTACATACATCTAATCAATCTAATATTAATGATAACTGGAGAAAGGAGCATACAAATATTCCTGAAAAAAATCCGGATAAAACATGTACGTCCTTAGATAATACACCGACCTTAGAGGAATCCAAGGATTCATCAGATACGCCTTTATTTTCATCAGAAAAGAAGGAATCAGAACCATCAACGGCCAATAATGATTCAAACAAATCTAGCCCATCTCATTCACGGACGTCTTCACGTTTTTTCCCTACGGCCATTCAAACCGAACTGGAACAATCAGACAATCATTCTAAAACGGAAGAAACGGATTCACCAGCTCCTGAATCCCTTGAAAAACAAAATATATTACCGTCAAAAGAATCATCTAATACCACGGACCAATCGACTCAAACCGATTGTTCTAATACCAAACCTCATGCTTCACCACAAAGTCCACAAACATCACAGACAGCACCAACACAACCCTTAAGACGTTTATCTAACACGAAAACAGCTTCTACAACATCAACGATCCCACCAACATCACCCACCGCTCCTTCGATTCATCTTGAATCAAATGGTTCAAATTCTACACGCAATTCTACACGGCCTTCAACAAGATCATTCGATGATGTAATGGAACAATTAGCCAGAGCAGGAAATTTCGCACAAAATAATGAAAAATTTGCATCTTATCTTTCTAACTCTAAAACGCAAAAAAATTATATCGACGGTCTCTCAGTAACCACCATTTCACCTTTAGAATTTGAAAAATATCCAAAAAGCGCAATCAACGTTTCATTGCATTCTTTAAATCATTCTAATGAATCATTTAATATGTCATCTCTTTCTATTATTGATGAAAACGATACAAAACCTTTTGTCAACCTTCCTGCATCATCTCATACTCATACTGAACGTCAATCTCCAAAAAATCCAAAATATTTTGAACCATCACAACATACCATAGATATTACGCTATATGATGAACAAGAAATAGACACTCTTCGACTCTATTTGCCAGAAACAAGTCCAAGGAACATAAAAATAAAGCCATCTAGCACTTTTTTATACAAAAAACTTCAGAAAAGCAAGCAAACATCTATCTATAATTCATAATCATAATATAAAAATACTTCAAGACCTTTAATATGTCTAGTCTTTCAATAAATTCTACTTATTTCAGCTTTATTTTATGAATATAAAGATAAATATATATATATTATATATTTATCTTATCTATTTTATCTTATCGATAACGGTCGATGCAGCAGGACCAGTATGGACCTTCGTGCAACTGGAGAAGCCTCCAAAAGGCAAGTAATTAAGGATAATTTAATAGAAATAAACATAATTTTGAATAGTCTTTAGGTATAAGGAAAAAAATCCGAAAAAAAACGGAGAAAAACTCATTAATTAAGACGAATCAGTATGTTTTATGTAAAAGATGAAATTTCTCTGGAAAAACTGATAAAAACAAAGAAATAAAGGGTTTAATGATAAAATAAGGATAAAAGAATCCCCGGAGACCTTTTTTTCCTCTTTAAAACCGCTTTTTTTGGGGGAAAAAAGCCCATCAAAAGGATGTATAGTTGAGTCGAAAAAAGAGATAAATAATACACAAAAAACACGGTTTATGAATGAAATAATATTGGTATTTACTTATCAGAACAGAATTGGGCGTTATATTGCTTTAGATTGTGAAATGGTTCAAGTAGGACCAAGTGACAGGAAGGACAGAGTTTTAGCAAGAATTAGCATTGTCAATTACTATGGAAATGTGATTTTAGACACGTTTGTTAAGCCGAAGGAACGGGTGATAGATTACAAAACTTGGATTAATGGTATTACTCGTTCTGATCTAGAAAATGGTAAAAAAAGCAAGATCAAGAGTATTTTTGACATAAAAAATAGCGCCTAGCTTTGAAGAGGTTCAGAAAAAGGTTTCAGAGATATTAAAAAATAAAATACTTATTGGTCATGCAATAAAAAATGATCTTAATGTACTTTTTTTATCACATCCAAGAAAAGACATGTAAAAAACCAATTTTTATTAAATAATAATGATAACAAGGTATTACAGTAGGGATACAAGTAGATTTAAGCCATTTAAAGCATATTCTAAGGGAAGAACACCATCATTGAAAAAATTGGCTAAAGAAATCTTAAACATAACTATTCAAGATAAGACACATTCTTCGGTTGTTAATATATATTATTTTTTCTCAATAACTAATCTATAATCAATGTATAGGTTGAAGATGCAAAAGTAGCAATGCTTCTTTATAGAAAATACAAATCTGAAATGGATCGTGTATCATTTCTCATTCATTAAATCTAAAAAGATAAAGGATTATTGATTTTTCTAATCATTCAAACAAAACCAAAGCGTATTTTAATTCTTTACTTTAATATTAAATAATTCTACAATTAATCTCAATAATATGAAATAGATAGTAAATATGATCAGCTTGTTTTTTCAAACGATAAACAACACTTTTTATTCATATAAAAGAAAGGAATCATTTATTACATGGTATTCTATATCTTCTATAGCTGGATCTATAGGATTATAATTCTTTCTATTTTTATTATCTTATTTATCAGAAAAAAAATATGATTCTTTAATTTCTTCAAAGATTTTTTTGTTTCAAAACATACAACAACATGGAATATCATATCTAATAACGAAATACTGTATCTTTTTCAAGAAAATAAAAAGATGATTTAAATACAAAATTTCAAAAAATCATTTATATAAAAAAGAATTATATTACATGAATAAAAAGGACTATAAAAACAAAAGAAATAATGCTACGACTATAAAATACTGTTTCTCATATTTTTTTTCAATATATACAAGGTTATTTCAACTTAGAAAGCTTTTATACTTTTCGACATCTATAAAATAATGAATCAAGAAATTGTCAGAATTATTTTGGAAAAAAATACATCAAAATCATCTAAAAAACATTCTTCATCTCATGAAATATCTAATGATTCTAAAGTACATCTTTTACCCTGTCAAATTCACTGGGATGGACCTGCAGATGTTTCAAAATATTTTAATATAAGATCTATGCCAGGTTTTCAACAGATTTCTTATAATAACAACATATCTTATCATTAAGTAGATAATTCTACTTATTATGCAACTTTTCGTGGCCATGGTTTAGAAGGAAACTCATTTATTCTTCCATCAACATACGAAGGTAGACTTTTAAGCACAATACTCGAAATATACAGGAGTATTTAGTATTTTAGGTGTTATATATGATACGGATGATCATGTTTCACAAGATTTTGAACAATTAAATGATGATTGTTGTATAAATAATACATGTTTAAATAATATAACAGTGCCAACTAAAAAATGGCACCAAATAGGCTCTTTTTCAGCCTTTAATATTTGGAAACAAATTCCAAATTATGATTCAGAATTTAGAACATGTATTAGGACTCTAAAGGAATGGATCAATTTAGCTAATATTGTAAATTTACAATTTTTCAGTATTAAACCAATTTTAATGCCTTTTTCTAGATTCATTCAGTAACAAAAATAGAGGAGGACACTGGATAAACAATATTATCTATATAAAAATCATTTATTTAAATTTTTCTTGGACAAAAATAACAAACAAGCTCTTTTTTTCATAAAATCACTTACAAATAAAGCACAAAAATACATAAAAAAACGAGATAAAAAGAAAAACATACAAAAAAACTTACAATAACCAATTATTCCGACTATACTATTCATTTTCACCTCAAACTATCAAATATCCTCTTTTTTTTACTTTATTAACAAATTACACAGTATATTTTGTCTTGAACACATCATACATCTATTGTACCGGGTTTTACTCACTTAGTAAAGACAATATCAGGCATTTTTATACATTATATATATATATATATATATTGATGCCGGCTGGAAAAAAACTGACATTTTTTAAAAAAAAGAAATTTGAGAGATCTAGCAATAAAATAAAGGAAGAAATTGCACTATATTGAATAGAGGAGCTCAGACTATATAGTATTCTTTTTTTTTCTGAAAAAAATGGCCAAAGAACCGCCAGAAACACAACAAAACATATCATCAGAAATATCGGCAAATATTTCACAAATAGATGACTCAAAATCACAGAAACTCACTGTAGGATGTAAGGTATTCGTCAGGAAGGATAAATCCCTTCAAGAAGCGGAGATTTTATCGCTTCAAACGAGAAAAAACCAGCCATATTTTTATGTTCATTATCAGGGCTTTAATAAGGTATTCTAAGCCGTTTAAAACAGATCTTTCAGGCTCTAATGGAACATAACAGCGTCTGGATGAATGGGTATCTCTTTCAAGGATAGATTTTTCAAAAGAAATAGAATATCCAAAGATAGACAAAACTAAAAAAACAACAAAGTCAAATATACATAAAACAGAAGATACAGAAGCGAAAATAGACGATAGAGCAAGTAAGAGACATCGTGTATGTCGGGAGGAGGTTTTACTGGATGTTTCAGGAACAGGAATTAAAGAAATTAAGGAAAAAGAGAAAATATCTGGGTTAAATCCTAAAAATGAAGGCCAAGAAGCCTCTCAAACTCAAGAAGAAAAAGAGGATATTATGTTAGATATAGAGGAAAATGATCAAATGAATTGTATAAATAAAGGACCGGAAAAATGTTCAAAGATCAATGAAATTGAAAAATTACGAACATCAGGATCTATGGCACAAAATATACATGAGATTTCTCGTGTTAAGAACCTTACAATGATACAGATTGGTAGATATGAAATAGAGCCATGGTACTTTAGTCCATATCCTATCGAATTGACAGAACTTGATTTAATATATATATGTGAATTTTGTTTTTCATATTTTGGATCTAAGAAACAATATGAAAGACATAGGATGAAGTGTACATTACAACATCCACCAGGGAATGAGATATATCGGGATGAACATATATCTTTCTTTGAAATTGATGGGCGAAAACAACATACATGGTGTAGAAATTTATGTTTATTATCAAAATGCTTTTTAGATCATAAAACACTTTATTATGATGTGGATCCTTTTCTATTTTATTGTATGACAACACGGGATGAATATGGTTGTCATTTAATTGGTTATTTTTCAAAGGAAAAGGATTCTTCTGAGAATTATAATGTTGCATGTATTTTAACTCTACCACAATACCAACGATTAGGTTATGGAAGATTACTTATAGAATTTTCATATGAACTCTCAAAGAAAGAAGGAAAACTAGGATCACCGGAGAAGCCATTATCGGATCTTGGTTTACTTAGTTATAGAGCATTCTGGGCGGATGTTATTATTGAACTTTTAATGAATACAAGAGTAGAAGTAACCATTGATGAAATCGCTAATAAGACATCTATGACGTCGCAAGATGTTTTGCATACAATTCAAAACCTTAGCCTTCTTAAATATTATGTAATAAATGATAATTCATTTGTATTTTTGCCTATTAATTTATATTTTAGAAAGGACAGCATATTATTTGTATATCTGAAGCAATTGAGCAACAATATGAGAAGTACAAGTCAAAACAAAGAAGAAAAATAGATCCGAATGGCCTTGCTCATTGGAAACCCCCTGTTTTTAATTCTACGCAATTGAGATTTGGTTATTAAATGAAGTTTGTTAATGGCGAAACATGAGTATTTTCTATTTAAATTCAACATGTGTATGTATATATATGACAAAACTATGATTACAAATTAGTTTATTTTTTCATTATACTGGTTAGTTTCAAGAGAGAAAAAAAAAGCATTTTTATACACGAACATAGCTTATTTTACTTAAATTTTTATTGATAAGATTTTCACACGTCTTTTTTACTTCTTGACATTCTGGCCCTGAGAGTAAGATTGTGGGAAACCGATTCCTTTAAACGTTAATAACCATTTTAAATAATATTTATCCTTACGATAACCATAAAAATATTAAAAGCATTTTATGTAATACTTCTAAACGTTGTAGCTGTTTTGAATCCAAATCAACATTACAATCCAAACATTCCAAATCAACTTCTGGTATTTCAAGAATGGTTTTTGGTTTCCCCGAACTAATTATTGCAGCAAATGCTAGAAATGCAGAAATCACTTCAGAATCCTTGAGGTTGATTGGAGCAGCGGATAAAATTAGCCTTTCAGATATTGTTAAATCCTTAATTGATTCTAATAATTCAAGTATTGTTTCTTGTTGTGTTGTATCCAGTATTGAATAAAGACCGGTTGTCTTTGATAATTTTCGAAACCTTCTAATAATTAAAGCCAAAGATGTACCGGGTTGAAAAAAAGAAGCAAATAATTCCTGAATATGCAAAGGAGGGAAAAGAACTGCTTTTTTAAGAGTTTGAACAGGTCGTGAAAGTGCAATGTGTAATGGTCGTATATCCTTTTGTTCTAAGGATGTAACATAGCCTGATATTGAGGCTTCTGACATATTAGCAGAAGTGGGTTTATATCGCCCTGCACGCCCTGCAATTTGTTTTATCTGTGAAACAGAAACCGGTAGAAATTTTGTTCCATCCCATTTCTCTAATGTTTGAAATATAATTCTACGAATGTTCCTAAGATAATTAGACCGATGAAAGCGTGTTTCGGATGATTACAAATTTAGTCCCATTCCAATTGCATCTGATGCAACTAAAACCCGATACTCATTATTCGGGTCATTAAAAAGACGTGCTTGTTCATTTCTTGTTTCAGGAGGAAGCCCGCCATATGCAACCGCACAACGCTGACCCGTTGCTTTTTCTATCCTTTTCTTAAGCAGAAATATATTCTTCCTGGAAAACGTAACAATGCAATCGCCCGGTTCAATCTTCTTCAAATCACCGTAAAGACTATGGTTCAAGGGTTCAAGAAGAGATAATCGTTCATAACGATATATCTTAAGTTCTTCTCCTAGGCTTTCAGCGATTCTTGAAATAAGTTCGATCGAACTTTCTTCTCCACAAAGATGTATCTCAGACGCTTGGACACCAAGAAGTACTTGTGTCCATGCCCATCCACGCTGAGAATCTGCAATCATTTGTACCTCATCTACAACAATTACATCCATCAATTTATTAAGATCTACCATTTCAACTGTTGAAACATGAATCGCCGCATTTCGATCCATAATAATTCGCTCTTCCCCCGTAATTAAATTACAAATAACACCTTTACTCGAGATTTTATCATAGACTTCTCTAGCAAGAAGTCGTAAAGGCCCTGCAAACCATCCGGATCGCGCGTTTTCTAATTTTTTCAACGCTTGATACGTTTTTCCACTGTTTGTAGGTCCAATGTGCAAATACCACTTTCGTTCCAACGCTCTAGCCCCCGGAAACCATTCCGACGGATATCTCATATCCGATAACGATTTTTGACGATTAATCTCGCCAATACTCAGGTTTTTTACCATTAAAAACATCAAAAAACCCTTTTTCAACATTCTATCAACACCCAATACACCTTCTGAAAGATAGGACAACCATAAATCACGAATAACCGGTGAACTACCTACACCAACCGGTTTTTCCGTATTTTTCAGCCGTTCTAGCAAATCCTGAGAGAAAATCTTTGGTAATCTACGTATCTCCTCTCCAACTCCCGATTTTTCACCAATTAACCTCTCAAAAAGACGCGAACGCCAAAAATACTCAATCCTCTTCTTAACCAGCTTAGAAAATACCCAATAACCCCCCGTTTTAACGGGAATCATCGCTCTCATCCTCTAACCACCCAAACCCTCAATATTTTCCTTATATATGCGCACAAATTAAATCAAAAAACCCTCTAAATCCCAATAATAATACTAATTCCTCAAAAAACACGCATAAAACCCGTATAAACTCCAAAAAAAACCCAAAAAAAAGAACACCCACTATATACACCCGAAAAAACCATTAATACGCGTTATTTTCCCTTTAAAACCCCTTTTTAGCCTTATTTATAGGCAAAATACCCACTCTGCCCTTCCCTCCTACATATATTAGCTGTGAAGAAGAAATCGGGGGGGAGGCTCCCTTTTATATTTTTTTCGCAGGACGTGACGCGATTTTCGCGAAAAACGATTTCAACCACGAGATTTATAAAATAAAAGATCGCGTGGATATCTCTGGAAGACGCGAATATTTGATAGAATAAAGGATATAATCGAGTGTATTTTAAGATATTTATTATAAATAGGCTTTGAAGCACATGTCATTGATTGATATTGTTCGAGAACGTGAGTTTTTATTTTTTTCAGAAAAAAAAGGGAAAAATGATGGTTTTTTCTAGATTTTATATCATCATTAAGGAATATACAGCCTAAAATAAAGGTATAAGGCTTTTTTCCGGGGAAAAAAGGACGTTTTTTGGCTGAAATAAGGGATTAGTGGAAAATTGTGATTGTAGACAATGAAAGCTCTGAAATTATTAATAATGTGATGAGTTTGAATGATTTTCTTGAAGAGAACGTTGCATGTATGTCAGAAAACGTTTTTTCGGGAGTTAATTTGGGCTAGCGGTTGAGTTTATAGAGCAAAAACGACAGGCGAATACTATGCTTGAAGCAATATACTTTGTTTCGCCGAAATATGATACGATTAAGCATATTTTGAATGATATTTCTAAGGAGGAAAAAATGTATAGTGCGGTTCATTTATTTTTTACATCTGGTTTGGATTTAAGTTATGATGGTAGATTATTTATAATTAAAAGGATTAAACGGTAAATTAGCCAAGAAATTAGTTGAATCATCGAAGACGATACCTATTAAAACGACTAGTGAAATGTATCTTGATTTTTATCCTCTTGAATCGAAGGTGGTTACATTTCGCAATTCATTTTCATTCCTTACACTTTATAATCCTTTTTGTACGGAGCTTATTAATATGGAGACACGAAATTTGGCAAAAAAGGTGAATATTTTTATAATTTTTATATTTTGAGATATTTATGTAAAGCTTGCATCTGTATGTATAACTCTTGGAGAACTTCCTACGATTCGATATTATTCACAGCCCCAAACCAATTCATCTGATCCTCATTTTTGTGTAAAGATTGCAGAATTACTTCAGGAACAACTTGATAACTATAAAGCGGTAAACAATAAATTTCCACCGGAATCTTCTCGACCAAAAAGTGTTCTTTTTATAATTGATAGGACTTTTGATATCTGTGCACCAATTGTACATGAATTTACATACCAGGCAATGGCTAATGATCTTCTTCCTATAAAAAATGGAAGACAATATAAATATCAAATTAATAATTCTGAAAAAATAGAAACTAAAGAAGCTGTTCTTACAGAAACAGATTCTATTTGGGCTGAAATACGACATCAACATATACGTGATGCTATAGATAGGTTGATGGGAGATTTTAATAAATTTTATGCAGAAAATTCAAATTTTAATGGGTAATAATATAATTTACATGGATTAATTAGGACTTATAGTTAATAGTAAAAAAAATACAAGTCTAAATGATATGAAAAACATGTTATACAGTCTTCCTCATTTCCAGGAAATGAGGGATAAATATTCGTTACATATATCTATAGTATGTGAGTGTATGAAAATATTTGAAGAGCATAAACTTTCTTCTGTTGGAGTTATTGAACAGGTTTTTTTTATTTAATATGTAAAAATATCTTCATTCGTATTAGAATTGCGCTACTGGCTTAACATCAGAGGGCAAAGTGCCTAAAACTGTATTAGAAGAAATGGTTCCTCTTTTAGATGATTCATCTCTTTCGTAAGTATAATTGTCTTTTTTCACTTGTATATAATTTCCTTTAGAAAAACAGATAAAATTCGACTTATAATGTTATATATAATATATAAAAATGGCCTTTTTGAAGGAGATTTAGATAAACTTTCAAAACATTCAAAATTATCAGTAAAAGATATTTCAGTTTTGAAAAATTTAGAATGTTTAGGCGTTCGTGTAACAAAACCTTTAAATGATACAAAGTCTCGTAGAAAACCTATACTAGAAACAAGAAATAGTGACGAAAATTCATACGAGCTTTCTCGATTTACTCCATTATGTAAAACACTTATAGAGAAATATATTAATGGAAATTTAAGCCATTCATTATTTCCAAGTACAAAGGATATTCATGAAAAAACTCAAAATATATCTTTGGTACATGGATCATTACGTACAGGAAAGCCAACATGGGCTAAAAAAAATGATATTGTTAGCGAATCGGCTCAAAGAATACTTATTTTTATTGTAGGAGGTGCAACATATAGTGAAAGTCGTATTTGTTATGAATTATCTAAGACTCATGACCGAGATATCATTCTTATAACTACTAATATGATAACGACAAAAAAATGGCTTCAAAACTTATCAATGTTAAAATTACCAAGAGAATCCTTAGGTCTTCCAATTGATCAGGTTTCATCAAAAATTTCATTATCACGAGTACATTCTAGATCTGAAAAAAAATCTAGAAGGATATCCAAGGAATCTAGTCATTTAAATCACAATCATACTGAAAATTCTAATAATATGTCATTTAAAAAACCCTCAGATCACACTACTCATGAGGACACAATAAATTCTTCTACAAAAGCAAGGAAAGGTAAAAAATATTTAGGTTTTTTTAACAAAAATTAAAACCATTTCTTCATATACTTTTACACACAATCTAGTTTCTATATATCATATTATATTCTGATATTTTAATAAGTTCATTGGTGATTTATAATAATTTACAAGGTTTAAAATATTGACTAATAAAAATAATAGAATAACTGGGGCTATTTCTACACAAAAACAACAACAATATATGCTGAAACATTTCTAAAACAATATTATTAGGAAAAAAGAATTATTATTCATTTTAAATTATAATTCTTGACAAACGATCTTTGGCTTTTTTTTCATTACTAGGTCTTAAAGAGGAAGACATTAGGCATCAAGATAAGCAATTCCAAGTATTGCATTAGATGCTTGCGTATATCATGATTTTACTTTTTGGATTCAAAAAACCCTAAATATACAATATATAATCGGCGTATTAAAAATAGCTCGAAAATATCGTTTAAAAGGTCGTTAAAGCATCATTTTCATGAAGAAATAGGGTTATTAATTTATGCAGCCACCTTTTAAATTAGGAACAAAGCCGGTTTATTTACCAAATATTGTTTTTACTTTATTACGAAGTCCTCATCTTTTACCAACTCAAGCAGCTTTTAAAGTTCCAATAACAGGTTATTTCTATGATCATTTTGTCAATAAAATATTTAACATTGTTTTAGTTAATAAGTTTGATGTTAGAGATTATCTTTATCATATATATCAAATTGAGGTTACTCGTGTAAGATCAATGATATGTTATAGCAAGAGAATTCGTAGAAAAGATTATACAAGAATGCTCGAGAGAACACCATCATTTAAGAAAGTTATAGTTGATATGAAAGAGCCGTTTATATATCCTAAAGAACCGGAAAATTTGGATCCGTAGACAATATTTTTTAATTTTTCTTAAATCTCATTTTTAATAGGTGGAATAAAAGATATACAGATGGACTTCAGGCATGGACACAGTCAAAAATGTTTAGGAGAAGACGCCGTGAACCAAAGATCTGGAAAGAACTTAGAAAAGATAAAAAAGCATTGGCAGAATAATATATTTACTTTATAAATTATAAAAGAATACAGGAAAAACTATTAATAAAATGCTAATCATTATATTTCAGTAATTTTTTATATCTTATTATCTATGATATTTATAAATAAGATATTAATAGTTGAATTTTACATTTTCAATTAACCCAAAAAAAACAAATATAGAAATTATATATGCTTTTTAGTCTTGGAAGCCCACATCAAATAACTAAAAGTCAGTATTCAGCTATTTTGAGATTGGTATTTAGCAATTTTCTGCTGCAAAATTTCTATTTGCGAATTTTTAGAAACCATTTCTGACTGAATAGCTCTATAATCCAATAATAGCTTTTGATGGGCATTTTCAAGAAGATTAAATTCCTCTGATGATATGTTATTATTTAATTTTGAAGAGCAATCTTCATGAAAAGTATTTGAATCAGTAATTTCTGTATTAACTATATGATGAAAGGGAATATCCATAGATTTAATTAACAAAAGATTATATTGGCTAAAATTGTTTAAAAATATATTAATTATTAGATAAGAATTACCTTTTTATGATATCATATTCATGTTCTTTTTGTTGAAGTTTTTGATTTAATACAAAGATTGTTTTATCTGCATTCTTTAGCAATTCATCTTTTTCTTTAAATGATTCTTCAAACTGAATTTTTTTCTGTTCACTATTGTCATAAGAAGATACTTCCATTTTTTTATTTTTTAATTGTTCTGCTTTTAATTCTTTAAGTTCTTGATTTAATTTAAACCTTTCAGAATTACTATGTTGTAATTGTATAGAAAGATATGATATATTTTTCTGAGATTCTTCCAATTTTTCACTCATAATATCATAATCACTTTTAAGACATTTTTGTTCTTCACGTAATAACTTCAATTTCGTATTTAATTCAGTTTCCCGTTTAATTCTTTGATTTTGTCGAGTTGTTGCTTCTGATCTTAATCTATCAAGAGTCGTTTGGAGATTAACAAGTCTTGATTTTAATGCTCGTGTTGTGTTATATAAATTCTGCCGTTCTGCTTCTACAGATAAATCTAATATATATTCTCTTTTAAGGCGACTTAAATGATGTAAGTGTTGAAGCTTCAGATACTTTTCAAAATTAAGCTCATTTTGCAAAAGAAGAATTTCTCTCTTTAATAATGCAACTGTAGCATCAGATTCCACTGTTTTAGAAAATAAAGGCAAAGAAGCAGAATCCTTAACATGCTTTTCTGTTTCTGATTTCAAAACTATAGATTCTTTTGACTTTGGTGAAAGATTGTTTAATGATATATCTTTTTGACCTGTTTCTAAAATATCCGAATTAGAATACACAGAAGAATTAGAATGTAATTGTTCAAATCGTTTCAACATATCATCTATTCTAACAGGTGCTATGCTTTGATTTAAATTTGTGTCAAAATGTGATGACATAATATTTTCTGGATTAGAGAAAAATATATGTGACATTAAATGATTCTGATTTCGATCAAATAAAGAATCCTTTGATTTTCCTGTTTCTAATTCTGCTGGTTTAAAATTATCAGCAGATAAGTTATTCTCACTTAGACAAAAATAAGTATTAAACATTTTTAGAAGAAAAAACATACTCCTGTTTATATTGTGTATCAGTATTTCTTGAAAATAATTGTGGTGTATTAAATATATCAAAACTAACACACTTGGCAACAATATCAGCAACTTCTAATTTCATCCAACGAGTTTGATCAGTTATTTCTGTTTCAAATGTAAATGATAATAGATTAGGATGAATTATATGTCTTTTAATAAGAGACTATAAAAAATTAGGTGTCCTTTTTAACATAAATAGACAAACCTCGCTTCTAGACCTTATTACATCATCATCAAAATACATATAATATTGATCCTTTTTTTCCTTAAGATATGTTTGTGCACTATGAAGAAATTTTAGAAAATTCAATGGATATAAACCATAAATAAATGTAAAAAACTGAAGACAATTAGGCGGTATAGTAGGAGATATATCAAATAATGAATCTAATATATAAGAAACATAAAATCAAATAAAATAATACATACCTAGCTTCTCCCATTCAATATTTGATTGATTAAATATCTGTAAGGCTTCTTGATTCTTGGTTTCAAGCTCATTGTCCAATACATCATAATGTTTCTGAATAGCTCCATAGCGATCCCAACAAAGAACCCTTACATAAATCTTAAATAGACGTGGCAAGTATTTTCCAAGTAAATTACATATATGAGGCATAAACATAACTAAAATAGTCAAAGATAACGATATAACCGTTGTAGAACTATCATTCTAATATTTTTAATATACTTTGATAATATAATACTAAATAAATACCTCAAGACAATTTAGCAAGTTCTCAAATAAAGGTGTTTCAAAAATAGTATATAAATAAGGCCCCTGTAACCTCACAAAAGCACAAAGAAGAGTCAGAACTTGAAGTCTATATTTTTTCTGAACAAAATATGCATCAATGTCATTAAAAAATGCCTTTTACATGTAAAAAACATACTAAATCCAACGAAATACCCACTTTTGTCCTCTGTTTTGCATAACTTATCAATATAGACTCTATATTTGCAGAAATATATCGTCTCTCATCCTCAATAAAAGATTTTTTTAAAACAGAAGAAAATGACTCTTTAGAATGATCTAGATAAAACTCAAATAGAAACCTCTTAATCATCTCTGAGCATTCCTGCTTTTCTTTATAAAAACGATCTTTAGTACCCTCCTCCAAAACCATTATACTCAAAAGAATACTTTCTGCATCCAAAAGCATATCTCTCTGCTGTTGTGGAGAACTAAATACATGTTTAACAATAATATTCCACCATGTTTCTGTATATTCTTTCCCAATTAATAGCGACTTAAATTTTCTTAAACAACATATAAAAAGTCCATGAAAAAACATGCTTTTTCGCTCCATACCAATACGATATAGATCTAGAAGCTGTTCCTGCAGTTTCTGGACCTCAAAAAGGTCTGGATTATCATGTTTTTTCAAATATTGTGATATCTTATCACTGATTTCATGAGGCAGCTTTTGGGGTATTTCTGACGAGGAAAAAAGGTTATGCAGGGTTTTCAATAGCCGTGATAAAGACCTGAAATGCTTTAAAACCCGTTTTACTACGGTTTAAACCAAATAATTACTGATTAGACATGGTAAAAGTTTCATCCTTAAATAAGCGAGAAAATGTCAGGAAAAAAAGCGGTTTTTTCGGGAAATACTAAACAATTCCTTTAGAAAAAGATTTGTTTCATAGATTTTGCAGAAAATCCGGTATTTTGGGCGTATTTTGAGCCTTTTCTCCAGTCCGTATAGATTTTCTGACGTCGGACGTTGAACCTCGATATTCGATTAAAAATCGGTTTTTCCAAGAAAAAGAGACTTAATATTGAGAATCAAAGAAATCCACAAGAACCAACGTATTCTACGCATTTTTAGGATTCGTTTGATATAATTTTTTTATAGGATATCTTTTTTTTAGGCCTAAAAATTATAAAGAAACAAGTAGAAAAGAAATAAAGAAGAATAAGTGCTAGAATTCAAGGAAAAAAGCAGAAAAAAAGCACACAATATGAACGGCAAGACCCGTTTTACCCATTGTTGCTTTTTTTCCTAATAAAAACGCATAGATTATGGCGAAATAATGAATTATAATATGTATGGAGCATCTTACGGTTTACAAGGCGGAGGAGGCTTTATTGGAGGGAATTATGGATCTCAAGGAGCTAATGAACAAAACAATGGCACAAATAAAGTGGGTTTAGCTTTTTTTTGCGTAAAAAATACTCAATTGTGAAGCGTACAAGTGGAAATACACTTCGTCCAGTAACAATCAAGCAAATTCTTGAAGCATCTCAGCAACACCCAGATGCAGAGTTCAAAATTGATGGTACAGAGATTTCCCAGGTTTTTTTATCCCTGTTTTACCCATTTATTGAACAAAACAGCTTACTTTTGTCGCTGTTGTACGCAGTATATCTATCCAATCAACTAATATCACCTACAGAATGGAAGATGGTACGGGATTGATCGAAGTAAAGCAATGGTTAGAGATGGAAACCATTGCAGATGACAACCCTAAAAAAAATATTGACATTACGTACGTTTTTCATCTAGATATCCTCATTTAAACATTCATATATCTAGTACTGATACATATGTTCGAGTAATTGGTCAATTGAAGGCGTTTAACAACAAAAGACATATATACGCACACCATATACGTCCAATTATGGATTTGAACGAAGTTCAGTATCATATCTTGGAAACAACAGCAATTCATCTGTACTTTACAAGAGGTCCACCTCAAAATAATGAGGGATCAAAGCCATTTGCTTCAATTGACAAAAATACATCAAATCATAATGTTCATGATCCGATGAACATAAATGAGGCATTAGGCGCTCAATTTTCACTGCGAAACCTCTCTCCATATCTTCAGAAGGTTATGGCAGCTGTTCATTCAGCTCCTAATACAAATGAAGGCATCAATATCCACCAACTGGCAAAAATAATAGGTGGAGGCAATATAGAACAAGCAATTGAGGAATTGACAAATGATGGACTTTTATACACGACAATTGATGACGAACATGTAGGTTTCTTCTTAATATCATTAACTTACCATTTTTCAGGTCAAAAGTACCATTCAGCTTTAAAAAAAAAACAAAAATACAATGATCTTAATAAATACAATATTTCTTACAACTTTTCGCTTCGTTTTCATTCATAATTTATACATATTTCTGATGTTATATAAAGTTCTTGATGCTGATCTGTAATTTCGAGATTTATCTTGTTATAACAGATGATACAACAGGCTAAACTGGATATACAAGAGGGCAAAATGGAGGACGAAGGCAAGGGAATGTTATTACTAAAGATCTGCTAAGTATCTTTAGAATATCCAGAAATATTAGATATTTTTTTTGGAGAGAAAAAAGATGAGGAAAAAGAGGGAAAAAAGAGGGTAAAACAAGGGTTTAAGGGCGGGAAAAAGACAAGAATAGATGGGGGACGCTTTGAATCAATGGGTAGATGCTTTTGATCCGAAAAAAAAGAGTTAATTTTGAAGAAATATCCTTAAATACACTTAAAGCGATCAAATATAAAGGTTTCAGGATTCCTACGCCAATACAGAGGAAAACAATGCCATTATTGCTAGATCGCATGGACGTGGTCGCAATGGCAAGGACTGGATCCGGTAAAACGGCAGCTTTTGTGATCCCAATGATTGAACGGCTGAAAACCCACCATGCCAAGGTATTTGAGAAAAAAAAAACAGATATGATAGGATATTTTGGCTAAAAAGAGATTATTAAGGTAGGATCTAGGGCACTGATACTCTGCCCGAACAGGGAGCTTGCGATTCAGACGATTAAGGTTGTTAAAGAGCTAAAAAGAGGGACAAATTTAAGATCAGTGCTTTTGGTGGGGGGAGAAAGCCTTGAAGAGCAATTTGAAATGATGGAAATGAATCCAGACATGTATAAAGAGGTGTAGACGAAAGATCGGTTAACATTTGTGTAGAATTGTAGCAACACCAGGACGATTTTTGCATTTAAAAGTAGAAATGGATCTTGATCTTAAAACAATTGAATATGTAGTATTTGATGAGGCAGATAGGTTCAATAGAAGGATAAAATTATGTAGAAGGGGGTGTTGATAGTTTTTAGACTGTTTGAGATGGGATTTTCAGAGCAATTGTCAGAAATTCTTCGTTATCTTCCAACATCAAGACAAACATCACTCTTTTCAGCTACACTTCCAAGATCTTTAGTGGATTTTGCAAAGGCCGGCCTTCAAAACCCGATTCTAGTTCGTCTTGATACTGAATTAGTAGTTTCTGAGGATTTACAGTCGGCCTTTTTCTCAATAAAGCCATCTGAAAAAGAAGCAGCCTTGCTTTATCTTCTTCATGATATTATTAAGGTCCCTAAAACCATTGAAGAAGCAGGAGATGGTAATTTAGGAAAAAATGACAAAAATAATACATATAAACATAATCAAAATGCAATATCCCCTTATTCAACTATTATTTTTACATGTACAAGGCATCATGTTGAATATTTGGAGAAATTACTTTCATTATATGGTTATTCAGTTTCTTATATATATGGATCATTGGATCAGGTAGCTAGAAGAAACCAAATAGCTTCTTTCAGGGCAGGAAAAACCACTCTTTTGGTGGTAACAGATATTGCTGCACGAGGTATTGATATTCCTCTTTTATCAAATGTAATCAATTATGATTTTCCTTCTAAGCCTAAAATATATGTCCATAGAGTTGGAAGGACAGCAAGGGCAGGACAGAAGGGTTGGGCATATTCTCTTGTTAGGGCAGAAGATGCAGCATATTTAATTGAGCTACAATTATTTTTAGGGAGGAAAATAGTATCATCTAACAGTCAGGACCCAGACTATGTTCAGAACATAGTTCTAGGAACATTTCCAAGACAGAATCTTGAATATTATTGTGAATGGATTGCACAATTGCTGAGAGAAAACAGTGAATGTTATTCTCTTAAAAAAGTAATGCACAAGGGAGAGATTCTATATTCAAAAACAGCAGGATCAGCAAGTATAGAAAGCAATAGACGAGCTAAAGAACTTGTAAAGGGCGTAGAATGGTCTATTATTAACCCATTGTTAGGTATACATGTATAATTATTTGATAAGAAAAATATTTAATATTATAGTTGATAGTAATTGTGAAAAAAATACAGAGAAAGAGGCTCTAATGGCTAAAATTTCAAGCTATTCTCCTCATGGAACAATATTTGAAGGCTCTAGAAGCTTTAAAAGTGGAATTGCACTCAAGGAAATAGATAAACGAATGAAAAAGATTAGAACATCTAGAGTTAAAGCTAATAAATCAGATCCAATTGAGCAGATATTTCATGGAAAAAAGAGATCTAAGACAAACAATGATACAATTGCAAATATAAATGATTTTGGGGAAAATAATACAGAAATTAGATCTGGAATTATAGATGAAAATAGAGCTAAAAATGAAGGAAATAGCTATAAGGACAAGGAGAATTATATGGCATATTATACACCTGCATCATCTACGAGAGAACATGCTTATGATGTTAGCAAATCAAATTATTCATTTGAAAGAGCAACTAAAAATGCAATATTTGATCTTATGGGTAATGATAATGATCTTACTGATCAAACAGAAGCTCATAGAAATAAAATTCATTGGAGCTTTAAAAAAAAGAAGCTTGTTAGTAGAACAAATGATTATAATAATTCCAAAGGAGGATCAAAAATAATTAAAGATGAAGGTGGTATAAAAATTCCAGCAACATATAAAACAGGAAGGTAATTTCATTAATATATATGATTATATATTGATGAAATATTTAGATATACAACATGGAAGAACTCCAGGAATATTATAAAGAAGAAAGTAGGTGAAATAGAAAGTTGTGAGAATCTTACAGCACCTAAAAGCTTAAATACAAATATAAATAAAGGAAAATACAAACATAATAAGCTCCAAGCACCAAAACCTGCTGATAAATATTGTGATGATTATAAGAAAAGAAAAAAGCGTATCCAGAAAGCTTTAGAAAAAGGATATGGTGATAATAAAAGGGTAAAAAGTGAATTGAGGAATATAATGGAGATCAGAAAAATTAGACGCCTCAAAGAAAAAAGAAGACAGAAGAATGCACGACCATCCAAAAAGAAACATTAATTGAAGTTTATTGAAAGATGCATATTTTTTTATAACAAGCATTCTAATATTTTATTGACAGAATTGAAATATATACAGCATCCAAGAAGGAAAATTGTTATGTTTTCGACATATTTAATAGTTTTTTAGTGGGTATTTTCGGCCTAAACGTTCTTTATGTCCATCCATCAATTCATATGCAGGTTTAAATATATCATGATCTAATTGTAACTCTGGATTACGAAAAGTATCTTGAGTACCACCAATAGAAGTATATCTATCGAATACTTGAATAAATATGGATCAGATATAATTTCATAATATTACCCTTTATCATATAATGAACAATATTCTACATTAAGGCTTCTTAAGAACTTTTATAACTTATTAATCATAGAAAAATAGAATTATCATAGTTTTACCTCCCATATATTGGAATAGCACCAGTCAATTATTGGATGAACTCTTATACATGAAGGCCATTTAAAATCTGTTGGATCAAAATGTTTTAACATAGAACATCCAGGATCATTACGTCTTGCACCTACAAGAATTGCTTTGATTTCTGAATGTTCATCCAAATATTCTTTTAACGCAGTTTTCATAGGTGATTTTTTATAAACAAGATCTAATACATAATTTTCTGAACATTTTTTGACAAAATATTCTATTTCAGTGAAAGAATATGGATCCTGAATATAAATCGCAGGTATTTTCTTCATTCTTATTTCTTTACTACTATATTGACGAAGTGTATAAAAATATAAAATTAACATAACAAGTGCATCTTTTCCACCATTAAATGAAATAGAAATACTTCTAAAACTTAGAAGAATAAGAATATTATTTTTTTTTTGAAAAAAGTGCTAACCCATATTTATCTAGTGCTTGACGAAGTATATTAATAGAAATTTGGATATTTTTTTGAAGATCCAGACTTAATAAAGAGATAATAGTATTCATATTAGAAACAATGTTACAAGGTGGAATGCTCTTGTTTAAAGCTATTTTCTGAAGGTTATCCATTAATTTTTACTTTTTTTGAGGTTGGCTAAAGTACGTTAATATAATCTATATTTAATCTAAAAAGAAGTTATTTCAAACAAAATAAAAGAATAACCGCCAAAGAATATAAGAGGAAGAAACTCCTGTTATTATTATATAAAGGTGCTTTATTAGTTTTCTTGAAAAAAAAAAAAATTATTTCCTATGATGGTATAAGAAATATAAAAATTTTAATAAAATAATTGAATTGTTATTTTTAATAGGAATCATGGGTCCCTCTTGAATGTATATTATATAAACACTTAAAAAAACTGGTTAAAAAAAATATTAGGTAATCCTTTTATACTTACACAATACCTTTGGGAATTAGGCATAAGTAAGGACTTAGAAATTTATGATATTTTTACCCTTGATGATGAGGAGATGTTAAGATTTATTCCAAGGCCTGTTTTTGCTCTTCTTTTTGTTTTTCCTGTTAAAGAATCAGACGAAAATTGCAGTTCTATAGAAACTAAAGAAATATTAATTAAAAATCAAGAAAATATTATATGGTTTAAACAAACAGTCAGAAATTCATGTGGAGCAATTGCTTTACTTCATGCTGCGACTAATGGCGACGCTAGAAACTTTATACGTATGTATAAAGCCAAAATAATATATAGATTTATTATTTTATTAGTTCCTAATACCTTACTTGCAAATATTTTAGAAAAAATCGAATATCTGGATCCATCTTCTCTTTCAAATATGATTGAATTCTCTCAACTTAAGACTATTCATGAAAGTAAGAAAAAAACTTGTTTATTTTATATTTTCTTAAAATAGAATTTGCATCTCAAGGAGAAACAACTGCTCCAGATGCCCTAGAAGATACTTCTCTCCATTATGTATGTTTTGTAAAATCATCAGTGAATGGACATCTCTATGAACTTGATGGTCGTAATCCTTTAGGACCTATTGATCATGGATTTTTGAATAATAGTGACATACTAGGAGATCAGAGTATTCAAATCATCAAAAGCTATATCAATAAGAGAGAAAAAGAAATTCGATTTAGTTTATGTGCCCTTGCATATAAAATTCAGTAATATTTTATTATAAATAATTATACAATTTATAATGCTGTGATTTAAAATTCGCTTGTATAATATAATTATTTGTAAACACATGAAGCCAATATTATCAATATTTTAATCACTATCACTAATATCTTGTTTATATTTCTTTTTTGATATGCCATTTTTGAAAGATTTTTCCTTTCTTTTTGATTTTTTTCTATTTTTTTTTTTTATTTCTGCCAATTGATCTATTTCATCATCATTATCATTATTATCATCATTATAAGTTTCTGTTTCATTTTCTTCAGTTTGTCTATGTTCATTGGTTTCTATGAATTCTGTATAACTGATATCATCATTTGAAATTACATCATAAAACTTAAATATATGAATAAAAAAGAAAGACATGATTAGATTCTACTCACATTTTGTATAATTTTTTCAGCAATACCTCTAGTTATCATGGAATCGGTAATATTTGGTATATGATCTAAATTTAATGAAACATCACGCAACTTGGTTAAAGGTTTAGTATCCTTAGAATTTCCTGTCTTATTGGGATCAAAAGAACGACATTTTTGTTCTGTTAACCCATAACTCTCTTTTAAATACTTTTTTAATAAAACTAATGCTAACATTTGAACAGATGCTATAGTAACCTTAATAATATCATGATCTTGGAATTTAAATTCTTCTGTTTCAATTCGTTGATGCAAAGTGATTCCTGTAGTTGATAGAATTCTATCAGCAATATAAATAATATACTGTATTTCTTCAATTGTATTATATTCAAAAGATGCCATATTTTGAACTAGAAATTTTGAAAAAAGGATGTTATCATGCGAATTGATCTGTAACATATCAATATCCAGCATTTTTGTTAATGAAATTAAGAATTTTTTGCGGCTTTGGCGATTTTGTCTAATGATATTGTATGGAAAAATAAATAAAAGATTAGAATCATCTTAAAAATTAAATAATGATCAAATGATAAGAAACTTACTTGAAGTCAAACATTTCATACGAATTTGATATTGAAATGCCATTTTAATACCATCGATATAGCAACCCTCAATCAAAGATTCGTATTTTTCATGAATTTCTAGATGCATTTTCGTAGCCATATCTTTAATGAATTTATTAGGAGAAGCTTGCAAAGCAATAATAGTCGGAATACACTTGATATTTTAGTATTAAATAATATAAAATAATACGACATACTGTTCTAGGATTTGCAATGCCATTACTAGTAATAATTTCTAAGATTTTAACTGCTGTAATTGATAATGTCGTATCTTCATTCAAAGATATTTCAAGAATTTGAGGCAAATATCTTTGTATTAAAGAAATGCTCGCACTAAGTATATCGTTAATTAAATGTCATAATTAGAATAAACCCTTGCAAATTACCCATCATTTTCAAATTTTTTCGCTTCCCCTGTTAAGATATTAACATTATCAATTTCTTTTTTCATTGAATGATTATTTTTTTCAAAAACTTTAAACCCTTTTTCTTCAAGAGAAAGAAAATCATAAAATACCAAAAGAAGAGTATTTTGAAGTTCAATTGATGTGCCTTGAAAAACATTACTCATGATTTCTAAGGTTTGATCACATAAAAAAAACTTGGAGTGTGAAATGCAAATAATCCCTAATTAAAATTTAAAATAATAATAAATAATAATCAAACAAATGCTTACCTATACTATGCAAAGCAACCTTCTGGACTGATATATGAATATCTGACGATAAAGAACAAAATATTGAGATGGTATTAATTAAAAATTTAGCAATTGAGGTATCTGGTTTTAATTTTAGAAAGACATTAAGATCTTGAAAATGATTATCCAAATCACAATGACGCCCAAATAAACCGAGGAGAAGCAAAAGTAAAATTAATTTTTTATCATCACTAATTTGTTTTTTATTTTGCAATATTGTCTTATATGGCTCAATAGCCTTTATACAAGATGAAATGATTTTGCCAACACGCTCATAATCCCCAAATAAATTAGCTAAAACTGAAAGACATGGAACGACTTCATTCAGAATCTATGAAAACAATATAAAAATCTATTATAATTATTTTTTAAAGAAAAATACCTTAGCCGGGAGCTTTGTTAACTGAGAAAGAAGCATCTTTTGTAGATCATTTAAAAAATTTTTTGGCATAGAAGGAATATATGGTAAAACATTGCGATAAATAATAACTGTATAAAAAAATATAACTTGTTCTTGCGAAGAATTTAATCCATTTAAATACGGTTGAATACTCATCAATTGATCACTAGAAAATGATTTCGGACATGCTTCTGCAAAAATTACAATAGTATTAAGGCATTTTTCAAGCATTCTCTACTACAATTACTATTTAATCTAAAAATAGTCAAATTACCATATCCTGATTTTGATGATATTCTAAAAGTATATCAAACATTAAACTTATAGAAGATGTAAGTATAAAATTTGAAGAATCCATATTTTTTGATTTAGATATTTTTTGAAGAAATACTTTAAATGAGAATCTATCTTCATCTGGAAGGGTTTCTATGATACTTTGAAGAATTAAAATCTTTTCTGTTTGAATTTTTTTAAATTTTATTGATGCTATATTTCCCTCATTTTGATCATCTGGTACAGAAAACCATATATCTTCAATTGTTTTTGCAGAAAGATCCTATTATTATTATTATTAATGACATAATTTAATAATTATTCATACTTTAATACTATCTTCATTGTCACATAAACGCTGAATTAATCTTCTGCCAATATCTACTTGGATTTCTTGAGTATCAGATATAATATAAAAATCTTTTAAAAATTTAATCACACGTTTACGCACACTAAGGCCAGTATCCTACAATTATATTAAGATGTAAAATATTTTCTTTTCCTTCTTACTGCTATACGCTCACTGAGAACTGAATAATATTGTTGTCCAATTTCCTTCTGAAAGATAGCATATTTTCCTACAAGATCTATAGCAATATCGCGAACTTGAGATGATATATCTGCAATACGTGCAGCGACATGTTGTCTTACTCCAGTATTAGAAAGAATTGAGGAATCATTATTTACAATTAGTCCTAAGGAACGAAGGGCTTTAGTTCTTATAGATATTTGATTACTATCAAGACATCGCAGGATCCTAGATAAAATTGCATCAAACAATTGATATATCGAATAAATAGATAGATTTAAAAGATATAATCGATAAGTCTGATCAGTAAGGGAATCATTTTCACTGTTATCTGAATTAAACCAAATCAATAATATTCGAATACACTTACATTATTTTATTATCTGAAAAATCTATATAATATACCAATTTAAGAATTTCAGAAGCATAATCATCAGAAACAGCAGAATTATTCAAAGTATACTTCTGTTTTAAAGATCTAATGAAATATATCCATCGTAACCATAAATATTGTATTATATTCTAATAAAGTAAGAATAAATAAGAGATAAAAAATATTTTTACTTTATCCTTGGATTCTTCAATGTTTTTGAGATCAAGAGATTCCATGATTAATAAATGTAGTTTAAACAAATCTTTCAAATCATCTAATTTTTCAAAAAAAAAAATCCCTGTCTGTAAAATTGAAGAAATGCTAGAAGGAAGAACATCACTTTTTGATAAATAATTTGAAAAGTCTATAGAATTCTTAAAAAAAAGACGAATTTTTGATGCAATAATTCCTAAAAAATCGAGAGATAACCCTTTTATATGCGAACTTTCCTTATCATTATCCAAATAATTTAACTATAAAGAATTATTCCACATCTAAATACTTTATATGAATAAACTAACAAGTTTAGTAACTATAAGTTTTAAAAGAAGCTCAGAAGATGGCCATGAAGGCAATGGTAATACTAAAAGAAGATCTTCTATGAGAATATCTAGTAATATTTTATGAGAAAAGTCATTAGTAATTTTTGATATTTTCATAGCCTTAGACAATAAAAATGAAACGACATGATTAGCATTCGCTGTGGCAGAATCCATAAATTGAGAACTTGTATTAAAAATCTTTGTAGATTAAATAAAATCTAAAAAGTAAAGAAATAAAATACCATTTCTAAAAGATCAGACGCATTAGATTTAGTATTCAGAGTATGATCAATATCCTTCTTCATATCATTAACATCTTTCTCTAAAAATTCATATATATTTATTCCTTTATCGCTTTTGTATGAAGTAGCGCATGATTGTACCAATTTCATAATTAAAGCGGAAATAAGCTGTATAGATTTTCCATCAATTAATTTGTACCTACGTGCCTGATGTTTATTTATTGGTAATTTAACAAGACTCGTTAAAATTTCATCTAATATAAAGGTACGCTGATCCGGATATTTGGCATAAATCTATAATTATTAAACAAAAACATGTATTTTCAAAAAAAAAAAAAAATACCAATTGAATCATATCCATAGACGCCACCTTCAAAGCTTCAACTGCTTGACTATTAAATAATTGATCTTTAATCGAAACCGAATTTTCAACAAATATAGCTGGAATAGAAAGAAATTCAAGACGTGTAACAACTCCATCAGGGATTTCAATAAGCCTAATTAAATGAAAGAAATATTCCATAATACTTATAACATTATAAAATATCATGTTTAATGATTTTTTAAATTTTAATACATCAGATTTTTTTGAAACATCAACTAAAATAAATAAGCATAAAAATAAATAGTAAAGGGAATTCTTGTTACAGTCAATTAGGACATATATGACATTATCTAACGTCGATTTTAAAAAATATGCCATATCAATTAAAATTTCCTCTGAATATAACTATCATCTCAATATAAGATATGAAATACCGAAAAAAATAATAAAATCAACCTGTTTACTCAATTGTTCTGATGTTAAAATCCTCATCAGTATTATTATGGAATAAAGAGAGGTCCCTATTTTCGTAATTATAGATAAATTTTCTTCATACGAGTTTGTTTCAAATGATTGTTTCGTCAATGTTATCACTTGACTTTCATCAATCGATCGTGCACATATTTTCTCAAATCGTAGTAATAAATCAACCGGTAATGTATTAATCAAACCCATTATACAAACTTTTCGAATACAAAAATCCAATTTACTTAACATTTCCATATTTAAACAAAGCCCTTCAAATGGTACCGTCCCATGACACCAGCATGACATATATGACTCTTCAACCTTTAAATATGTCGGATCGGACTCCATTGCTTCTTCTGCTTCAAAAATAAACCGAATTAATTTTTCTAACTGGTCTACCGCTTTTTCCTCTTTCAATTGATCATCCACCACAACGCAATACCCTTCTTTTTCAATAATATCAGAAAATCGCTTCGATTTATCCGTAAATCCACCAGATACTTGTATCTTTCGTGTATTATTTTTAGATATAGGTGTGCACGGTGCTATATTCGATTGAGGCGTTAATGGTTGTACAGGAATAGGCTCTTTTTCCACATTTTCCTCAACTATTTCCTCCATATCAGATTCAATTACTGTTTTTTCAATGCATCCCTCTTTATCCTTTACAATTCCCTCTTTTGACCGGGTTGTATGCGCCGTCGGCGTTACCGGTGATGGATCTATACGCATATAATTATTCATCTACCATATATATGCGTCATAAATTCTCACATATAATATCTACAGTGCATTTATCTACTAATATACGTGAAAATGCATCTAATTTAGAAGATTCCATATGTTTTTCTGTCCCATATCGTTCTATCTTTCCCGGCACCTTAAACGACCTAATAATTACTTTTTACCAACTATATGCGCTTCAAATAATACCATTTGCTCATCTGTATCCCCTTTAATGACCCCATTATTTCTTGCAATATCGATGAGGGCATTTCGCCTTTTTGATCGGCTCCCGTGCCATTATTGCTTTCAAGAAGCATATCCAGCATCTTCTTCTCTCCGTCTGACAGTTTTAATACCGATTCCGCGCATGGATTCGCCTTCAATTGCGGAATCGTCTGTAATACTAGATCTTATCAATTTCTCTGTATCAAACGCTTAAACTTACACGGCTCAAGGCTAACAACTGATGCTAATGGTGAATATTCGAATGCCTCGATGATTTCAGAGGGAATTCGGGGGTATTTATACTTTCCTTCTGAAATGTCTGGCGTATGATTTGAAGAAAGCGCCATCGTTGGATGTACGAGATTTGCAGGGAGAAAAGCGATAATAAATGAGGTGTAATAGGAGGAGGGGAGAAAAAGTAGCAGAAATAGAAAAGCAAGCCAAAGAATTGAGTATATATAATGTATGGAGTCGAATAGAGGTGTTTTTCTAATATAAATGTGCATTTTTTTTGAAGGTGTTAGAAGATATAGAAGATATATATGAATAAAGTGATGAATAAAATGATGAATAAAATGAAGAAATTATGTAGTATCCATGATCTTTGAGAAGACATTAAGCCATAGATCGCTTTTTTTCCCAAGAAAAAAGGTGAATGTTCGTTGAATCAAAGAAAAATGATCAGACATAGTTTGTAATTGATTAATAATGTCTTCTAATAAATAAGCCCTTCCAATATCCATTCCATCACCTGAGTCAAAGTCTATATGTGAAATATGGACATGAAAATGGTAGTAAGAGGGGTGATCTATGTAAAATTATTGATAAAAGAATAAAAAAATGAAAAATTAACAATGAATAAAGAATTTCAATTGATCCTGTGATATTTCCTGAAATTTTTTTGGTATGACATCAAGTGCTGCTTGTTTTATAGCAAGAAGTAGCGGAATATGTTCTTTTTTTAGATCTCTTAAAGATGAAATGTCTCGTCTATGAACAATAGCAACATAATATAGTGTTGATACTGTTTTTTGATCCCATTTTCTAAAAATAAATAAATAAAATTCATGTAACACAGACATTTTACAAGTCTGGAAGAATAATGAATCCATTCTTCTCATCTGTACATTCATAGATGACATTTTCTGTTTCTGATATATGATCCAGTATATTGTAAACCCTGGTCCTATCAAAAAAATAAAATATACATAGATTAGCCCAACCACTTAATCCTAGACCCTCTCATAGTATCTACGTATGGTTTTACATACAATTCATAGATTTCTGGGGTTTCCTCAATTCTACACTTGGTCTGTCTAGAATATTTCCTGATATGCTGTATATATTACTATTTCCCCCTCAAAAAGCACATTTATACTATATCTGAGGCGGGATGAATCAATGTAACCTTAAAAAAAGGTTTTTTCCCATCATAAAATGGAGTTCCCCCCAAAAATAAGTGATAAATATCATTTTTTTCTATTAATTCAAGATATGCCCCATTTTCTTCAGTAAAAAGCATGGTATCCACTAATTCCAATGCTGTCTTTTCAATAATTAGCACCGCCTTTTCGTTAGAGATACGTCCAAGCAGTACAATACATTTTAACCGAGGATCTACCTTGTCATCTGGGCCTTCCTGCTAAAATACCAACGAACCTTCATTTAAAACTGCTTCAAAAACAAAGTCCCTAATATTTCTGACATAATCTTCATTCGCCATAGATTTACCAAAGGAATAAGCTTATTAAACTGTCTATTTTGGCCCCAATATCTCTCTAGCAGCAAATATACTGATAAGTACGTAGTAGAGAGATAACCAGTATCAATATTGCCAGGAAAAAAAATACATAAAAAGGCCCTAAACAAGTTACTTTATGGGACCAAATAGACGATTCAGCAGGTGGATTTTCTTGGATAAGGAAAAAAGGCTTTTTTCTGGGAGAAATAGCAAAAAAAGTGGAGAATCCTTATTTTTTCTTTTAAATCATGTCTACAAACATAACAATTGGCCTAAAGAGGCCAGATCGGTCTTTAAGACAGTAAGAATATTGGGAAATTGTGTTCTGGAAAGTTGTTTTCCAGGAAATAAGGATAATATATATATACAGCCTAAAACAATGAATAAAGTTAGAGATCAATATGATTTACATGTTTTGAAGGGAATGATGAATTATTTATGGATAAAATATCATGTATTTAAAGAGGGAAATCTTAAAATGCAATTGGATACCTATTTGATCTACATATTTGCTGGATATTATCAAAAATATGAGTTAAACAAGATATTCATTGTTTTTGAAACAGTAAAATGGCATTTTTTTAGACTTTTTCATGAAAAATATGTAAAATGGATGAAGATAATATCTGGCAGATGGTTATATAGTAAGATGTTAGTTAAAAATTTAGAGAAAAGAACAAATTGTCAAGAAAATCCAAAACTTTTTATATTTTATCAACCAAATGTCTATTTTACAGGCTTGAATTATATAGATCTATATATAAATAGTAGAAACAAGGAGATTTCCAGTAAAAGGATTCAAAAACAAGCAAATATATATAATATGTGGAAAAGAAATAGTCTTTATCCACTAGAACAAGATAAAAAGCTTATCTATAGAAATTGGAATGAAATATTAAAGATTAAAACAATAAGAAGGATATATGGAAGCAAAGTTTTTCAGAGATCATATACAAAAGCTCAAAATAAATATTCTAACATAATACAAGATATCCAAGACTATATAGGGAAAAAAAAATATAATAATTGCAATAAAATCTTATCAGAAGATATTTCTTTAATACAGGTTAATGATTTAAAGCAATTTCAATGTTATATTGAATCTTTACTTGAAAATGTTTCAAAACAAGGCGATATATATATTATGAATAAGATTCTAAGATTACTTGGGAAGTTAGATCATGGAATGATTGACCAATCATATTTTTTAATCAAAACACATCTCAATTTGCTTCTTAATACATCTCCAAAAGATTCATATCAAAAATTGCTTCCAAAATATAATTCAGAGACAACATTTTTCTATGATTCTTTTAAATCATCTCTTCCTAAAGTACCAACTATTTCTCATTGGAAACTTATACTTCAATTCTATATTAAAGCAAATGCGATAAATTCACTCAGCTTTTCTTCTTCTCTTCTTATAAATTCATTATTGCAAATCCAAATATCAAAATTAAAACCATCTCCAGAGATATATTTTATGGTTATTTATGCTTTAGTGGTTTCACCAGAATTCAGACCATTAGGATCAGATTGCTGCCAAAAAACACAGTCTATAAATACTACTATTCGTATCAAAAAGGTATTAGAAGTAGTAAAATTAATAAGTAATGAAATAGATTTTGATATTGACAAAGAAAAATTACTTCATGCACTATATTTAGCATGTTGTCCTTCAATAACTGAAGTATTAGAGTATACTACTAATCCAATATCATCTTTAGGAAATCAGAATTCTAACAATTCAAGTTTAATTCTAGATCCAAGAGCTTTTTTGATAGAAGATTTAATGATTCTGCATAAAATACCTTATTCTTTCAATTTTGAAAAGCTTAGATTTACAGTACTAGCATCATGTAAACTTTGGAGTATATTTTGGAAACGATTCAAAGATATTTCTGTGAGAGAGCCTCAAAAAGACGAGAATTTCTATGTTTTAATATTTAAGTTAATCAATGATTCAAAAAATAAAAAACAAATACGATTTGCATTAGAAACAATATGGCCTTTAATATGTGAGCAATTAAAAATCAATGTTACACCGAAAATTGCAGATATTATTAACAAGCTTAGAAATCATAAGTCGTGATCAAAAGTTGTATAAAAACATAATGAATATAACAAAAGTCCCAATAAACCATCAAAATGCTTTATATAATTAAATCTGATCAATGAATAATGTTTCTAAATATATTTTAGGCATATTCCATATTCTATACTCTTAACCAAAATTCCTTGATTAACTCTTTAACTTTTTAAGATCTAATTCTATAAAATAATCTCCATAAAACTAGCTATTTCCTTTGTAAATGTACCTTAAAAATCTATTAATGAAATCAATCTTGTAAGCTCTATTTAAATTGAAAAATATATACCTTCTTCTTTAAAAAACAATATAAATAATGATACTAATTCATATAATGTAAATCTCAATATATCTGCATCATCTGTAATATTATAGGATTTTTTATCTGCTATTAAATAAGAAACAGATGATATTAAACAAGAATATCCATATAGCCCAAATCTTTTGAACAAATAGCAAATAATTACTTCAATTTCTAAAAAGGAACCAAAAAATATTCAAGGAATCCAGATTTAAGTACATCACAGATACCCTATCTGTAAATAAAGATAAAATTAAGCAATAAGCAACTAACCTGAATAGTATTTTCACTGCAATTGCATATTTCTTCTATAATAATAAATATTTCCATTAAACGTTCTTGTAAGATAATTTTATCTATCAATTCAGTTAATTTATTAATATCTCTATCAGAATTATCAGTATCTGAGCAAGGTAAAGTCATTGATTTTCCAATAGAAACTAAATAGCCAGCAAAAGACAATGCTAAATGAGCTGATTCATCAAAATCCTCGAATTTAAGAAATTGAACTAATTTAAGATCTTCAACATTGTCATTCCTGAAGATTTAAAAACAATTCTTCAATAATAAACCAATATCTCTACAAGAATCTTGAATACCATTAACCAACTGAAGCCTTTACCCCATCAAACAAGCAATACAAAAAAAAACACAAAATAGCCTTCTTGACATAAAAATATCCGATTTTTCCATTTCTTCATAAAAAAATAACGAAAATAAGGCCAACTGCCCCTTCTTCTTACAATTAAGAAAAAACATTTGACTGACATCAAACATAGCAACCACTCCAACAAGTTCTATCTCCTCAAAAGACTTCAAAAGCATCATTATACAATAAATAGAACAATTCCAAAGCATAAGATCCGTTCTTAATACAAAAATTAACAAAAACAATATCCACTTCTTAACAACAATAAAAAGCCCATTAATATACATTTTTATCCTCTTCAAAAGCTCATACAGCAATAAAACAACATCGTACTCCATCAGCGTGCATCTACACGCTCATAAATACCCCGTACCATATAAAAAAACGCATATTCATCAATCCATACTTATTTTTCAGATAAAACGTCAAAACCCCTAAAAATTACGCGTTCAAACTCGGATTTTTTATGCATAAATTCACATATCCAATAGATCAATGATATTTATCGCGTTTTTAAAGCATTTTACACGCTTTATCCACCATTCATAGACAACTTATTTCTTCAGAAACATAAACCTATTTTACAGGCCACAAAAATCATTTTTCACCGGCAAAAAAACTATCATTCGATTCCTCTAGATCCATAGAATACGATTCCGTCTTTATCCAGTTCATTTTCTCAAGAATTCTCGCTATTTCAACCTATTTTCTGCTCACACTTTTTTATGACGTCGCCTCCCCGATCGCCCCAGAGCGTCCGTCTCAACCTCACAAAAAAGTGTTTTCACAAAAAACCCAGATATTCGACCAAAAACCGCTTTTAATCGCTAAAAAACACACGATCTGACTCGAGGTTAGTCGTTATTTGCTGCGTGGCCCTTTTTTCCGCTCAAAAAACGGCTGGAAAACGGGCAAAATCCCATTTTTTTTCATACATTTTTCTAAACCTTGATGATATAGATAAATAGAGGATTTCCCGGCAGTTATACACTTTATCAATAAGATATGACGTCTGGAATAGTGCCAGTTGGTACGGGAGAGAATTTGAACAGGCTTCGTAGCCTAATGAATGAGAATAATGTGGATATTTATAGTACGGATTAAAAGGGATTATTTGTGCGTGAAGATCTGATGAACAAAGTTGTTCCGTCAGGAGATGCACATTCTTCAGAGTATATTGCAGAGTGTGACGCTCGCCGTGCCTTTATTAGTGGTTTAATCAGGAATAATATGAGAAGAAAGATAGTTGATAAAAATAGGCTTTGATGGATCGGCAGGATGTGCAGTTATCACACAGAAAGAGGCATGTCTTTTTACAGACGGGAGGTATTTTTTGCAGGCTAGTCAACAGCTTGATAAAAACTGGACATTGATGAAACTTGAGGCTAATAATCCTACATGGCAAGATTGGACAGTTCAGCAGGCAAAAGAAGGAAAAACAGCGGGGGTCGATCCAACATTAATTTCTTTTTGTAAGGAAGCAAAAAGATTGGGGGGAATTTGTTAAAAATAATAATTTATAGATGAGACGATATCTCTTTCAAAAAGACTTGCATTAGAATCGAATGGAAAGTTAGTTAATTTGCCTAAGAATCTTGTGGATGAGGTATGGTCTAGTGATAGACCGAAAAGGCCGAATTATCCGGTAACAGTTCATCCATTTGAATTCTCGGGTATGACTATATAATATTTTGAATGTAGACTTAATGAATGAACAATTAGGGGAGGAATCGTCTGAAAAAGTATCCAAAATTCGAGAATTTTTGAAAAAAAAGAATGCGTATGCTTTTTTTATATCTATGTTGGATGATATTGCTTGTATTTCTCTTATTTTTCGTATTAATCAAGTAATATAAGCAGGGCTGTTTAATCTCCGTGGAACAGATATTCCTTATAATCCTGTTTTTTTTGCATATTCATTAGTAACACATGATAAAATTGTTTTATATATTGATGATTCAAAATTGGATGATCATGTTAGGGAACATTTGAAATGTGTAGAAATCAAGCCATATGACAGTGTTTTTAAGGAATTGGCAACATTGAAAGATGAAATTGATGGGAAGAAGGTAGTTATATCTGATGCAGCAAGCTGGGCGGTAGCTATTGCATTGGGTGAAACAAATATTGAAATAACAAGAAGTCCTATTTCTGAAGCAAAAACTATCAAGAATGAAAAAGAAATTGAAGGCATGAGAAATTGTCATGTTAGGGATGGAGTAGCTTTAGTAAAGTTTTTTGCTTGGCTAGAAGAGTTTTTAAAAAATGGAGGTGTTTTAGACGAAGTAGATGCAGCTGATCAATTAGAATCATATCGAAAGTAAAACAATAAGCATTGCATCTTTTCAATTTCTAAACTTAACAGGGAACAAGCTCACTTTGTAGGCCTATCTTTTCCTACTATTTCTTCTAGTGGTAAAAATGGTGCTATTATTCATTATAAACCAGAAAAGGAATCTTGTTCTCCTATAGATATTAATCATATTTATCTATGTGATTCAGGAGCACAATATAGGTCTTTTAATACATTTTCTGTTTGTTTCAATTAATTCAATGATTAGAGATGGTACAACAGATGTTACACGTACATATCATTTTGGTGTTCCTACAGAAAAAGAAAGGAAAACATTTACTTGTGTTTTAAAAGGCCATATTGCTCTTGCAATGGCTGTCTTTCCAAGAGGAACAACTGGATATATTTTAGATATACTTGCTCGTCAATATTTATGGGGTATTGGCCTTGATTATTTACATGGCACAGGGCATGGAGTAGGTAGTTTCTTAAATGTACATGAACCTCCAATAGGTATTGCACAAAAGCAATTGTATAACGAAATGATACTTTTACCTGGAATGGTGCTTTCAGATGGTTAGTTTTAATAAAAAGAAAACAGATAAAATCACATTATTTTCCAATAACAAGTAATTTAGATTAAAAAAAAAAGCAAGATATGGTTTTTCATGTGATTTTATCTATTTTTCTTTTTTATATTTTTAATATTTTCATTAACTTTAAATAAAGAACCTGGATTTTATGAAAATGGATGCTATGGACAGCGTATTGAAAGTATTGTTGCTGTAAAAAATACTGATACAACTTATCATTTTGGGAATTCTCCTTATTATGGGTTTGAATATTTAACAATGGTATTAAATACATATTTTTTATTATTTTTAGCTCATTCTTACTTCAGTGTCCTCTTGGCCTTAATCTAATTGATCTAAATCTCTTACAAGAGAACGAAAAACAATGGATCAATAGTTATCATAAGCTTGTTTTAGAAAAACTTGGTCCATTCTTGGAAGATGATCTTCGAGCTTATAAATGGCTTATAAAAGAGACACAATTCATTTAAGATCTCATTTTTAACTGAAAAACAAAGGCAAAGGACCTTTCCCTTTGTCTATAGAGGCTCGTTTATTTCTTATTTTCAACATTACTTTATTTATTATGCACATTTCTTCATTAATACTTGTCATAGTATAGCAACGATCCATAGCAACGTTTTAGCAGGTGAATAGCATCGAATCTTTTGCTAAATTAAAAATATGATAAAAAGAGGAGATCACAAGGATATTTTGAGACGTTTTTTTGTAATATATTAAGAACAAAAGGATATAAAGACTAGGGACTTTTTTCCCAGGGAAAAATGGCTAAAAATACACAAGATAAAGAGGAAAAGAAAAACTTTTGGGTTAATACAGGTATCGCAGGAGGTATATCAGGATGTGTAGTATGTGTCTTAAATATACAAGTATAATACGGAATAATATGTTTTTAAGGCAAAAACTATTATTGCACCACTTGATCGGATTAAAATTTTATTTCAAACATCTAATCCAGATTATATAGAGTATTCAAAAATGAGATTCGGTTTTGTACATGCAGGGATAAATATATGGAAAAATGAGGGAATATTAGGATTATTTAAAGGACATTCTGTGACACTTATTCGTGTTTTTCCATATGCATCTATTAAATTTCTTACTTATGAAAAATATCGAGATCTTTTAATTCCTAATATGAATTTTGATACAGGATTACGAAGATTTGCATCAGGATCTCTTGCTGGTAATAAGTTTTTTATTTAATGGGAAATATTGAATCTATAGGTTTAACTTCTGTCTTATTTACATACCCATTAGATATTATACGAGTTCGTTTAGCCTTTGAAATACGATCAAAAGAACATACTTCTTTAAAAAAAATATGTAAAGGTATTTTTAGAGGGTACAATTCTTCAGTTATTCATATTGATCCTTCAAAAAAATCATTTTATTATTATTTTAATACATCTTTGGGATTTTTTAACTTTTATAGAGGTTTTACACCTACACTTATAGGAATGCTTCCTTATTCTGGTGTTTCTTTTTGGGCGCATGACTTTATTGTAGATTTTTTCAGAAATAAAGCATTTCAAAAATATACACTTATTGCTCATAATACTAGTAATATAACCTCAGAAGATATCTATTCTTTAGAAAATACTCTTGATTTCAATCAAGGCTTTCGTTATAAACGAACTCCACTTAAGGCTTGGGCTGAACTTACTGCTGGTGGATTGGCTGGATTGCTTTCTCAAACCATTGCATACCCATTAGAAGTAATTCGGCGTAAAATGCAGGTCTCAGAGATCAATAACATACATTCAAGAAATGGTATATACGCAACAGCGCTTGAAATTTGGAATAAATCGGGTTATAAAGGCTTTTTTGTTGGATTAACTATTAGTTATATTAAGGTAATATTTTTATTTTGCAAATAAACACTAAATCTTTACAATAGGCTATTCCTATGGTATTTAAAGCTTATACTAAACTAATATCATTAATTTATATGGCAGATTTCCTCTTCTTTTTTTATTTATGAGCGTCTCATGCATTATCTTATTTCTTAGTCTATTATGATGGCTTCTATCAACTGGTTTATGTCTATTTCAATATAAAATTCATATCATCTTTTTTTAATATTTTTTCAGTCACGTGAGTACCGAGATCTCCTCTACCAGCCACTGTAAAAATATACAACATATACAGCAAGGTTTTGAAGGGTTTATACAGCACTTTTACACCTAAAATATCATATGAAATGATACCTTCTATACCGATCTATGAACAACAAAATGATCGACGATTACAAGAGCTGGTAAGTAATGACAAAGTTAATAAATCCGGATTAATATTTTTTTTGAAAGGAATCCAAGGTTTCTATGTTGAAAGATGTATGTAATTGTATTAAATGTGTTTTCCTAAGTTTTCTTATATTTTTTTCTTAGATTACTCTGGATATTCATAAGCAAGCATCGGATATGACGATGCTTGAACAAAGTGTAAATAAAATATGAATCCAAGTATACAAGGTTGATAGGAAATATAGAGACATGCCATTTCAAAACTGACAAGAGACGTTCATAATTCAGCATTACGTTTAAATCGTGTTCTTTTGACAAAAATAAGCGTTTTCAGATGTGTTTGTTTTTTTATCATAGTTTTTATAATATTATGGATCCTTAGTAAATATTTCTAATATTACAGACAATAAATTTGTCTGTAAATAACATGTATTATAGAATTAATATGTTTGATTTCTTCCGGCCATATCTTGCCCGATCTTTAAACTACTTATATTTTCCCAATTAATTTTTTGCTTAGTCATTGGCAATTGACGCCTAAGACTCTTAAAATCATGATCATTTAAGCCATGAAATGTCATATTTAATTCTTCCTGATATTTCTTTTCTTGCTCTGCAATAGCTGCTATAATATCTGAACCGTTAGTACTTTTAGCTTCAAAAGAAGATTCATGATTCGTTGTTAAACGAACATTCCCATCCTCATAATAATGAACGTCAATCCGCAATGTTGCTGTAATAACAGGCGATGATTCTGAAAATTGGTAAAAAGAACGCCAGCGTCCATTCCTATATGTTAAATTAAATACATGTTTTATCCTCCAAATTGAATTTTTACCAGAAATTAACAGGATTATACTTATTCCCAACAATAATAATATAATATGTGTCATTTTTTCCTGGAAAAATTCCATAATTCACTGAAGATGGAAAATGTTCTGATAAATAAATTAACAAAGGTTTCAAAAGATCATTTCTACATCTTTAAATCAATAAAGAGATCATTTTAATCATAAAAAAAAAGTACTGACATTCTTTCAGATATTTTTTCATCTATTTCATAAGGTTGAACATCTGATACTTGCTAATATTTCATTAAAACACTCTATTTTCCAAAAAAAAAAGAAATACCAGATCCAGATGATTAAATATAAATGATTTCTTTGAAATAGGATCAAAAAAACGTCCATCTTCATAATTAAATTGACTAATAATGGTCTAAAATACTCAATTTTTAAAAAATAAAAAAATATAAAAAAAGACTTCGTCCTCAGATCCTGGAATCTTTATATTTGTAAATTGTTCTTTATTATATCTTTCAAGACATGGAACAATCTCTTCAAAAAAACTCTTATCATTGTTGACGAGAATACGTATGTCTATAGTCCTGTTAAAAACATATACATAAATGTATATATAATTCCCATTAAAAACATCATTTACTTCTCCTGGAGGAGAATCCTTAATTAAATCATAAATAGAAATTGTCATTTTCCTTGAATATTTTTTGTACAATATATTAAAAGTTTCCAAGACCGAAAAAATTGAAAAAAATATAGAATAAATATAAATATATGTCCATATTTCAGTGTGATTAAAGCCCTTAAAGAACCGAAGTTATTATAATAATATTTCCTAAAGATTTGCTGTATAGAGATTATAGATGATATTATATAATTGATTATTTGAAAAAATAATAAAGATGATTTATAATATTTTTGTAGTTTTCTTATGTAGGATTTAAGTTAGCCATTGTTGATATTTTACTTGTTGTATAATTTCTTTATTTAAAGAATAAGTGCCTTTCATAGGATATAAAGTTTCTGGAAATTCACAATGTTCTATATAAAGATCAAGATCTTTATCATTAGGTTTAACCTTGTCTATATAAGTAATATCACTGAGACTAATCCATTGGTTGTATTCTAATTTTCTTGAGGAAAGATCTTCCTGTAGAAGTTCGATATGATATGAACGATATAGATAACTAGAATGTATTATAATTATTTAGATAAAAAGCAAAAAGAATATACTTTTTGTATTCTTCTTTCTTGTACATCATAGAACTTGTTGAAAAATGATTAATTTCAACATATTGTGAAGGTAAAGGAAATAAAAAAGGACCATTTTTTGCATCCAATCCATGAAATCTTTCCATCTTTTGAACCTTATTATACTCATGTGTATCACGAGTAGTTTTTTTATCATCAACCTTTCTAAGAATCTTTTGAATGGCAAATTGGCGTTTATGTTTTCTAATTTAAATAAGTTTTTGTATATTTAATGAGAAAAATATAACTTGTAAGATAAATTGTCCCTATTTGAAGGTTTATTTCTAGAGGATTCTTCTTCTAATACATCCCTATGTAAAGAACGGATCATAAATGGACTGAATTCAAAATATTTAGGCGAAGAATACCTAAAATTGTCATTAAATAACATAAATTGGTTTATAAATTTACTTTAAAGGCATATATCTTAATGTTGAATTAATTTTATATGCAAACATTTTCTCTAATGTTGATAACATTTTCGGTTTATAATATTCAGACCAATATTCATCAGAATCAGTACATTTATCACAATTTAACTTCTCAGATAAACAATCCTTGTCTAAAGAAGAGTCTATATTTATTGGTATATACCAATATTTATAACTAAAAGAATTTTAAAAAGTAAAATAATTAAAATATCAATTTACTTTCTTCTTATATTGTTCAATTGAGGAGTATGATGTGAATCATAATTTGTTGTTAAATCCCATAACATATGCTTATTGCTAGGCAATTTTATACCTAGAAATAAATTGATAGCACTTTGGCGTTGTGCATCTAAAGACATTTTAAGAGAATATAGATTAAATTAAGTTCAATTATACCAACAAACGAATTAGTATAAAATCTTCTAATGCTTTCGATTATATCTCTTGAATGACTTGTCCACTAGAAAATTAATGTTCATAATTTATTTAATATAAAGAATTTTTACATGATTAATTTTCCTATACGTTGACATTGTATTAACCTTTACATGTTACAATTGTATAAATACCAATTCCTTTCTTACCAAATGAGATCCTCCATATTGTAATGCAATTGTATCACCATGATCATGATACATTTCTGTTAAAAGATTAATTGCATCAGTATCATAATTTAGAATAGGTTCTTTTATAACTCCCAATGCAAAAAGCTTAAGAATATTATAAAAATATTTAAATAAAAGTGCTATTTAAACCTGATAACCCAATGCCTTTTTTGCAATAACAAATTGAGCAGCATTAGTCCTATCTAAACAATCAATACAATTAGTACGACAAATTCCTTCTTGTGATTTTAATTTTTTCTTAATATTTTCAGATTGATCATTCAAAATCTTACTATGGAAAAATCCTGTAGTTTTTAAAACTTCATCTGCAATATTTTCAAGTGTTAAAATTACATCTTGACCTCTTCTATTATATCCTTAAGAAAATAAATAAAAAATGTATTTATTCATACGTCTTAGATGCTCTTGACATATCCCAAGCAATATATTTGATTTTCTTATCTTCAGGAAGAAATTGATTCAAATAATAAATAGCTTGTGTATATTCTTCAAGCAAAATTGATTCTCTTCTAACTCTTTCCCTGGACTATAGAATTCAATTAATGTTTAAGAACTAAGGCAATCTACCTTGATAAGATTTACCACAATACATGGAGTTTTATAACGTTTAAACATATTATCAAAATGTAAAGCAGTTGCACTAAAAAATGGATCTATAATATCAACTAAAATATTCAGTTATGTTTAAAGAAAATTAACCAAAATTACGTTTTATTGGAGGTTTAGGACTCATATTATTAGGATCTTGACTCCAAAATAATGGTATACTCCCACGATGCTGAACATATGATGTATATTTTGGATTAAGCTTCATATCCTTGGTATAGAATGATGTAGTCGACATTTCACTTACAATTTGTTCAGATTCAACATCATTAGCAACATAACCCTATCATACAATTATTATTAAAGTAATACAAAAATTAAACATACTTTACTATTTACACCTCTTTTAAAGAAACGTGCACCAGCAAAATGCCTAGATCTTCGAGCAATTAATGTAACATAAATAGATTTCCCATATACTGATATATCTTAAAACAATTAATAAATAATTCAATAAAAACATAATACGTTTGTACTTGCTTGATCTATAAATCCATGTATAATTGGAATACACCATTTTGATCCATTCTTAAGACATTTTATAGCAACATTTAAAAGATTATAATTCCAAACAAACATTTCATTATAGTCTTCTAATGTTCTAGCTTTTAAACATGAATGTGTCGTAAGATTATGTTGAAGTGTATGAGTAATGTCATATGAATAGCTGAAATAGAATGTTTTGTTTAAATCAAGTGTTTGAAATATATTTAGATAACGTGATTCTTCAATAAGAACTGATCGAGGTTTTTTGGATAAAATTGATGAATGAGCTATTGGAACCAATTTCGTATCATTAATGTGATATATATAATGTCCTCCAAGCAATGCAACTGTGCTTCTTTTTGTAATAAATGAGATATAATAGCCACAAGTAAAACGAATAAATCCTGTACTAAATCAACCTTTTTTTCCCGGAAAAAAACAAATAAGAAGGACCACATATTCCCCATGCAACCAGTACTTTTGATATTCCTCCACAGTTACGGTTTCCCTCATTAATAGTAATAAGCAATTTTGAAATTTCATTTTTTGAATAAATTGTTTCATCTTCCATCAAATCCAGTTCATCTTCAACCGTCCGGTCTATCTTAAGTACCTGAAAGCTTGTACCACTGTAATCTTCACCGACAATAAAAAATTTCTATATATTTTTATTATTTCTTTGGAAAATATCCAATATTTATTTGATTTTACTGTTTTTGTCTCATAAAGTGTAAACTTCACTAGAAAAGAAACATCAACCGTATTATCTGTCCTAATCTTCATATTTTTTTATAATAAATATATATAAAATATATAGCCTTTATATATTTATTTAATCATCTGTTATCAGCTTATCGTTAACCTCATCAACAAAACATATCCAGCCATATATGTAATATCGAAGTACTTATCTATAAAGTACTTTATAGATGCCATTGATTGCTAGAATGATGTAATTATATATATCAGCTTTGAAATAATTTGTATTTTTATTATATATCTTTGAAGAATAAAGCCAGATTAGAATCTACATCCATTAGAGCTTTGATGTCGTTATCCAATTTATTTCCCATTAATTTTTTGAGTGATTTCATGCAAAGATGCAATTGCTTTTTCAGATCGTCTATAATTTTACCTTTTTGTGAATGTATATTTAACCAACAAAAACAAATTCCTTGTAGTATTGTAGCATGATGATATTCTATTCTTGGCCAGCAGATATGTATAATTGCTTTCAATGCTTTAGCAGCCTCAAGAAAACGTTGTGGATGATTTGTTTGAAAAGATTTTTCTAAAACAGATGAAACAAGAGAGATTAACATCTTTCTGAAGATTAAAAAATAGAATGAATAAATAAAATTACCTCTATATGTTTAACAGCATAAATTCCCATTATATTAACAAGTTTTTCTATGTATTCCATAAGAAGTATAACCATATCTGATTGTTCACCTGAATAAAGCATGCCATTGAAGATACCATTATATACAATTTCATCATACAATTTTACCCTTTTATCTTTGTGATCAAGATGCATCAAAGATGCAAGTGTTATTAAATTGTTGAATGATGTTCTTAATAAAGGAATAGAAATAGAAATATCAATTGAAGGAGGATGGTATGAAAGACATTGAATGACCAATTCCCAAAAAAGATCACCCATTCCTGTTTTTTTTATGAAAGCAGCATCACATTTTGATAATAAATGGTATAAACAGCGAGAACCTTTGAGTTTAAAATTTGGATCAGCATCTTCAAAAAGTGTTACTAAAAAAGAAATAATAAGATAAATATAATTCATTGCTGTATCTTTCTTTTTAAAGCTTAGATTTAATCATTTTTAAAAGACTTTTTTATTTACCTGGCATACAAAAATTATCCATTCAAGAATAGATGTACATTCTATTCCTTCTGTTTTCCATAGTTCTGCTCTAAATACACCTGAAAGTCCAGAAATATTTTCATATGGTCTACGAAGAGGTTTTTTTGTTTTGATCTGCATATTTTTATCATAATTGAGTCTATTTGATTGAGATGAGAAATATGGACGAATATCATTCATTAAAATATGAACCAAAATTTCTTCTAATGATATTCTTTTCATTATATCTTCTAAAATCTTGGAGGAAAGTGAATAATTCTCTATAGATGTCCATGGATCTGATTTTATTTGATATATTGCCAATGCTTGAATTATTTTACTATTGATCTTTGAATTCTCCATCAAAAAAATAAAGAGAGTAATCAAAATATCTATGCATTGTAGACAAATTCCAACTAATGTATAATAAGCTTGTTGAATATCCTTAGAAACGGTTTCTAATATGTATTAATTATCAAACATTTCTTTTTTTTACCAAATTGCTTGCCTAAAGCATCAAACTGCCTCATTTCATTTATAGGGCGTATAATTATACACAACTTTTCAACAATTTTAATAATATCCGACTCAATAATATTTATATTTTCCTTTACAGATCCATTTTTTAAAATAAAGAGAATTCGTTTCATTCTTTCAACCTTCTACATCCATAAAAAACTTTTTCTCCAGAAAAAAAAAGCAGAGCAACAATTTCCCATATGCTCTATTTATACCTGAAATATCTCCTCTTTTTCTATTGATATTTCTGTTCCTAATATCGTCCAATCAATAGTATTTGAATTTGTTTTAAAATCTTTTAACATTATTTCTTCATCCATTTCAAATTTCTTATTATCTTCTTCCAATAGATCTGACATTATTTTTTGATAAATAGTCTTTGTATTTTTTTGAGATTTAGATTATTAAGTTATTAATAATCTTATCTTTTTTTATCTATAACTAAATAGCGATAAGTTATCATTTTCATGTATAAAACAATAATTTTAATTAGAATTTATATGGCAATTGAAAAGATATATAGCTAAATATGTTTTAAATTGAGCTGTGAAAGGCATTGTTCTGGAGTGCCTTGTGGATTTTTTAATTGCCATAGAATTACTTGTTCAAGTACAATACCAATCTGAGGTCCTTTAAATCCAAACGTTTTTGAAAGAATATGACCCTAAAAATATTAATTTATATTTATAATAAAAAGATCAAAAAGTACATTAACAAGAGGTTGCATCGAATATGCTTTTTGTAGATTTTCATGATGAATTTGATCAAGAAGATATTTGTATCGACTTAGAATAGCTCTTTTTTCATAGATTAAAGGCTCAATTTCCAATTTAGACCCTTTTATTTCATATTTATCATCTAATTTATCCATTTGTGGTAAGAAAGATGTTAACATTTCATCAATCAATCCAAGGAAAACCGCAAATGGCCAATTTTTCTTAACAAGACGAACAAAACATCCTAAAATAATTAAATATATAACATATCTTAGAAAAAAAAAAAATGAATTTACCTAAAGATACTCGAGTTTCTATTCCATTCATACATTCCATTGATATTTTTTGTGCTTCTTGAAAGTAACAAAAACTATCATCAACAATACTAGCAATATTATTACTCATTTTCAATCCTTCCTTAACAACAATTGAAGAACATTGAATATTTCCTTTCTTATTTTCTATCACTTGTTCTTTCCAAGGAATAAGAATAGATAAAAGCCATGGAATCATATTATTTTTTACTCCTCCTAAAAGATCCATATATTCTTCAAAAGGATTTATTGATATTTCATTTAAAATTAATGATATAGGATGAATTGATGATTCTGTTGACTCTAATTCTTCTTTTAATCTATCTTCTTGTTTATCTTGTAAAATCCATTCTGTCAATTCTATAATTAAAGGAATACAACTCAATTCTTTTTGTGGCTTTACAGAAGAATTCATTGAAAATATATTTTCATAAAGTCCAAGCTCATAAATCAATTCCAGAGAACCATATGGATTGATTCCTATCAAATATTAAATAATTAACCATAATTACAAACAAACAAAAAAAAAACCTTCCAACATCTTTTTTATCTCTACACCTATCCTTTCCTTACTTATTTTTGTTGATAAAGATTTCTAAAAATACTTAAAATATACATAAAATATAAATCACAAAAATTACCTTAATTTTAGGATGCATTATAGCTTCTTTCGTTTCTAAATCAATCTCAAATCCAAATCGACTAGAAAATCTAATAAATCTCAAAATTCTTAAAGGATCATCATCAAATGTCTGATATGGCTCTAATGGCGTAGCTATCCTTTTCTTTTTCATATCTTCGAGACCTCTTTTCGTAAAATCTTCAATTTCATTTGTATGAAGATTATAAAATAATGCGTTTATCGTACAATCCCTACGCATCGCATCCTCTTCCGGCGTTCCAAATTCCTTATTACATTAATTCCTCCTCTTTTTATCCTTCTCATCATTTACCATCATCGGAATACGACTATCTTCCGAATACGATTCGCTTCTCAAATTCACAAAATCAATCTCAATTCCCATCATATTCGTAGTCGCCGTCTCTAAATGCTTAGATTTCTCTGGATTACGCTCAATTTTCGCTATTTGACTATATCCTATCTCCGACATCCCTTTCTTAAAAATATACCGCTTTAAACGTACTGCAAACTCATATCCCGACATTTTATCAATAACCACATCTAAATCATTGCTTTCAAGCCCAAGTAACTTCAAAAAATAAGCCTTTTTCCTCTTATTCCTTTTTCTTCAAAAAAACCTTATCTCTGACCCATCCGCCCGCAAATCTCGCTATTATAGGCCTTCCTCTTCTTCTACACTCCTCGCAAACTAATAAAATCACCTTTTTAACCTCTTTTTCCCTCTCATTAAGCATAATTTCTCCTAAAATCTCTCTAAAAAAACCGCTTTTTTTCATCAATCCTTGAACCCTTGGAAAATACCAATTAATCTCTTCTAAAAACCTCTTATTTATACTGTTTAACCCCTCAAATCGCCTATTTTTCCTTAAAATCCCTCCGATCAACTTGTTGGTAGTCATCTAAAGCCTGAAGGTTATGAGAGAGGTGAATCAGTAGAGGTTTAATAAGAGAGGTTTCCACGGCAACTATCGATGATAAGGGGTTGTCATCGTAACGGTTGCTATGGCAATTTACTATGACAACCGGGGGATCTGAACGTCGGATTGATGAGGAGGACAGATGAACCGCTATTTTATGGGAGATTTTTGGGGAAAAAAGGGATATGAAGAAGAATATATGAAGAACAAGGATATAGGAAAGCATGGAAGCCCTTTTTTCCGGTTTTTTTTGCGTGTATTTTCGCCAAATATAGCGGTTTTAGCATCAAGCGATGCTAATGAATTAGCGTTGGCTAAAGGATTTAAATGTGTGCATGAAATGTTATCATTATTTGAGGAAAATAGAGGGGAAACGGTAGTGATTCGAAATTTTGAAAAAAAAGAGCGACATGAGGGGTTTGGGGTGCATTTTGTTCCATTAGAACGGTTATTAAATGATAAGGAAATAAAAGAGGAGATTAAGTCAATAGAAGAAGAAACGGGATGGATAGAAGAGAGGGTTTCTGAATATATGAGTAGAATTGATAGTGAGGAGAGAAAAGAGGGAGAAAAAGAAGAAGGAGAGGTAATAGAAGAAAATCAAAAAGAAATAGAAAAAATGTATGAAAATAAGGAGAATGATAAGGAATTGAATGAGATAAGATCCACGTTTAATTTTTATTGTCGTTTACTAGCGTCATTTCCACCATCGGTGCATGAATTTTTTAGTCATCCTATTGCATGTGTATTTGCGATATCATCATATAGTTTGAAACCGTTAGAATTGCTTGAGAGTTTACAATTACATCAACCGATGCTTCCATATATTGAATTTAGTTATTTACCGACATGTCTTTTTTTACATGATGATAGTCATGATCTTGAAAAGTAAGATTAATATTTTTGAAAGGATATCTTATTTTTTTTAGATCATTAAAAGTATTTGAAAGTATTAAACAAACATTTGGGGACCATTCATATCTTATTAGATTGTCACCGGTGAAAGAATGTCTAGATAAGTCAGAAGAAGGGTATATACGAGTAGCAAAAGACCCATGGAACATATTATTTGACAAGACTAAAGGTTATATCTATAATGTATGTTTTTTTAACCAACTTTATAGATGATTTTTATGTTTTAAGCGAGAAAGATGTTACAGCTATTCGTACATTTGTTAAAGAATTGATATCTACAAGTATTATACCAGTTATGGAACAATCAATTGATTTATGGAATGAACAAGTAAATTTCCTTATTAAACAAGAATTTATTTTTAATAATTATGTATAAGGTTGCATCATCTCGTAGAGGAATTGCAGGAAAACTTTTGAATGTTTCTAAACGTTATTTCAGTACTAATACTACACGCAATCAATCTTCTTTTTATAATAATAGTAATTATAATGTTAAAACATCGACCTATGCTTTAACTTCACCTGAAGCACGGCTTAGGAAGCTTGCAGATTATGCATTTATGCTGCGTGATTGGAAATTTGCACAATCTATATATGAACTTTTAAAAAAAGATTTTTTTAATGATAAAGCATGGAAATATTATGCAGGTGCACAGGAAATGTTGACTCTATGTTCACTTTTTCCATCACATACGACAAAAATCAAAATTGAAGCAATTGACTCAATGTTAAACGCTTCATTATATTCTTATTTATTAGAATCTTCTTCACCTTTCTTTGCTTTACGATCTATAACATTTGCTTCTGAATTGATGTTTCTACACTCTAATGAGGCAAAAAACAATGCTGCTAAATGGCTAATAAAAATTCTTGAAACTGGTATCCTTGGAAACACTATTACTGCACTTGTAATTGAGCGTATTTCTTATTATTTCGAAAGTATAAAACCATACGGTCTATCTTCTTATGGATCTCGTCGTAAAAAGGCTGCTTTTTGGAAAATTCTTGCCACTGAAGCTTGGTTAGCTCTTGGCAAAAAAAATTTGGCTCAGCATTCCTTTCTTCAGGCAATGTCTGTTTATAAAAACATTCAATGGGACGAGATAAACAAATTTACTGCTATTCTCTATCATCAAATATATACTTAATCCTATTCTCTCTGATATCTTTGCTACCATCATTTCTACCAATTTTTCAACTCATTCTTTTGACAAATCGCTCCTCACCAATCGATTTCTTACATTCAACGCAACACATTTAAACCTCTTCTCTTGTATTTTTTTCTCATTTTTATACTTCACTATTTCACCTTCATTTAAGGCCCATCTCGACTTGACTAATCATCTTGATGAACAACTCCTCTCAGCAGGAAAAAATATACAAAAAACTGGATAAAAAACCCGGTTTTCTTCTAGAATTTATCTTAAATCACACGGAATTTACATCTTCTCGGCTTCCATCTCTTTATTCAGATTTTTTTCCGCTTAAAAACACTAATTTTGAAGGTTATCAAGCAAATATTAATGCATGGAAAGCCGTATTAGAGGAGGCAATATGGACAGGAAGAATAGACTGGACAGATGATTATCTTGTTATTCATTTTAACAATTGTCTACTTGTTTCTCTATATTCACCGAAATATGGTATACCATTGGGTATTAGGGAAACTATGGTTTAAAATTAGTTGAGAGAAAAATACAAGAATTGATGGAATAAATAGGAGTATTGTTTGGAAAAAGGGGAATGGATTCGCCTGGAAGATTTTTTTAGACAAAAAGAAGGGATGTATTCAAGTGCGATATCATATGTGTCGAATTTTGTTGCATGGAGTTTAGGAGGGATTGGAAGAAATATATTTAAAAAAACAGAGTTAGATACAAGCTGTGTAATTCTGGAGAATGTTGAGAGAGCGGCGAATGCGTTTCTTGGAGTGGTACAAAATAGAATTGTGTATAGTGAACATATTTATTCGTTTGATGAACTGGTTATATGTTTTTGCAGTAAAATAATTAGTTGTTGTATTTTTTCAGAGCTGGATATGAAGATAATAGTATATTATTTATCGAAAAATAAAAAAGAGGTCTGTATAAGCGAAGATGGCCAAGTAATTCTATAATAATAAATCGAAATAATGAAAAAATTAATTATTCAATATAGATTATTAAACTAAGACGCAAAAGTGATAATCGAGTGTTAAATATTACAGAGACAGATTATCTTATTTCTAATTTGAAGATGATTTTATATCGTTTGCAACGATTGACGCAAACACTTACAGAAAATATTGCACAATTAGATGAATCAATCAAGATTGCAATTCAGTCGAAAAATAAAACACTTGCATTGTTCCAATTGCGTTCTAAGAAAGCTTCAGAATTGACGTTAAACAAAAGACTTCAATATCTAGAACAAGTGAAAGAAATCCTGTCAAAAATTGATGAAGCCGTGATTCATTTGGATATTCTGAATTCAATGAAAGCAGGAGTGGAAGTATTAGAAAACCTGGTAAAAGAAACAGCAGGTATTGAAAATGTCAATGACATTATGGAGAAATTCAAGGAATTGTCATATGAAGTCGATGATATTGGAGATACAATAGGCACTACGAATTTAAATAATATTTCTGACGTAGAAATTGAACAAGAGTTTGAAAAATTATGCAATACCTTGAAAAACGAAGAAGTTGAAAAGTTAAAAAAAGATGTAGAAATAGAAAGGATTAATAATATGTTTGCAAATATGGAATTAACGGTACCATCGTCAATACCCAATATTACCAACAAACGCCTTAAAGAGGCACAATTATCTGAATGATAGAATATATAGCACAATCTGTATATGATATGTAAATTTATTGAGTCTCGGGAGGTTCATTTTTTGGCGATGTATCGGTTTTTCTTTTTTTCGATTGTCGAGCATTTTCAATAAGGTTATCAAAATCTGTTTTATATGTCTGCATCCAATTTTTATCTGAAATATTTTTCATGCTAGTTGTTTTTAATTGCATCTGATCCCAGGCATCTAATTTTTCAAGTAATATTCGTTTACTAACAGGTGTTTTAGAGTCAATATTTGCATTCCAAAGATTAATCCATTCAGTATGTCTTCGCTGAAGCATTGCTTTATCGCCTGATATCTTTAATCCAAGGGATTTGAGTTCTGATCGAAGTTTGGATTCACTAAGAAGAGCATAATTAAGTTTCGGTAACCTAGAATACATATGTGGTTCTGTTTTCGGTGAAATAACACTATATTAATAATTAATAGAAATATAAAAATAAAAAGAGCTTTTTTTTTTTATATTTCTTACGTTTGTATACAACTGCTACTTTTTTGATTTAAACATACATCAAGATGCATGTGAATTTTATCAAAATCAACAGATTGATAACATACTGGACATTTAACAATCGTAGGAATCGAATTTATATCCGGTGACTTAATTTCCGTATTAATCTCTCTACTAACTTCCGTATTAGATAGAGGATTAGCCAATGCCATTAATCCCGGTCTATATATATTACATCAAATGATGTAATTTAATCAAATTAAATCATTTTAACCTGATTCTTTCAAAAATTTCAATTACTTCTTCAATTGATATATTTCTACGCAATCTATTCTCCTGTTCAGGTTGACGACATAATGGACATTGTTGTTTCTCAGATAAACATCTACGAATACAAAGTGAACAAAATGTATGACAACATCCTGTAATTAATGGGGTTTGCATCAAATCTCTACATATTCGACAACGCAACGCCTCTTCTAATATAGACATTTCTGGTAGTTTGCTTGGATTCCAATCAAATGATTCATTTATATTAATCATAGATGATTATAGGATTGAGATATCTTATTACAGTCACGTGACACTTATATAATTAAACTGGAAAAATTCTATAAAAACCAAGATTTAACAAATAATTCCGATTCCAATTTCAATTTTAGATTCTAATTATCTTTTCTTCTGGATTTTACTTGTTTAATTTTTATATTAATTTTTTATATCCTCTTTTATGTAAGTTTTTCTTTAGATTTCAATTAATTAACCTTTTAATTAAAATTTTATAGGCTTATTTATAACGGCTTTCCCTATTTATATATTTTGTTTTATATCAAAAACATATATATGCCCTCAGTGAGGCTCGAACTCACGACCCCGGGATATCTGTTGCTCTGCCAACATTCATATTATGAGACCCGTGTCATAACCAACTAGACCATGAGGGCATTTGAGAGGCCCCATTTTATTAAGTATAAAACGTAATCTTTTTTAATATATTAACTAAATCTATTTTATAGATAAAACCTTTAAGACAAATAGATCAGTCAGTCTAATTTGTCTATATTATTAAACAATATTAATGGGATTATAGGAGGGTAATGCATATAACAGGCATATAACAGGCATATAGTACGCATACAACACGCATACAACACGCATACAACACGCATACATTACGCATACATTACGCATACATATTGTATAGCGTTTGTTTACGAGATATTTACATTGAATTTTGCTTTAAAAACGCTTTATATTGTGTTTTTTATTATTTATTTTCAGTGTGATTGGATCGAGTTAATATAGGTTTTTATAAGGTAAGGTTAAGCGGGTTGTCTAAAAATACATAAATACTGGATGATAAAGGCTTGAAATTATAATTTATTAATATCTTTTTTCATGAGTTCAATTGATTTTTCAAGTCAAGCAACAGTTCCATTTCAATCAGAAGTGGATGAAACATCAAGTCATTTACAAGCTCAACGACGTCGTCTTCAATCAACAGCAATTCCAAAGGTAACAGATATTACGGGTGAAAAAGTGCGTGAAAGTTTTGAAAGTTTTGTTGAAAAGTAGATATTTTTAAAAAAAAAAAAAATTTATATATCATTAGTTTTATTGAGTCAGATCCAGTTTCAGGTACAAGGAAAAAATATTATTTAGAACAGATACATGGAATGAAAAGTTATGAAATAACTACGCTTTATGTTGATTATATGCATCTTCTTGAATATGAAAATAGTGCACTTGCAGAAGCACTTGTAGAACAATATTATCGGTATGTTTAAAGAAGAAGCTTAAAGGGATATTTGAAACGCAAATAAACGGAAGAATCTGTGTATGGTTTATTTTTTGAATTATATAGATATATTATGTTTTATAAATTTTATATATCTATATATGTGTATCTATCTATCTAGATATATACATATCTATGGGGATTTTTTTGAGATGGAAATTTATTTTATCAATTTGGTTGACTAACATTTTGTATTCAGGTTTCTTCCTTTTTTGATTCGTGCTCTTCATCGGCTTGTAGAACGTTATGAACCTACATATTACCGCAAAGCTATTTCCCAAATGACAAATGTTTCAAAAGTTTCGACAGATAAGACATTTCATATTGCATTTTATGGAATTCCATTAGTTTCAAAGATTAGAGATCTTAGGACAGATCGTATTGGCAAATTGATTAGTATTTCAGGAACAGTTACACGTACGAGTGAAGTTAGACCAGAATTGAGCCGTGCAACATTTGTTTGTGAAGCATGCAAAGCAGTTGTTACTAATATAGAGCAAATATTTCGTTATACAGAGGTAATCAATGAAGGAAAAATCAAAAATTTAATCAAACGAATATAGCCATCTCAATGCCCGAATGAAGTATGTCGAAATCAGAAGCATTGGCGATTAAATATTGCTCAATCTACTTTTGTTGATTGGCAAAAAGTTAGAGTTCAAGAAAACAGTTCAGAAATACCGGCTGGAAGTATGCCTCGAACGTAAGTATTAGAAAAAAAGGAATCATCCTGTGATGAATTGAGTTTTTCAATAGTCTACATGTGATTTTGCGTGGAGAAATTGTTGAACGAGTTAAAGCAGGGGATAAAAGTATTTTTACCGGAACTTTAATTGTAATTCCTGATATATCTCAGCTTGGTCTTCCTGGAGTACGTCCAGAAGCCATGCGAGATACTCGAGGATCCGGTAGAACTCGGGATGGGTTTGCCATTGAAGGTGTAACAGGACTTAAGACATTGGGTGTAAGGGATTTAACGTATCGACTTGCTTTTCTTGCTTGTATGGCACAACCGACTAGCAATAGAGATATTTCTTTTCCAGATGTTCGTGGAGAAACTCAAGAAAATGAACAAGACATTTTTTTGAATTCTCTTTCACAAAATGAAATTGATGAACTCAAAAAAATGGTTCATACAGATCGTATTTATTCCAAACTTGTTGATAGTATTGCTCCTACAATTTATGGTCATAAAATTATTAAAAAAGGTATTCTCTTGCAGCTCATGGGGGGTGTACATAAAATTACACCAGAAGGTATAAATCTAAGAGGAGATATCAATATATGTATTGTTGGTGATCCATCTACATCAAAATCTCAATTTCTAAAGTAGTTTTTCTCTTTAAAAATCAAGAATATCCTAACCAAATGATAGATATGTATCTGGATTTCTTCCTCGTACTGTTTATACATCAGGAAAAGCATCTTCTGCCGCAGGTTTAACAGCTGCTGTTGTTAGAGATGAAGAAACAGGAGAATTTACCATAGAAGCTGGTGCTTTAATGCTTGCAGATGATGGAATATGTGCAATTGATGAGTTTGATAAAATGGATATATCAGATCAAGTTGCCATTCATGAAGCTATGGAACAGCAAACGATTTCTATCGCTAAGGCAGGGATTCATGTTACTTTGAATGCACGAACATCTATTCTAGCAGCTGCAAATCCTATAGGAGGACGTTATAATCGTAAAGCAACTCTTCGAGCAAATATTCAAATATCACCGCCGATTATGTCAAGATTTGATCTGTTTTTTGTCATTCTTGATGAATGTAATGAGACAGTAGATACACATCTAGCACGACATATTGTAGATATACATAGGTTACAAGATAATGCGGTTAAATCTGAATTTTCTACTGAGCAATTGCAAAGATATATTCGTTATGCACGAACATTTAAACCGAAATTAACTCCAGAAGCTCAGGCTGAATTAATTAAGAGATATAAGGAACTTAGGATAGATGATGCACAAGGCATGGGCAAGAATTCATATCGAATCACAGTACGTCAATTAGAAAGTCTGATAAGACTTAGTGAAGCTATTGCAAAAGCGAATTGCGTAGAAGATATTACGCCAAAATTCGTTACAGAGGCATATAATCTTCTTCGCCAAAGTATAATCTATATTGAAAGAGATGATATAGGTCTAGACGATGATATAAAACAATCAGAAGAAGCAGGTGACACAGAAATGCGAGATATAAATCCTATTAAAAAGGAAAAAACAAAAATAACTTATGATAAATATATATCTATTTTAAATATGATTATTAAAAAATTAAAAGAGGAAGAACAAAACGTGGAAGGTGTAGAAGAGGAAGACTTGGTTCAATGGTATTTAGAACAAAAAGAAAATGAAATTTTAACAGAAGATGCTTTAATAGCTGAAGAAAGTTTAATAAAGAAAGTATTAAAAAAACTTGTCAAAGTATAAATAAGTTTTTATTTTTAAAAGTAATTAAAATAAATATAGGATCATTATATAATGGAGCTCTATGGAGAGGAGGGAGAAAGCGAAACAGAGAAACCAATTAGAAAAATTTATGTGATTCATCCAAACGCCGAAGTTGATTTCCTAGATTCATTTTCTACATCTACCTCATAACATTATATAATAACTTTTATCATGGATTTTTATTTTTGTGATTTTTTATAGGGACGATCTTTGATAAATTTAAAGGCTTTTTTAAAACATTATATCTTTAAAATGGAAGTACTATTATTAAAAAATGCTCATCTTTATATTTCTAGTGTAATTTGGCTACTGAAACCCAAAAAAATAATCAAAATACTTAATTATATTATTTTTTTTCAAAAAAAAATGATAGAAAAATATTATTAATGAATAAAAGGATTATTATAAAGAAAGTCTTTAATATTCAGTGCTGTTTATTTTTTAAAACTTTGATAAATAATCTCCAAAGGATGTATTTTATGTTTTATTTAAACCCAAAATGACGATTAATTTTGAAATATTTTAATAATTAAGATTAATAAAAATGAGAAAGGCCAATTTGTATTGAATTATGATTATATGAGTCCTTGATTATGAAAAATTAGAGCTTTCCGGACCGGGGAATCGAACCCCGGGCTTGTCGGTGAAAGCGACAGATGTTAACCACTACACCAGTCCGGACTCTAAAGTAGTATGCTTTTATACCATATATTAATGAATAACCGATCAGTAGATTTCCAATTAAATGATTAATATAATATATTTTTAAATGACTTTGATGCTTGTTGATGTAATTCATTTTTAGAATGTAAAAATAATATAAAAGTTGTTTATATTTTTTGATAAAATGCAAAGTAATTTTAGATATTCCAAAAACCTTAAATACTGCACAAAAATAATTGTTTTTCATATATTTTTCTTCAGAGTTATTAATTAGAATGAATTGCTGTAGGAAATAGTTCTTCTCTAAGATGTGGCAAAAAGCGATTAATACGATTCCATGTTTCCTTCCATAGTATACAATGAAATTGATTATTGCTATGATTCAAATTCTCTGAAAATACTAAATTTAAGTCTGATGGTGGTACCAAATAGCCTGATGTATTCATCACTAATAAAACATTTTTAAGAGATTCAAGAACAGCCTCTGTCTAATATAATATTAATAAATTTAAATAAATAAATATATATATATATAATTACCAAATGATCTGGTTGACCGCTATTGATTAATCTGTCTATAATATCTAATAGGTTAATCCATAAGTCGAGCATTCCATCATATTTCGATAATTTTACTAAATAATGAAGATAAACTTTACACAAAAGAGTTACTGCTTGTATTCGTGCTTGTGCCATTCCTTGAAGATCAAGCTGATATATTTCAGGTTTCAAAAGACGAAATATTAATGGAAATAAAATTTCTTTGAATACAAGAATCCATTGTAAATTCTCATCATTAGAAAATTGTGAGGACAAAAGTGATTTTTGAAGACATGTAAATGCTTCTTGTCTAACTTCATAAAAAATATTGGTGCATTGTTCTTGAAATATATTAAAAATAGGTGCCCAAAATATTTCCCAGACTAAATAAATTAATATATTTAATAAATCCTTAAGAAATTACCTTTTTTAAATTCTAATTCAGTATCAGAAAATAATGATAATGCCTTTAAATGAAGTTGATATAAAATATTAATTGATTGAGTTGCATAATCTATAAAATGAATTAATCTAAAACAAATTAATATTATTAAAAGTATAGAAATTCGTTTATACATTTGAGATTCCTCAGAAATTAGTGATCTAATTCTTTCAAGGTCATGTTTTTTATTTATTGATGTGTAATTTATAATTTGATTTAATAAAAAAATAATTGATTGAAAACTTTCTTTTGAAAGCTTCTGAGATGATAAATGCTGAACAATTTGAAATGTAACAGGAATAGCTTCTTCATTCTTTTGAATTAATGAAAGGAGTTTAAGAAAATGACTAGAACTGATATATTCTTGATTTTTTGACAATTTAATAATTTCTAAAATTCCATTAGAAATACTGAGTCCATATTCGATTATAAAAGAATCATTTAATGATGCTAATGAATTGAAGACTGAAGAAATTTTTAGTTGATTTATATCCTTATCAATATCTTCTTTAACTATACGTAATAAATATATTATAAATCTTTCTCTCACTATATTATGAATCTTGTCTGAATTGCTAATAGAATTTAAAAGATACCAAGTTACCAATTGAGAAAATTCTTTCAAAGAAGATACATCACGAAGAACAAGACATGTGGCTATTTCCATTCTTAATAAAATGATTTCATCATATTTTAAATAATAGTCATTATTTGATGAATTACTTTTTAAACTATCTTGAGAAGAATTTCTTAAGTTTGATAACATAAATAGATCTTGAGAAAATGGTTGCAGTAAAAAATCCATTATTTGTTTTGTAATATTTAAATCAAGTGACCTAAATTTATTAGATAATTTTCCTTAAAAAAAGGTAAAGACATCATATTTTTATATAAAGATTCTATATGGCATGATTTAATGCATTCAGCTGTAGATATTGCAGATTCAATTTCAGTTTCCGATGCAATAAACCCATCATTAGTTCCATAACCTGAAAGATATGACGACAATGCTGATAATAATCCAATGGACTTGTTCTCATCTATTTTCTTACCGTTTTTTACCTTTGATGTAATAACAATAGGTGGAATTGAAACATAATTTTGTATTTGAGTAAATGATGGAGAAAGTAAATGATTAATAAAAAATATAAAAAGAAGTTTGAATATCTTTAAAGAATTAATAGTTAAAAATTTAACGATTGAAATACCTCTTTCCAGCCTTCTAGAATTAATGATTCATTTCCATTTGATATTCTAAATAAAACAGTAGCTGCAAGCTTTGCTTTAAAATTTTCGCCAAATTTGATTGAAAAAGAATTTACATAAATATCATTGCCATCAATATTTATCAATAAATTAGTAGAAATGTTTTTTAATTCATTATCATCAATAGGCATCACTTTTAAAAGGCATGATATTATGTAATCAATAACTTCGCTTATTTTATATTGTGATGCAATTTTGGCGCAATGATTAAACCCATTGACGACATAATAAAGAACATTATCGTCTGTTGAAGAAATAAATGCATAGGTAAATGAGCTAATAATAGGCTTCCATGTAATCTCGAAAATATATTGATCATAGATATTGGTATTATATATTCGAAATTCCTTATTGATACATAATTTTGTAAGATTTCTCCACGTATATTCAAATCCCAATTGACTATTATGTTCATTAGGAACAATTATCTCATTAGAACGAATAGATTCATAAATTGCTTTCTATATTTATTTAATAAAAAAAGAAAAGGAAAATTCAATAATTACCAAATATTCAGGATCAAAGTCCTTGTTGTTGTTAAGATTTCTTAAATTCTTTGTATATTCCTCAATAGTCATTCGTTTCTGAAATAAAATATTTAATTTAATTTATATATAAATATATAAATTAAATTTACCTTAACTTGAGTATTATGTAAATCAACATTTAACATCGCTATTGAATATGCTAAAACGAAAGTTGCATCTACTGTTTCTATTTCAACTATATTTTTGATTAAAAAATATTAAAAATAAAACTTTATTACCCGGATTAGTTTCAAAATATTTATTGGAAAACTTTTCCAATATTCGTTCTATTTGTTGTGATTCACCAGGCAATCTAAAAAATGACAAAACTTCACGAAGAGCTTCTTCAATACGTTTCTAAATATTAATATTATTTATTTAATATTAATAAATTGTAATTTTATCTACCCCATGAAAATCAAATGTATTAATAAAGCAGTCCAAAACTTGAGAATTCTCCAATTTTGAAAGATATATTCCCAGTAATTTTTTGTTAACATAACTTGTATTTTTTAAAAATAAAGCAATTGATTCAAAACTAGCATTCTTATCCAAAATTCCATTATTTTGTAGATATTTTATCCCTTCTCTTGGTTTTTCATTAAATTTTATAGATCCTTGGATTATTGTCGCTTTTTTATTTTTCTTCTCCAAGAGAGTTTCTAAAGATGGAAACTTATGAATTGAAGATTCCTTATTCTAACAGATTTTAAAACTTATAAATTAAAAAATGCAATTTACTTCTTCTATGTTTAATCTTTCAGATATATATTCTACCAATATTAATATTGCTTGTAAAGATAATAATGGTATATTCGTTTTTGACCAAATTATTGGATCAGAAAATATATTCTAAATAGATTATATGTTTTCAAAATCTTAGATCCAACTTACACGAATAAAAAAATCAATAAGATCCTCACATAAATTACACATATTTATTTCACAATCATAATTTACGAACAAGTCATTAATAAAGCTGGGTATTCGAATTAAACCAAGAATGCATTCCATAATGATTTCCTGTATATTTACTTCTCTAGACTCTTCATTCCCTAGTTTTCTTTGTTCTTTTGTTAAAATAGAAATGTCTTTTCCAGATATGAAATGCCTATGTTTTGGCACATCTAACATTTCTTGATATAATATATGACCAACCGAGGGATATTTAATGTCATTATGATTAGAAAAACATGACATAGCGTATTTGAGGAAAACCTCTTGTTGAAATTTAAGAAAAGGCCTTATCGTATGTAAAAGTAATGAAATTATCTGAAAAGAATGAAATATGATAGAAAGATTATCTGACTGAATAAGTTGGAATAAATATTTGCATAAATCATCTGTGATTAAACGACATAAATCTGGATGATGTTCTATCACTGGTCCTGAAACTTCAATGGCTGTATTAATCATTCGTAATGCTATAATATGCACAGTATCCGTATGTTGTCTATCATGAGGTTCTAACAATAATATTAAAGTATAAAAGACTTTTTTTATGGATATAATTCCATAAGGAACGATCTCTAAATAAAAATAAATAAAGATATAAACTTAAATAGATAGCTTATAACCTTCATCAATTTGTTCTGAATTTTCTATGTTATTGTTTTCTGGAATAAATTCATCTTTATAATTCATTTTCTCTGACGATAATGATTCAGATTTTTTATTACTAGACACCAAATTTTGACTTTTTGATAAAATTTCTTGGTCATTTAGTATTGCAAATGGTATTTTTTTATTTTTTAATGT